CCTTCTCCCCCCCCCCCCCCCCCCCCCCGCCCCCCCCCCCCGCCGCCCCCCCCCCCCCCCCCCCCCCCCCCCCCCCCCCCCCCCCCCCCCCCCCCACTCTTTTGAGGTAACATCAATTTAAGTCTAGGTTGAACAGAAGATAGGCAGTGTCAAGGCCTTTCCTATCGTAGCTACCTACCCGTCCAGCGGAATAGAGACCCTCTCGCCAATGTCACACACGTCAAATAGGCCCCTTTCCGGCAAGCCGAGAGCGACGAGCGCCTCGGCCAGCTTCCGGGGCGGCTCCTGCACAGGCTCATCCCCCAGCACCCAAGTGCCCCAATGCATGGCCAGAGCGCGCCGGCAGCGCGCGTCTCTCTGGATCTCGACGGCATCCCGGGGGTTGGCGTGGATGGAAGACATGAGCGCACGGGGCTCGTAGGCCCCGATAGGGAGGAGACCCAAGGTGAACGGGCCCCGGAGATCTCCAATCTGCGCGAAAGCCGGACAGCGAGGGAGCGCGGCGTACTCGTCATCCCAGTCGCGGTCCTGGTCGTCCTTGAGCCAGGGCACGAAGCGGTAGCCCGTGTCCCCTCCAAAGAAAACGGATGCCTCGTCGGAGGCCACACCCCACGATGCCCACAATGTCTTGTCCGTACCAAAAGGCCCTCGGCCTGTGGTGTGCTGCGCAGGCAGGCAAGACACGGTCGCTGAGAGGGGGCGCGATCCGTCTCCATCGTGGCCCGTTGGGATGGACACGCTGGCCTGCTCCCACCAGTCCATCTCGGTGACGTTGTGGAGGCCTGAAGACGCGAACCAAGCCGCGTTGCCGAGGGGTACGAAGAAGTGCGCGTTGGGGTGGTGAACCTGGATCTCCTTGACGGTCGGATAGCTCAGCTGTCCCGTGCCTGGCGTCAGCGTGGGTCGAACACCCTTTCATAGGATACTGATCTTACATGGTCGTAGTGGTTATGTGAGATGACAACAATGTCCACAAACGGGAGATCGCTGATCTGGCAGGGTGACGGGGTAAACCGCCGCGGCCCGATCCATGAAGACGGAGAACACCGGTCCGTCAAGACAGGATCAAACAGAACACGTAGGCCCGAGGGGTACTCGACAAAGTAGCACGCGTGACCGAGCCATGTTGCGTGCAGACGGCCCGCGTCGTGTGGGACGAGCCGGTCCCTGGCGAGGTCGGGTTTTCTGATCGGAAACTGAAAATTGATGCGGCGTTAGTGTCTTCTGACGATTTGACAGACGTCCTGCGAGAAGAAAGAGAGAGACGTCTTACATCGGATTCAGCCGTCGATGGACTGGTGACGGGCGTCAGCTGTAATCTAACCACATGCAAGTTGCGAGGAGAGCACCCACTGTGTCCAAGTACTGAGCCAATTTCGCCTAGTACCTCCTGGTCAGTCATTTCTTGTGTCGAGGCCATCGCGGACAGGTACTGACTGCATCACGTGCGCCTTGAGTGCATCGGGAGGGATTTCCTGCCAGCTTGGCCACGGGTTGCGGAACGCTGCCTTGCCAGGTTTTGGGTGGTGTGCCTTGGCCTCTGCGTCGGCTGGCCGCGAACTCTTCTCTGGGGTGATCTTGACAACATTGCAGACTCCTGGGCTTCCAACAATCTTCTGGTGGGCCATTGTATGTACGTGTGGTTTTGGACAATGATCTATTGCTATTAACCGGATGGACGCTTGGGTTGTTTGCGAAGCGGTAACACCGTTTGCTGCTAACAGGAAGCAGAAGAGTCAATTATCCCTGAACTAGCTGCCGCATACGTTTCGGAATTAGGTCTATGTTCTCCCAGAGGCAAATCTACAGCAGGTAAACGATTACTCGCCGCCAATCTTTCCAGCCGAGTTGAAGACCAAATGTCTGTAGGGTAAGCCGGTAGTTGATGGGCGGCGAACGGCGTGCTGGTACGTACACACGTCCCAGGCCCGTGCGGCACGAGCAGCAATTGCACATGCGAGGACTAGACCTTGAGTAATACAGTGACCTTTGTCACCTCATCAGTCAGCGGTGACTGACTGTACATATCTTACCTACAGTACGTAGCTTCGTGGCGTATTAGTGTGACCCCTGCTCTGGCTTACTCACCGGGGGCGTGTAGAACAGAGCGCAGTATTTACCACGAGACGCCTCACCACACAACGTGCAGCCAGCCACCAAGACACATTCACACGGCATGAGCGAGCATTGTTGATGCCCTGCACATTGAGCATTTGAGCCTTCACACAATGTGACGTGAGGCGGACATGATGAATGCCAAGTCCATATTAGCTCAACGCTACGGGCGGGAGACGCGACGTGCTCCATTCCGCTAGCAGGGCTCAGCCTAACCCCCCGCAGGGCCCGCACCACACCATTCCTTCAGGGCGGCAGGGCCAAGTTTCCGCTGCGCCCCCTGGAGCTAGGCGTGTCCGTATCTTTATTCTCCGGAGCCCACTTCATGTTGGTAGCAGATGAATGAACGAGGCCATCGGAGTCTCGAGTCGTCCAGACACTTGATAGTTATGAATAACAACAATGAATTAGGGACACACACGCGGCGAAGAGTAGGGTCGCGTAGGCCAACCAATAATGCCCGCCCAGAGGCTACAGCACAGGCTGGACCCCTGCCAGGAAGAGCGACAGCCGTCGATACGCGAGACATGGGTCTTGCTAGGCGCGCTCCCAGTGGGAAATCTCGGAAATTTCCAGTGAATCCAGCGCTTCCAGTCTTCGTAGCGAGTCCAGTTGTCCACTCCAGTCCACTCCACGTCACGCCCTCAAAGAACCGTCATCAAGCCCATCGCATCGTGAAATTCCAGTCATCTTCATTCGCAAACACAACAATCGCCATGATCGCATCCAGCATGGCCGCCGCGGCGAGTCGCGCAGCGCTGGCAAGGCCCCAAGCGTGCCGCCTTCTCCAGCCAGCGCTGGCGTCGCAACGCATCGCCCGTCAGCCCTTTACGACGCGGTCGGCTCTTCTCAACGGCGCCCAGAGAACATCCGACAAGACCACCGCCGAGTCTTCTCCCAGCCAGTCGCCCAAGACGGGACAGCAGACGCCCCCGCCCAACATGAACCCGCAGTATCCCAAGTTCAGCCTCGATGGTCTGGGTCTCAGCAAGAACATGAAGATCCTCGTCTATGTCCTCATCGGCATCTGGGGCACCTTTGAGACATACTTTTATGGACGCGCCATTCACAGGTGGTGGACAGCCAAGCCCGAGGACAAGGAGTGATGATGGTCGACACCATAGAAAGCATCGCAGGGTTGGTTCAATAGAGGAGGGACACTCGTAGTAGACAGGCGCAAGAGCAATGCGTTCACAGAAATATCATCTCTCATTTCGTCAAATGCGCAGTCTATTAACGTGTTTTGTGTATGACAAAAGAACTTGTAACTAAGAAAAAGACAAAGGAGAAAAAATGCAGAACACTCTTCAGGCCCCGACTCCACTGTCCCTCAAGGTGTTGCACTTGATATCAGGGAGAACCACCTGGAAAGGGGACTTGTCGCGCCGAAGACCGCCCAAACAGTTCCATCTTTCCGTCCTGGCGGGGCGCGATACCTTGACCTTCGAGATGCGAGACAGCCGTAGCGCCTGGCGAGATGAAGCCCGCCCGGCGAAGATAGCGAAAGCTGCTGCGGACGGCTTCTGTCACCCGGTGCGTGTCTTGCTCCGTGTAGCCGTCCGCGGGTTTACTGCCGGTGGCCAGTTGTCCGAGAAAGTGCTGGACAGGCCAAAGGGGGTGCGTTGGTCCCACGGCTTCCATGTGCGTGCGGGCTGCCGAGGACCATTCATCCCAAGACAGGGCGCGGAGGGTTGAGGCCTCCGGAGACAGTTCCTCGTTGACGATCTCCCAGAAGGCGGGCACGCTCAGCCCGCACTGCGTGTCCACAAAGGATTCATGTTCACCAGACTCAGGGAGCCTGGTGTCGAGCTGCGCCAACACAACTTGGGCGACACTCTGCGCGTCGTCGAGGAAAAGCCAGTGGTCGTCGGGCTCCATAGGGTAGGCTCCGAGTGCGGTAGCCGTGGCCACAATCCGCCAGAGGAAGTCGTCCGAGTTACAGACGCCATCAGAGGACACAGCCGCGACGATGCCACCAGGCTTCACGATGGAGATTGGGTTCGGACCCGAGATTGTGGCGGCAATGTTGTGGATGACGCTTTCGGCCACAAACTTGCTTTGGACATAGCCGGTCCCCGTCTTAGAGAGCTGCCTCGCCACCTCCATCTGGTGGTCTTGTGTGTTGACGGCCTTGACGCCCCCTGACACATACACGAATCTGGATCCGCCCTCGAGGGCAGCCGAAACGAGCTGCACCGAGGAGGTGATGTTGGCTGCGTATAGGCCCTCCAGATCGGTGAACCAGTTGACAGAGGCGCCGTTGTGAACAATGGCGTCGATTCCATGCTCCCTGTCTCCGTGGCCTTGCCGTGTCAAGCGGGACCATTGCTCTGCTGTCAGGCCTAGACGAGGCAATGACAAGTCGCCTGGCCAAATCTCCATCTTGCGCAGTGCCGCTGGGTGGAGGTGGGATGCCCAGCCAGCCAAGGTCGCGGACTTGACGATGCGGCCAAGGCCGGCCTCAGGTGAGGAAGCTTTTACCAAGGCGACGACGCGGGATATCTTGGGTGAGAGGAGAAGCTGGCGAAGTATCTCGTTGCCGAGGAATCCAGTGGCGCCCGTGAGGAACACGGTCGAGACACCGGCTGCTGTCGTAGATAGACCTCTCCAATTATCCACAGCCAAACGAGATGTGACCTCATCAGTGAGCGTGGCTATCTCCTTTGGTAGATCCACAGAGGGCACGTCAGACGACAAGTCGGACTCGGACGCCGAGCTCGTGCTTGTGCTTGTTCGACTCGCCTCGACTGTTCTCGCCAGACCAGCCACGGTTGTGGTGCGGCCGTTGAAGTCCCGGACACTCATCTTGACCTGGAGACGAGCCTCAATCTTCTTGATCATACTGATGACATTGATAGAGTCGCCTCCAAGGTGAGTGAAGCTCTCTGTCACCCCAAAGGCCTTGGGCGGTAGGCGTAGTACGTCTGCCCAGATGGAGTGAATGCTGCGCTCCACAGAGTTGGTAGGCGTTGAAGTTCCCACGACCTCTACCTCTTCCGATGAATCGCAGGAGACGTAAAATGCTTGCATGTCTGCCGCCGTCAGAACCTCGAGTTCGCGGCGCAGTCTTCTCCGGTCGATCTTGCCCGAGGCGTTGCAGGGCACGCTCGTCACGGGGATGAAGTGACGAGGGACCATGTAGGGAGGTAGAGCCGCGTCTAGGACCTGGAGGCCTTGTGCGATCTCCTTCTTGAATGCTTGCGTAGCCATGATAGGTCTCGTCATTGCGTGTTGGCTCGCCTCGCCGTGGCTTAGCACAACCACTAGAGTCTGGCGACTACCCACGTTTAGAACGTCAGAGACACAATGCTTGATGGCGTCTTGGAGATTTGCCGTAATTTTCTGGACTTGGTACTCGATATCACCAAGCTCCACTCGTTGACCACGGATCTTGACTTGGCTGTCTTTGCGACCCAGGTACTTGACGCGGCCGTCCGGGCAGTACTGGGCCAAGTCGCCCGTGCGGTACATTCTTCTGACTGGCAAGGCACCTTGCTGGACGAGCCCCGATGCCGACCAGGTGCTCGTGTCGACCTCGACAAAGGCGTCACGCGTTGCGACGGGGTTGCCCAGATAACCATCGGCCAGGCCGGGCCCTTCGACCAGAAGCTCACCGACGCAGCCGGGCGGCACGATACGGCTGGGGTTCTTGACATCCATCACCCAGAGGTGGAAGTTGGAGCCCGAACCGATGATGGTCGGGTCCTCCTCAGGGTCAAACACCTCCGCGACGCTGCAGTAGATGCAGGCCTCGGCGGGCCCGTAGCCATTGAGCAACTTGACCCGACCGTGCCACGTCCTCACATTCTCCTTGGTCGGGGCCTCACCACCGAGGACCAGCGTCTTGAGACCAGGTACTTCTGAGGGATGCAGCGTCTGGACAACAGAAGGCGTGAGCATGGCCGTGTCTGTGCGGCTGCTGGCGATGAATGCGGCAAGCCTGCTTCCCATCCGATCGTCTTCTGACGGGACGCAGACGGCGCCGCCCACCATCAGGGTCGAAAGCATCTCGCCGAGGCTGACGTCGAAGACGTAGTTGGAGAACTGGAGCACGCGAGACCCGGGGCCCAACCCGATGCTTCTGGCATGCCCTGCGCTGCTGGAGCACAGCGCACGGTGGCTGACCACAACGCATTTCGGCTCACCGGTGGTGCCTGATGTGAAGATGGCATATGCAGCGGGAGAAGGATCCGTGTTGCTGTCCAGCGTAGAGAGATCGCGGGGGGTTGTGTTCTCCAGTTGGGCCATGAAAGCCGTGGAGATGGGCAGGACATGAGTCGCCGTACCGCTGAGCACAGAGGCAGTAGAGGGCGAGCAGAGGGCCACATGGTCACCCGAGACCATTCGGATCAGGGAAACGATGCGGTTGCGAGGATGCGTAGGGTCCACGGGGACAAAGGCACCACCAGCCTTCATCACCGCCACCATGGCCACGATGGCCCATTTGCTCTTCTCGAAACAAAGCGGCACAAATGTGCCAGGAGCTATGCCAAGTGAAAGTAGTTGGTTTGCGAGGCGGTTGGAAAGAGTATCGAGCTCCTTGTATGTGAGTGTTCCGTCCCACGCATGCACACTCTCTGCATCTTGTCGTTTCTCACACTGCTTAGTGATGTTGGCGTGGGCAAATTCGTCATGGGTGTCCAACGTGGTGTTGATCGAGGGCCAAGCTGTCATCTTGGCGAGATCATGTGTCGAAGGCACTTGCACAGAGGAGAGTGGCCTTGGTGCTTCTCCTGGACCGAGGGCCGCCACCAGCTGAAGTGTGACGTAGCTGAACTGTTGACAGAGCGCCGTGATGGTTTGTTCCGAAAGCAAGTGCGTGTTGTAGATGACCTCAATCTCGACGGACTCGGATCCTCGCAGGGAGCACTGGAAGACGAGAGGATACGCGTGGTACTGGCTTTGGCCAGCGGGAAATGTGTGCGTCTTGTCCGTCACCTTGATCTTATCAAACGGCTCTATACTGTCCGCACTCGTGTCTTTTTCGAGCCTGGCACCGGGCTGGATGACGAGTAGATTCTGGAATTGGCACGCCTCGTGGAGTTCCGGGCTCATCTTCGCAATGGTCTGCAAGCCTGTATGCTCCCAAGGAATCATCTCGTTCGATTGTGTCTGCATGGAGGAAAGGAAGTCCAGCGTCGAGATGTCCTTGTCCTCTGCCGCCGTAGGGACCCGGACTCGAATCGGCAAGGTGGTGATGGTCGGTCCCGCAACTTTCATGATGCCGTGCACGGACGCGCTACGGCCTGAAACAGTATTGCCGAACACGACATCCTTTGTGCCTGAGTGTTCCGCAAGCACCATAGCCCAAGCAGCGCGGAGTACGGTGGGCAGAGTAGCGGTGGATGTGCCAGCGGCGGTCGGGAGGAGAGCGAACCTATGCTGGGACGTGGTGGTGGAATTCGCCTTTGGCTCGTCTTCGAAACCCGAGGATCTGTCATTTCCTCCGGGAAAATGAGAAGGTTCGTGGTCGGACAGTTGGGTCTTCCAGTACGTCTCAGAAGCCTCTTGATCCTTGGAGGCCTCGAGAATGTGGCGGACGTAGATATCCAGCGGGAGCACTTGAGGTTCTTGAGGTGTCTGCCGGACATAAGCGTCTCGAAGCATATCTAGCATCATATTCAGGGTCCACCCGTCGTAGACAGCATGATGCATGTCCCAGATGAGGTGTGTTCTACCATCTGCAGTGTAGACCAGGTTGAAGGAGACGAGACGACGGCCAAAGCCGGGTCGGATAACAAGGTCTTTGCTGTTGTTGGATCCGAGATACTGATGGATGTCGTCTTCAGAGGTGGTAAGCTCCTTCAACGGGACGTCATCTTGCAAAATGACTTGGAATGATGCTTCACCGGCATGGGAGAAAATGCGGGTGCGCAAATTGGGGGTCAAGGAGTACAGGATGGACAAGGCCTGCTTGAAGCGCTGGAGATCAAGATCTTCCGGGAGGTCGAAGACGTATCTAGCAACGTACGAGGCAGTCGCACCCTCGGCCATGGCAATCAGGCCCTCCTGAAGGGGAGTGGAGGGAAAACAGTTCTCGATAGACTCAGGAGAGACTTGGCATTGTGTTGCTGCCGAGCGCAGGATCTCGCCCACGAACATGTCCTGAGGTAGGAGGCTGAAACGTGGAAGAGCACGACCAGAACCCTCAAGGCCGCGCGACGCGATGGCGTCTGGCGAGACGCAACGAGAAGCCATGGCAGAAAGTGTTGGATTGGCGAACGCGTCGGCAGCCGACAAGGTCAGGTGCCGCTCATCAGCAAGAGCAATCATCCGGAAGATGGTAATGGAGTCGCCACCAATGTCGAGGAAATTATCATGTCTGCCAATAAGACTAGAGTCAAGGCCTAGGACATGTGCCCATGTACCGCGCAGAAGTGCCTCGACGGGTGTTAGGGGCTCCTCGGAAACAGTGGAAGAATCATCCCCAGCCTTGAACGGTACCGTATACTGGAGCAAGCTGTCGTCCGAGGCCTCAGATAGGAGGATTTGGAGCTTGAGGCGATCGAGTTTCAGAGAATTGTTGAGAGGGATGCGAGTAACGGGAATGAAGAGGGAGGGGACCATGAATGAAGGGAGGGCTGATTTGAGTCCTTTCCAGAGCTGATCAAGGAAGACGTTGGTTGTCTCTGTGGTTGGCAACAAACGAGCCGGGTCGCCCGACGACGCTGAGCTCTGGCTTACAAAGGCAACGAGGACCTCTCTGTCAGACTCCTTGGACACAATCGCAGCAACGCCAGTGTTCTCTGGAGAAATGACCTTCATGCGATGCTCCACCTCCGCAACGTCCAGACGCTGGCCGCGAAGCTTCGTCTGCGTGTCTCGACGGCCTAGATACTCAATTGTCCCAGTCGTGACATTGTAACGACCAAGATCACCGGTTCTGTAGAACCCATGCGTAGGCGTGGAAGGGATCCAGGGCACGGAGGAAAGGAAAGTCTGTCGGGTCTTCTCAGGGTCATTGAGGTACCCCTTCGCCAAGGATGGGGAGCGAACCACGATCTCGCCTACACAACCAAGAGGGGCTGGTCGCTCTGGGTGGTCTGTGGCGGCGATCCAGCAACTGATGTCGGCGTCTAGTGCTCCACGTCCAATGGTTGAAGGCTCTTCATCAGGAGAGCTATAGACGTGGACAGCGCAGAACATGACCGTCTCGGACGGGCCATACGCGTTGACCAATCTCTTCACATTGCCAAACCAGAGAGCTTGGACTTCGCGAGTTGGCGCTTCACCCACGAGAACCAAAGTGGTAATCGTGGGCAGAGACTGAGGACGGAGAGTCGTAGCAAAAGATGTTGTCAACATGGCCGTGTTGATCTCCCGCGCGGAGCAAAAGTCCGCCAGTCCAGTGAGACGTTCCGTGTCTGATGGGACGCACAAGGTGCCTCCAAACATGAAGGCACCAAATATCTCGGCGATGCTGACATCAAACATGAAGTTGGAGAACTGAAGTATACGGCTCTCGGGATGTAAATCGTAGCCTTCCGACGATGCGGAGCCTTTGACGCTGTTGCACGCTGCCCCGTGGCCAACCAGGATACCCTTGGGCGTGCCAGTGGAACCAGATGTGAACAAAATGTAGGCCGTGTCGGTAGATGACATAGTAGGCAGATCAAGGGGGTAGTACCCTGCCTCGGCGTAGTACTCTACAAGCTCGCGCGGCTCCAGAACCAATGTCCTGACACCCAGCGAGCGACACAAGTCTTGTGTAGTCAGGGAGACAATGACGAGCTCTGCTGATACTTGATCCAGGATGGCTCGCAAGCGCTCTTCGGGGAAAGTGGGATCAAGTGGAATGTAGGTGCCGCCTGCTTTCATGATGGCCAGGATAGCCACAATAGTCAATGCTGATTTCTCCATGCAGACAGGCACTCTTGTGGAAGAGCCAACTCCGTACTTGTGTACCAAAAACTTGGCCATACGCGTGGATACAAGGTTCAACTCTTCATAGGTTATGGTTCCCTCAGCAGAAACCAGCGCAGGGTGATTGGGTGCTTGCGTAGCCCAGCGCGTGACGGCTTGATGGAGGAGAGTGTCGGTGCTTGTACCAGAGCTCACTCGATCCGTTGGACTGTTCCAAGCAATCGCCTGGGTAACGTCGTTCTGCGAGGCAACATGGATGTCTACAACCTGACGATCTGTTGATGCGAACTGCACAAGTTGGTGGATTACATGAGACATGTGATCTCCCAGACGGTCGACCAGATCTCCTGATAGACAAGCTTTGTTGTAGATGAGACTGAGCTGCACCTGTTCCTCCATGAGCTGGCACTGGAGGACCAGGGGGTATGTGTAGTACTCGTTTACACTGGGACCAGCAGCCTCGGCCTCGCTCTCGTTGACAAGCACGACGAGATTACTCATCGCACTCTGGTCGTGGCTGCTCTGGTCCGTAAAGTACTTGGGCTGAATGACGACCAGGGAGCCGAATTCCGTCGCGGCCTTGGCCTCTGGACCCAGCCGAGCGATTCTCGGGAGGCCGTACTGCTCGTGCTCGATCATGCCCGTTGCTTGGTCCTGGATCATCTTGAGGAAATCGGCCACCTTCTGGTTGCCTCTGATGCGCGTCCTAACAGGCACTGTCGCGAGCAAGGGCCCAATCATGGACTCAACGCCCTCGACAGATGCCTGGCGTCCCGAGACTGTCGCCCCGAAGCAGACGTCCTCTGCATCCTCAGAATGGGCAGCGAGAACCAGGGCCCATGCTGCGCGAACAATGGTCGCACTTACAAAGCCTGTCTTGTTGGAAGCTGGAAGAGGTATATTAGTAGTTCGAATTCCGGATTTCATGGCATCGCCACGCGCTCGTGGTGGAAACGCAGACGCCTTGACTCCGTCGAGCTCCCTCTTCCAGTAGTCGGCTGAGGCTTGACTGTTCGCCCCTATGGTGAATTGGATGAAGTTGCGGAAGGGGACAGCCTTGAAACTCTGCGTAAGAGCTTCCATACTGCGCGTCCCGCCATGGTCATACGCCTGGACAAAGCACTGCATCATAAGGCTCAAGCTCCATCCGTCGTATATGGCGTGGTGAATTTCCCAGACAAAGTAGGCCTTTCCCGTGTTGCCATCCTCCACGAGTGCATGTCTACTCAAAGCAGACCCGAAGCCTGGAGGCGTCTTGTCGGACAATGCAATGTAGGTGGCCAGGTCAAGCCCCTGTGTGTCCTGCCAGCACGCTCCGTGTTTGATGTGCGCTTGCAGTGGCTCACCTCCCGGACCGCGCACGATGCGGGTGCGAAGGTTGGGACAGAGGGACACAACGGCCTCCCACGCAGCTCGGAAACGACCGATGTCAACGTGCGATCCGAGTTGGAAGATGAAGCGACCGAAATAGGCGCCAGGGTAGCGCTCCGTCAACATCATCACACCTTCCTGCAAAGGCGACACGGGGAATGCATCCTCTACCACACAACCCTCTTGGAGCTGGCATTGGTCTCGGACAAGGCGATCCACGCCAGACGGAGTCAAAGTGTCTGGAAGCAAGATCCAGCTCTCCAGGGTGGCAGCACCTGTCTCCATGGAGGCTTCCGCAGCACTGGTCTTGGCTTTACTAGCCATGGCCAACAGCGTTGGATCGGCGAAAACCTGCGCAACGGAGATCTTTATGCCTTGCGAACGGGCAATGGTGACTAGTCGGATCGCCGTGATCGAGTCGCCACCCAGGGTGATGAAGTTGTCGTCGAGACCAATGTCGCTCGGGGGGAGGTTGAGAATCTCGGACCAGATGTGCTGCATCTTTTCTTCCATATCGGTCTCGGGTTGCCGTTTTGTATTGTGGACGCCGCGAGACGAGGCAAGATTCGTTTTGAAGAGAATAGCGGCCACCGCGCTGAGCTTCTTGCGGTCGAGCTTGGCGGAAGTGACGAAAGGCATGTAGGCACAGGGGAAGAAGACGGTGGGTACCATGTACGATGGTAGGCGGCTTTTTAGGAAGCGTTGGAGTCCTTCTATCCCCTTGTGCTCCTCGGTGTCTGGGGGAAGCACCATATCTTGCGCAAGCATGTCCAAGTCGTCCACAAGATCGACATGTGCTGTCTTGGATGCGTTCGAGGGACATACAAAGGCAGCCAATTCCTGGGCAGGCTTGCCTTGACCCGAGTCACCCTTTTCAAAGGCAACAACACCAACCTGTACATGGGATCCCAGGTGATCACGGGCGAGATGCTCAATCTCGTCCGGCTCCACGCGGAAGCCCCTGATTTTGACCTGCGTATCCTTGCGACCCAAGAACTCCATGGAGCCATCAGGTCTGTACCACGCTAGATCTCCGGTCTTGTAGACTCTGCTCCATGGGGGTAGAGTGGATTCCCTCTGCGCCCACGCTGGCAGAGCGTCGCCCTCCAGGACACTGGCGGCCGTCTTGGCGGGATCGCCGAGATACTCCTTGATCACGTTGGGTCCATGGATGACGACTTCTCCAATAACCCCCACGGGCAGCAACTTTTCTGTGTCCTCGCAGTCCACGATCCAGCAATGGCAAGCGACCGGCTTGCCGATGATCTGAGGAGATTCGGAGAGAGAGGCCCATTGGTGCGAGCTTGAGATACAACAAGCCTCCGCCGGACCCCAGACATTGATGAGCCGGACTTTGCCAAACCATTGGTGAAGGATGTCATGGCCCACGGCTTCGCCACCGACTCCCACCACACGCACGGTCGGCACCATGTCCGGGTTGAGGGTCCTCAGGAGCGCTGGTGTTTGGAACATCCACGTCACTCCCTTTTCGCGGATAAAGTCGGACAGAGAGTTCATGCGCTGGTCTTCGGAAGGCACGCAGACACAGGCACCTGTCACCAGGGCGCTGATAATCTCGCCAATGGAAAAGTCGAACACAAAGGCCGCAAACTGAAGCATGCGGGTTTCACTCGTCATTTGGAGTCTCTTTGCGATAGCCCGCTGACCCGTACAGGCAGCGCGATGCTCCATGATGAAGCCCTTGGGGGTGCCCGTGCTGCCAGACGTGAACAAGACGTAGGCTGCGTCGTGGGGCTGGGCGAGTGATGATGCTCGCTCCGTCTGTATCTCCGCTGGGACATCCTGTGCGAAAGGTGCCGTCACGGAGTCCACCTGGATGACATTTTCCACCAAGTTCTCGACGTGCTTGCGGCATTCTCGAGAGCACAGGGCTGTGACCGACCCAGTCTTGCTTGCAATCTGCTGATGACGACTCGGAGGGTGTGTTGGGTCAATGGGCACCCAGGCACCGCCCGCCTTGTTGATGGCGAGGGTCGCGACAAAGTACCACATGGACTTTTCAAAGCATACGATAACGAGATCCCCAGCCTTGATCCTGTACTGAATCTGAAGTAGGTTGGCGTACGAGTTGGCAGCGTTGTCGAGCTCCCAGTAGGTCAGTGTGCCGTCCCAAGCGTCAATGGCGGGCGCGGATGGACGAAGCTGCGCCTGTTCCTGGAGGAGAATGTGGAGGCATTCATTGTAAGGCGGAGAGGATGAACCGTTGGCCACTGTGAGAACTCTCGTGTCTTCTGAGCCCAACAAGTTGACCTTGGTCAAAGGTGTAGAAGGAGGGGCGGTGCATAACGCGAGAACGGCTTGCTGGAAGTGGCCACAAAGTAGCTTGACTTCTTCACCCGTGATCACGTTTGAAGCGTATGCGACGGTAAGGGATATATCAGAATCCTCATGCTGGGGGATCTGGCACTGGAAGACTACCGGGTATGTAAAGAAGTCGTCCTCAATCGTGCCCTCTGTGTCGTGAACTGGAAGCAGAGGCTGTTGACCATCGGGCGAACCTCGATCGACCGCCGCTAGCTTGGCAGGTTGAATCACCAGGAGTGTGCGGAAGTCACACGCAGAGTGGGCATCGTTGCTTAGCCTCGCAATGTTCTGCAGTCCAAACTGCTGGTGAGGGATGATTGCGACGCTCTGCTCCTGGACCTGCCTGAGATATGTCCCGACAGTCGCCGACGTGCCGAGGGGCACACGCATGGGCAGAGAGGTCACTATAGGTCCTACAACTGACTCGATGCCTGCGACAGGCGCATTGCGACCCGAGACAGTTGTGCCAAAGGTGACTTCATCCAGCGAGCCCGAGCCGTCGCTGGCTTGGGTCGACAATGTGAGACCCCACGCTGCCGTCATGAGGTTTGCCAAGGTCACATCTGACGAAGCGAGTTGGCGCCTGGTGGACTTGATGGTGAAGGACTGCCTCAAGGTGGCATCTGTGCGGATGCCTTGTTGCGTGCTGGTGTTAAATAGTCGAGGATAATCCGTGCATCTCGCCCCTTCCAGCGTTTGAGTCCAGTAGGCCGCTGCCGTCTCTCGGACACGTTCGCTGTGGGCAATGAAGCTTGCATACGGTGTCCGAGGAGGTGTCTCGAGCGCTAGAATGGGGTTTCCGTACACCTCACTGAACCGCGCAAACAAGAGGTCCAAAGACCACCCGTCATAGGCTGCGTGGTGAATGTTCCACGCGAAGAAAACCTCACTCGTGGGTTCTTGAGTAAGGAGGGCATGCTGTGACAAAGGTGTGCCGTAGCCGATGGGTGCAAACCCTGGTTCCATGGCTTGGCTGTCGGCAGGGCCTGTAATGGTTCCTATGTGCCAAGGGCAGCCTTCTCGAAGAACGACTTGGATGGCTCTCCCGTTGGCGAGCCAGACGATTCTGGTCCGCAGGATGGGCGTCTCGGCAACAATTTGATTCCATGACGCCTTGACGCGTTGCGGGTCAACCCCCTGGCCAAGCTTGAAAATCATATTAGCAACATATGTGCCGGGATTCTTTTCGGTCAAAGCGATCATTCCTTCTTGGAGGGAAGTGCAAGGGTAGGCATCTTCTATCAATGCCGGATCCAGCAATGCTGGATCCATATCCCAAGCTTGTGCCAGGCTTGTCTTGACATCCTCCAAGGTAGTGGCACCGTCAAGAAGACTAAATGGCACGATCTGAGACTCTTCAACCACGCGCAGCTCGTCGCAAGCCGAGGCCATGGCTTCCAGGCGTTGGTTTCGGTAGACCACTTCCACCTCCAGGTCAATCCCCGAGTCTCTCGCCATGGTAACAAGTCGGATAACGGTAATGGAATCACCACCCAGACGCAGGAAGCTACTGTCAAGGCCAATCGATGCTTCCGACACTCCAAGTACAGACGCCCATAAGCTTGCCAAAAATTTCTGCATAGCCGTTTCTGGTGGTCTGATAGCATCGGATGCCGTTTCGAGAGCATATTTCTCTCGAAGCGCAAACGCTCCCAAGCTGGAGGCGATACGCTTAATAGCTTTCCAATCAGCCTTGGTGCTCGTGACGGTAGGTAGAAAGTTCAGGGGAACAAAGAGGGTTGGTATCATGTAGCTGGGAAGCTTCGACTCCAGACGAGAAACGGCGTCGGCGAGCAGCTGCTTTCCTTCACCAAAGAACTCTTGAAGAAGGGTATCGTCGTCATAACGAACATCGGCTCCTTTCACCACATTGTCAAAGCAGAAGAATACCGCAAGGTGCTCCTGCTCTTCTTCCTTGCCGTCGACAATAGAGTGCGTGTTCAAAATATCGACAAACAAGTGAGGGACGCCACTGAGATGAGAGTGCAGGTGCTGTTCAACGTCGCCTAACTCAATACGCTGCCCATGAAGCTTCACTTGTGTGTCTTTGCGGCCGACAAACTCCATCTCGCCCCGAGGTCCGATGTAGCGGACAAGATCGGCCGTGCAATACACTTTACCCTCCGCAGCTCCAGAGAACCGAAGAGCCCAAGCCGGTGCCGGACGGAACACTGCTCGGGTCTTGTCTTCATCTCTCAGGTAGCCCTCCGCCAACGAGGGCCCTTGGGCAATGAGCTCACCCACGCAGCCGATGGGCGCGAGCTTTGTGTAGTCGTTGGGGTCTGCGATCCAACTGGAATACCCTACACCGCGCCCAATGATAGCCGGTGGCTCAGGAGCCGTCATGTGGTGGGCGGTCATGAAGATGGTGGTCTCGGTAGGGCCATATGCTTGTATGAAGCGGACGCCAGCGTCTAGCCAGGGGCTGATCACACTAGGAGCGAGAGCTTCACCGCCGACCACAATCGTCTCCAATGACGGGAAGTGGGTGGAAGAGATGAGCCGGGAGACAACAGGGGTCAGGAAGGCCCAATTGACATCGGCTTCCACCATGAACTCCGCAAGATGGTGCGGGTTCATGCGCTGCGTCTCGCTGGGAACGCATACGGTGCTGCCGTGGAGGAGTGTGCCGATGATCTCCGAGATACTGGCGTCGAAGACATGGGAAGCAAACTGCAGGACGCGGCTGTGGGCACCCATCTTGAAAGGCTCGACATGGTTGCGTAGCGCTGTAGCCAGGGCTCTGTTGCTGATCATGACACCCTTTGGCTTGCCTGTGCTGCCAGATGTGAAAAGAATGTAGGCCAGCTGCGAAGGAGACGCGACGTCGGGCTGCACACTGGATGGCTGCGACGACTCGTTGACCATGAGCTGTTGATCCAAGTACGACGACACCTCGAGAACAATGGGCAGCATGCCGGTGGACGCTGCCGCACCTTCCGAGGAGCCAAGCAGGATTTTCGCGCCCAGTTGCTCGAGAATGTCCCGTCTTCGTTCTTGCGGGTGCTTGGGATCAAGAGGCACAAAAAAGGCTCCGGTGCTAAGCACAGCAAGGATGGACACGGTGTACCAGACAGAATGCTCGAAGCATACGGGAACAGCATCCCCAGGCTTGCAGTCTCCTATAAGCCGCAAGTGATTGGCAAGCCTCTTGACGGCTGCACTAAGCCTTGCATACGTCCAGATGTCCCGGCTTTCTCCTTCGGCGGACACGTAGATGGCCTCTGCGTCGGGGCAACGGGCGACTTTCGATGCAAAGAGCTCGGGTATTGTTCGTTCCTCGACACTCAGGTCTCCCGCGCTCTCTTGGTTCCATGTCATGATCGTTGTCTCTTCTTGCGCGCTTGCATATGCTACGTCGAGGAGGGACACCGTGTCGTCGTTTCCGACGAGCTGAGCGCAGAGTGAAGCGAACTGATCACACATGGCTTCCACCTGGAAGTTTGAAAGCAGGCGTGGATCAAATGTCACTCTAGTGGCAACTTCCGTGTCACCGAGCAAGCACTCAAATATGAGGGGATAGTCAATAAAGTTGCCGTGCGCCTCAACGTGAGCCATTTCAATGCCAAGATCATTGGTGTATCGGTTCAGAGGTTGAACCACAAAGAGGTTTCGGAAGCCACACGCGACGCGCGTCGATGCGTTGAGCTGAGCAATGTTCTGGACGCCAAAATGCTCATGGGGCGTCATCTCGTTGGCTTGAAGCTGGATGTTACGGAGAAAGGCTCTGGCTGTGGTCGTATCGCCAGGCAAGGCCACACGCACAGGAACTGTGGTGATCGTGGGTCCGACAATGTCCTCTATGCCCGCCACGGGGACGTTTCGCCCGGACATCACCGACCCGAATAGTATGTCTTTGGATCCTGACCATTGGGAAAGGACGAGAGTCCAGGCCGCTCGGAGAATAGTTGAAAGTGTCACTTCGCCTTCGTTTGACTGTGGCAGCGGAAACGTCTTGTGACTTGTCAAATGGTGTGGCAAATGCTCCAGACTGCTCGAATGTTTCTGCGCTGGTGGGAAATGCGTTGGAAGAGCGTTGTTGATGGGTTTCAATTGGGACTCCCAGAACTTGGCAGAGTCGTTTGCATCACACCCTTGGAGGTAGGCAATGAACTTGGAGAACGGTGCCTTTGTGGGCGTCGTGGAATCTCCCCAGATGCCTACACTCTCTTCCGCCATGTATATGTTTTGAACTTGATTCAGCACGAGACCGAGTGACCAGCCGTCTGTGAGCGCGTGGTGGCACACCCACACAAGGTAGGCATCACCATGGCGGTCTCGAAGGAGAACAAACGACGACAGGGGGTTGCCGTAGGTGAGGAATGGCTTGGGATGGCTCTCCAGGTACTCTCCGACATCAAGACACGTTTCTTCGACCCATCTTAGCTGTTCGTCAAGAACAATCTGTAGCTGTGCAGTTGGTCCCTGGACTATGCGGGTGCGCATGCTGTCGTTGGCAGCGACGGTTGCATCCCAGGCGCTTCGCAACCGACGCATATCGAGCTCACGTGGTAGCTTGAACACATGGCGTTGAATGTACGATTCGGATTGTCTCGACGTCAAAGACATCATGCCCTCTTGGAGGGCGGTGCAAGGGTAAATATCGACTATGGCGTCCTTGTCAAGGTCGTATCGACTCGCAATAGACCTTACAAGATGGTTCGGGTCTTTATTTGGGGCGAGAAGACCAAATCGAGAGACGTCTTCTTGATCTTGCTCGGACTCCTCCAAGGGCGCCATGCGCAACGCCAGCTGGGAAAGCCGGGGGTCAGCGAAGACATCCGACACCCCAATAAAGTATCCAGCCTCTCGTACGGCAGAAGCCAAGCGAATAGCTGCAATAGAGTCGCCTCCCAGTTGGAGGAAATTGTCATCCTTTCCAATGTCGGCTACTGTAATGTTTAGGATGGAAGCCCAGACTGACGCCAGCAGTCTTTCTTCGTCTGTCGACACTGTGCGCTTGGTCGTCTCCGCAAGGCTGTATGTTTTCAGTTGCCCTTGGGACAAGGATTCTCCCAAAGCCCGCAGCGCCGTTCGGTTGGTCTTGGTGGAGGTGATGACGGGGATTTCGCGCAGAGGAACGAAGAGATCCGGGACCATGTACGACGGCATGACGGTGCCGAGAAGGCCGGACAAGGTGGCGAGCTCATCTCGAAGCACACTATCCATAGGGAGGAGCAAAGAAGCTGGGTCTGGCTGGTCTGTTGGCTGCGTGTTGGACCTCTCCGTGCTCAACGTAAAGAACGCGGCCAGCATATCGCGACCTGCAGCCGCAGAAGATTGGATCAACTCCACAGCAACATCCTGGATGGGTGCAGAATGAGACCTGAGATGAAATTCAATCTCGGCCAGTTCTATGCGGAAGCCTCGCATTTTGACTTGCGTGTCTTTTCGGCCGAGGAATTCCAAGGTCCCATTGCTGTTGAACTTTCCGAGATCGCCCGTCTTGTAGAGACGTGACTCGATGGTTGAGCTGAGAGAAGACAGCCAGGCAGGAGGCGTTTCTATGTATGCGTCTGCGGTCAGCTCAGGCGCTCCAAGGTATCCTTTGGATATAGTATGGCCTGTGATGACAATTTCTCCCATACAGCCCACGGGAGCCAGCTTGGAGTGATCACCCTGGTCCACGACCCAGCACAGGCCTCCAACAGAGCGGCCGATGGTCGAGGGAGAATCCGTGGGGGAAGTGAACTTGTGCAATGTGCTGGCCATGCAGCACTCGCTAGGACCCCAGGCATTCCAGAGATGAACATGCTCAGCCCAGTCGGCGACAATGTCCCGCGTCACGCTCTCGCCCGCGAGAATCAGTGTATCGACACTGGGGAGTGTGGCAGGTGTAAAGAGACGAACAAAGGTGGGCGTTTGCCAGAGCGTGTTCACGGCGGCACGGGAAACGAAACCGGAGAAGTCATCGAGGCGTTCCTCGGGCGATGGGATACACAAGGCGCCCCCCGAGAGAAGTGTGGCAAAGATCTCGCCAATACACAGATCGAACACGTACGACGCAAATTGCAGGGTGCGCGTCCTCGTCCCCAGTCCGATCCGGGCCCCAATGTCCTTCAAAGCGGTGAAGGCGGACGAATGGGGCATGATGAGGCCCTTTGGCACACCCGTGGAGCCCGATGTGAAGATCACGTACGCCGCACTCTGGGGATGTAGACCCTGTGGCAGGTGCTTGGCGGATGACAGGTCTGCCTCGGAGGCACACGTGTTCAAAAACGAAGAGGTGACGAGAACAACATTGCCTGATAGCTCAGCGCATTTCGCAGTAGTCGACTCGGAGCCTAGCAGCAATCGGGCCTGGAGCTTCTCCAGGATGTGCAACTGGCGAGCTGTCGGGTGCGCAGGATCAAGAGGAACGAAAGAAGCGCCAGTCTTCATGATGCCCACCATGGACACAATGGCCATGGCGGATTGTGGAAAACAAAGTGGCACATAATCTCCGACTTGCACGTTGTGTACTCTCACCAAATAATCCGACAGGGCGTCCGTGAGCTTGTCAAACTGCCCATAGGTGAGTTGGGCGTCCCAAGCACAGAGAACGGGCTCGTCTGGCCTCTTCGAGGCCCGATATCTGATTTCCTCATGCAAAAGATGCTGCACCGGCTCGGGGCAAGACGCATTCCATTGCAGGAGCCGGGTTTTATCCCAGGGGCTGACGAGGTCCAGATCAGACACCTTGACATCCTCGACGTTGCTGCCACAAAGCTGTGCGGTGACACTCTCGAGCTGGTGGCAGATGGCCTCAACCTGGTCTGCGTCGATCACGGCGGGATCGTGGGTGACGTGCACACGAACGCCATTGTGGGCTTGGATAAACAACTGCACCACAATGGGATAGGTGTGGAAAGACTCGAAGCCTCCCTCTTCGAAGACGGGCGTCATGATGTTCTTACTTTGGTCCCCGTCTTCGCCCTTGTAAGGCTGCACTACCACGAGGACACGAAAGTCACAAGCAATGCGACAGTCCTCGCTGAGCTTACTGACGTTTTGCAGGCCAAGTTGCTCGAAGGGTATCATCTTTGTGCCTTGCTTCTGCACCCCTTCCAGAATGGACGCAACACTGCAGGTCGGCGGCAGCCTGATCCTCATGGGATGGGTGGTGACAAGGGGGCCGATGATCGACTGCACGCCAGGCACGTCCATTTGACGGCCAGTAGTGGTGAGACCAAGTACAACATCTTCCGTGCCCGAGTAACGAGACAAGAGCAGAGCCCAGGCCGTCTTGAGAATAGTGGGAAACGTGATGCCCGATCCTTGATCCCTCTGCACAGTGAAGTCGTGAGTCCGCACCGCATTCACCTTTGGGACGTAGTTAACGGCAGGGAGCGGTGGATACGACGCGCCAGGGGGGCCCTTGAGTTCGCTCCGCCAGAAGGCTTGCTGCTCGGCCAGATCTCGCGATTCAATATGAGCGATTGCGTTGACGAATGGGGTGTGATCCGCTACTTCAGACCCGCGATAGAGCTTGTCGACCATGCTCAGAACGAGGTCCATGGACCATCCGTCGTATAGACTGTGGTGGATTGTCCATAGGAAGAACTTTGTGCTGCCCTGCTTGATGAGTGTGAAGCGGCAGAGCGAAGTGCCCAGGGCCATGGGAGCTTGCATACCGTCTCGCATGAAGGCGTCGAGCGACGGGGCTGTGACTTTAGTCCACTCGATGTCTGTCGGCTTCAGGACAACCTGGATGAGATCTCCCTTGGGACCGGCCACGATTCGGGTCCGAAGGATCTCAACTCGATCCGACGCACATTGCCACGCCATCCTGAGCTTGTCAATGTCCGTGTCGGCAGCAACCTCGAAGGGAACCTGTGCCATGTAGGATCCTGTCTGTTTGTTCGAAAGCGCCATCATGCCCTCTTGGAGCGCGGTGCATGGATATGCGTCGGCTATACTGTTTGGAGCCACGTTGCAAGCCTCGGCCAGTTGGTCCATCAGGCTTTGTTGATCTTGGTCTCTGTTGAGGATGGAAAACGGCTCGACCATGAAGCCATCTGTGGTCTCGTCATCCTCGAGAGCGGGTGCGTGGAGGGCCATATCAGACAATACGGGTGTTTCAAAGATTTGTCCCACTGTCAGAGCCAGCCCCTTTTCTCTTGCCAACTGGACAAGGTGGATGGAGCGAATGGAATCGCCACCAACGGCAAGGAAACTATCATTCGCCATGATAGAGTCAGCATCCAGATTCAAAACCACGCTCCACAGGCTTTGGAGGATTCTCTCCTTATCGGTGGACAAGGCAATATTGCCGCTCCGCCGACGGGGTAGGGCGGAGGCCAGGACCACGTCCGTTGGCAGTGAGCGAGCCCATTGTTCCAGCTTCTTCCTGTCGGTCTTGCCCGCAGTGCTCTTGGGCATATAGTTGACTGAGAAGAAGTGCGTGGGAAGCATGTGCTGACCGACCTTGCGGCACATCACGGACAGCGCTGCCTCACCCTCATCGCGGAACGAGTCAAGCTGGGGAGGAATAGCGGGCTCCAAGGACGAGGCGTCCCTTTCCTCTGCGCCCTGCTCGTCGGCTTTCCACACAAAGGCCACAAGAGTGCTGCCAAGCCGCTGCCCAAGGTTGTCGATGGACAGGACTGTAACATCGCGGACATGACCACTTGCCCAGGCCTCTTTGAGCTGGTACTCGACCTCGCCAGCCTCCACGCGCTGGCCGTTGATCTTGATCTGCGAGTCTTTTCGGCCTAGGTAGTCGATCCTGTTCACATCCCCGTAGCGAACAAGGTCCCCTGTCTTATACAGACGCGTACTCGGTGCAAGCCCGGCCGCTGCGGCCCAAGCTAGGTGGGTGACGAAGGCGGACGCCGTCTTTTCGTCATCGTGAAGATAGCCACGGGCCAGGATCGAGCCTTGCAGAAGCAACTCACCCTCACAACCGGGGCTGACGAGCCGGTCGTGGTTCTCCGGGTCGACAATCCAGCAAGCGCAGTTCAGGCCGGCACCGATGCTTGTAGACACCTCATCGCGCCCGGGCAGCCATTCGTAACAGGCGCTGTAGATACACGCTTCGGTGGGCCCGTATCCATTCAACAGACGCACATGGCCGACCCATATCTGCACGTCGCCGCTGGTGGCCGCCTCTCCACCCAGAATGAGGGTCTCTAGACGAGGTACAGCAGCCGGCGTGAGCAGCCTCGACACAGACGGCGTCAGGAAGGCAAAATTGACAGCCATCTCTCGCATCGCGGAGGCGATATCGTTCATACGCGCCTTGTCGGACGGAATACAGACGCACCCGCCCGTGACGAGCGTGGCGAAGATTTCGGCGAGGGAGACGTCAAAGACAAAAGCAGAGTACTGCAGCACGCGACTGGAAGCTTCGAGTCCCATGCGACGTCCAATGCCCACGACACTCTCATGGAACGCTGCATGTCCCATCACAACACCTTTGGGTGTGCCAGAGCTACCGGAGGTGAAGAAGACGTACGCCACCTGGTCGGCCGCTGCGATGCGTGCGCTCGCCAGGGCTGACTCAGAACGCCTCTCCTCCGTCGTGATCTCCCTGCCTACTGTCATGACGAGATTGGCGAGGCCTGTGCAGCGTGAAAGCATCAGCTCGGAGCAGAGGATGGCCTTGGGATGGATCTGCGACAGCACATCGTTGCGGCGGCTCGCTGGGTCGTCCGGGTTCAGGGGCACAAAGGCCGCACCGGATTTCATGACACCCAGCATGGCGACAATAGCCCAGAGGGACTTCTCGAAGCAGATGGGCACAAGATCCGTACTGCCGATGCCCTGGTCCACCAGCTTGTCTGCCAGTTTGTCCGTGAGGACATCGAGGTCTCCATAGGACAGTCCGCCGTCCCACGCCTGGAGAGCAGGCTCGGATGGGTGGCCAACTGCCACGGCAGATACCGCGTCTGGAACCGTGCTTGGCCTCCATACCTTCATGCGCTTGATATCGAGAGCATGGCATGTCTGGAGATGGCCGAGGCATGATGCTGCATCTGCCTGGCAAAGCTGCTCAAGGAAGAGGTGCATCTGCCTTGCCAGGCTTTCGACCACCATCAAGTTGAGATACTTGGTGACATAGCTAAAGCCCAGCTCAATCTCCTCGTTGCTGCGAACAGTGCACTGCAACACAAGAGGGTAGGCCATGAACCCAGCGTGGCTGTCTTCGTTGTCCACCGGCTGGAGCTCGAGACCTTTTCCATCCGTGGCCAGTGCGCTGGGCTGGATGACAAGAATGTTGGTGAAATCACAGGCGCGTCTCGTATCAGCGGAGATTTTGGCAATGTTCTGGAGGCCGAATTGCTCGTGGTGCATGGCGCGCGCAGACTGGCCTTGCACCTTGCTCAAGAAGGCCCCAACGGTCTCGTCCGCCGGCGTGTGAGCGCGTAACGGTATCGTGGCCACCGTCGGGCCAACAATCTCTTCAATCTCCGAGACGGGCGCATTGCGGCCTGAGACCACGTTTCCAAAAGTCACATCCGTCGAGCCGCACCGCTGCGCAACCGTGAGAGCCCAGGAAGCGCGGATGAGAGTGGGCACGGTAGTCTCCTTGCTTTTCGCACGTCTGGGCAATTTGACGCGACTCTTGTAGAAAGCGGTGGTCTCGGGCTGCTCTTGCTGCTGCTGGCTGTCAACCTGCGTTTGGGGGAAGCGCGAGTCCTCAGCGCCTTCCAGCTCTCTGGCCCAGAAGGCCTCACTTTGCTCGTTCACATCGCGCGCCTGGATGGAAAAGGTGGCAAAGTCTGGCGGAGGGCTTAGTGATGCGCCATGGTATGCATCGCTCAGCAAAGACAGAATCCGACCGACCGACCAACCGTCGATGATGGCATGGTGTGCGGTCAACACTATATACCTGTCCAAAGCAGCTTCGAACAATGTCACCTGGCACAGCGTTGTGTTGAGAGACATATCGCCACGGGTTCTCTCTCTGAGATGTGCCATGAACTGCTTCTCGTCTGCTACGTCTGCCAACTGCGCAGTAGACCATGATGCCTCCTCGTCCAGGACGACCTGGTAGGTCACGCCGTGGACTTGCACAATCCTCGATCGCAAGACAGAACACGCTGAAACAACAGACGCCCATGCCGTGGACAGACGCTCGGCGTCCAAATCTTTTGGCAGGCGGAACACATGCTGGGCAACGTACGAGCCAGGGTTCTTCAATGACAAGGAGATCAGAGCCTCTTGCATATGGGTAGCTGGATAGACGTCTTCGACACATTCTTTGACCGTGCCGAGTTGCGCGCTGATGATGGCAAGAATCTCTGTTCTTTCCGGTCCCGGTATAGAGGAAAAGACCACATAGGCGCCCTCGTCTTGGCTCTGCATCGTGCGTCGCACCGCCGTGGACATGAGCTCTAGGGTAGGCTTCGCGAAAATAGTGGGGACGTCGAGGTCCAGCCCATTCTTCCTCGCACTCGAGGCAAGCCTCATCGCGACGATCGAGTCACCCCCCAGTGCAAAAAAGTTGTCGTTCACGCCGATCGCAGATGCTTCCAACTGCAACGCCGACGCCCAGAGATCTCGCAGGCTTGACTGCCAGGCGTTCGTCACCTCCGCCTTCCGATCTCCGGTGGTGATCAGGCTGTAATTTGTGATCTGCGCCGCGCCCAGATCGTGAATGGCTCGCTTGAGCGCACCGCGATCGAGCTTCCCCGCGATGGTCAGGGGCAGCTTTTTCAAGGGGATCCAAAGTCGGGGAACCATATAGCCCGGGACACGCGCTGCCAGATCAGTGGCGAGCCCCTTGAGCCAAGTGACCTCCTCGTCCGCGAGAGGGGGGAACGTCTCTTGCGACGCGAAGGCGTGTTTTGACTGGAAAAACATGGCCAGGAGCTGCGTGGATCGGCCTTCGAGCGGCGTGCCAATCTCCGAGACGCAGTCAATTCCCGGGGCGAGCCCTTCTACATAGGCGTCCACCTCCCGAAGCTCGATTCGTTGCCCGTTGAGCTTGACTTGGTTATCTTTCCGCCCTATAAAGTTGAGCGAGCCGTCCGACTCATACTGCACGAGGTCACCGGTCAGGTAGATACGTCCAGTGTCTGCGGTGACCTCCCGCATCCATCGTGGTGCGTCTCGAAAGACGCTGGCTGTCTGGTTCGGACTTCCCAAGTATCCACGTGCCAGCGTGGGCCCCTGGATGGCGAGCTCACCGATACACCCGACGGGCGCGAGCTTCTCGGGGTCGCTGGGGTCCACCACCCACGTTGTGCAATTGACAGCCTTGCCAATGTTCGAAGGGGTGTCTTGCGGCGTCTCCCAGAGTCTCGCAGTCGCGCCAGTGCAAGCCTCGGTAGGCCCGTAACCAGCGTGTCCCTGGGTTGCCGACCAGGTGCTGACGACGTCGGGGGTGTTCGCCTCGCCTCCTAGGAGAATCGACTTCAAGCTAGGCACCTCGTCCGGTGTGAAGAGCCGCGACAGAGAGGCTGTCAGCGCGGTAAAGGTGACACCCATCCTCCGGATCGCTCCCGCTATGTCATGTTGGCACTCATCCTCTGTTGGTACGCAGACACAGCCCCCGCGGAGCAACGCCCCGAAGATCTCGAGGCAGCACGCATCAAACACATACGGCGAGTACTGTAAGACTCTTGTGGACTGATCAAAGCCTAGATAGGCCGTGATACCCTGAAAGCTGGTACAGACCGCGCCATGTTCAATCATGACGCCCTTGGGCTTGCCCGTCGTGCCAGACGTGAACAACACGTATGCCAAATGCTTGTTTGTGACCTCTGGCAAACTCACCCTACTGGCAGGGAGGCTGGCGATGATATCTCCCGATACCTCCAGCATCTCCACACCCAAGTCGGCGAATCGAGATTGTGTACTGTCTGAAGCCAGGACCAGACTGGCATCGATTTGCTCCAATATTGCTTGCCACCGATGGCGAGGGTGGGAGGGATCAAGAGGTACAAACGCACACCCGGCTTTCATGATGCCGAGCATGGCCACAATGGTCCACGCCGACTTTTCCAAGCAAAAGGGGATCATCTGGTGTGGCTTCACGCCTCGCGATAGTATGTACGAGGCCAGGCGATCCGACACGGAGTTCAGCTCCTCGTAGGTAAGACGGACATGTCCCGACTCCACCGCAATGGCTCCAGGACGGCTGGCGTTCTGCAGCTCAATGAAACGCGGAACCGACAGACAGACTTCTTGGGGGGTCTCCGTGTTCCAAGCCTGCAGAGTCGAGATATCACCTCGCGTCACCATGTCGATCTCGCGAAGAGGCAGATCCGCCCTGGCTTCGGCCACCTGGCGGAATGCCTCGTGAAAGTGGCCGCACACTCCTTCGGCGCGCTCACTGGCGATGCGCGTCTGGTCGTAGATGACATTGCAGTGAATGGAATTGTCGTCTCGGAGGCTGCAGGTCAGTACAAATCCATATCCTAACTTACCAATCTCCGAGGATCCGACCGGGTCTTGCTCAAAGAGCTGAATCTGTTTGGCAGCTCCTGGAGGCTGCACAACGAGGAGCGTGTCAAAGGTGGCGGCGTTGGCCGTGTCTCCTCCCATGCGGGCAATGTTCTGGATGCCCGACTGTTCAAAGTCGAACATGTGAATCATCTGGTCGCGGACCGCTTCGAGAAGTCCAGCGACAGACGTTTCTCTGTCGACAAGAATCCGCAGAGGGACCGTGGCGATGGTGGGACCAACGATGCTGTCAATCCCGGCCACGGTAGCTGTGCGTCCAGATACCGTGACGCCGAAGATGACATCGTGGGTCCCTGCATACTTGGCGTTGACAATAGCCCAGGCAGCCCGGAGGAGGGTTGGCAGGCTGTGACTGGTGTGGTTCGTCTTGACGCCAGGAATCACGAAATCCTTCTGGCCCTGGGGGAGGTCCTTCTGTAAGGTCGGTGACGCTGGCAGGTGAGACTGAAAGGGGAGCGGGAAAGGGTTGGATCTGGAGAACTGGTCTTGCCAGTAGCTCTTCTCCGCCTCATCGTCGCGTTTCTCTGCGAGATAATTCACAAAGTGCACGAAGGGGAGCGGGGCGGGCAGCTCAAGTCCATCGTACAGGTCTTGTAGCTCCCGCAGCATCAACCCCAAACTGTGGCCGTCAAAGAGGGAGTGATGAATTGCCAGAGCCAGATGCCTGCCACTACCCGCCTCTTCTACTAGGCTCCATCGAGTCATCCTCGCCCCTAGGCTCGTCGGCGGGGCATCTTCCAAGCGGAGGAAATTGTCCAGACTCGTGGCACTTTCCCAGGGGAGGACATCGTCTAGCACGACTTGCAGCAGCCCGACACCCTCGACATCGACAAAGCGTGTTCGGAGCAAGTCGCTGCGCTCGACAAGCGCGGTGCATGCCGAGGATAGACGCTCCAGGTCGACGTTATCCGGCAGCTTGTACGCACCCACAGCAATGTACGCGCGAGGATTCCTGAGCGAGATGGCCATGAGCCCCTCTTGGAGTGTTGTACAAGGATACGCGTCCTTGACTTGGCTGAGAGAGACACCACAGGTCACGGAAGCAACGCGCCTTATCTCGCTCGGGCTCACGCCTTGTGGCACGAGTTCAAAGGGAGCAAGATGGGCCAGTTCCAAAGATGATGCTCGCTTGGTGGTGCTGGCCATGTCTTCCAAGATGGGGGAGGCAAAGATAGCAGCCACGCTGAGCTCGAGACCCTTTTTGAAGGCGAGAGTGACCAGCTTCGTGGCGGCGATGGAGTCGCCCCCCAGGCGAAAGAAGTGGTGATGGCCTTGGATAAGAGACGCGTCCATGCTGAGGATCTGGGCCCAGAGCTGACGGAGAGCCACGGCCGTCTCACTCAGCTCATTTGCCACAGCCGGCCGTTCTATGGAGGAGAAGAGGGCGAGATCTTGAGGGCTCAGCTGCTGGGCTATGGCTCGGAGCGGCTTGCGATCTGTCTTGCCGGACGACGTCTGGACCGGCGTACCCGCGAGAGGGATGGCCAGCGTGGGGACCATGTACGTTGGAAGTCTCTTGCCGAGTCTCTCCATCACTTGCCGTATCACCTCGCCGATTTCAGGGGTAAGTTCCGACTTTGCCATGGGCCGAGCGACGCCCGCAGACGGCACGTCTAGGTGCGAGCTGTCCACAAACCACAAGATGAGGACAAGCATCTGCCGGCCAGTCACTTTGTGCGTGACGAGTTCGACCATGCCGCCCACGCCTGGTGGTGAGATGTGGACCAGTTGCGTCTCAATCTCGCCGAGTTCGATACGCTGTCCATGGTATTTGACCTGGCTGTCCTTGCGGCCGATAAAGTCAATGGTACCAGCCGTGTTGTATCGCACGAGATCCCCTGACTTGTAGGCTCGATGACCATCGACGCCCTCCAGCTTGGGTAGGAAGGATGCCGCATTTACCAGCCACGCGTCGGCGCCGGCCTGACCGAGATAGCCACGGGCAAGCGTCGGACCCTGGATCACTAGCTCGCCCACACAGCCCAGAGGCAATATCGTTTTGTGGTCATCGGGGCTGACAACCCACAGGCCGAGTCCTGAGACACGGCCCAGCGTGGTGGTCTTTCCTATGCTCCCAAGGTGCGGATTCCAGGCTGAACAGGTGCAGACCTCAGCTGGGCCGTAGATTCCAATTCTTCTCAGGGAGGCCCAGCTGTCGAGGACGGACTGCGGGATCGCCTCGCCGCCGAGAAGAAGCTGCTCGAGACAGGGTGCGTCGGCGTGGGTGAAGGTACTGGCCACGGACGGGGTCAGCAACGCTGCGCTGGCATTCAGGCGTCGTATGGCACTGGGTAGGGCGTTGACCCTTTCGTGCTCGGAGGGTATGCAGATACAGCCACCCTTCCAGAGGGTGTAAAACACTTCGAGCGAGACGACGTCGAACGTATGGGCCGAGTATTGCAACATGCGCAACGGCTTGGTCCAGCCAATGTCACGCTCCAAGGCAATGAAGGAGTTGCAAAAGGCAGCGTGCTCCATGACGATGCCCTTGGGCACGCCCGTGCTTCCGGATGTGAATATAATGGAAGCCACATTGGTCGGCGTCACCGCGGTCTGCAATGCCTCCGCGCTGACCTGGGACTCCAGACTGTCTATAAAGTCGCCGTCGATTGTCAACACGTTCGGTACCACCCCTGCCACGAGACCTGCTGACTCGGCGCTCGTCAGGATCCAACGACTCTGGCAGCTCTCGGCGATGGTGGCGATGCGGGATCTCGGGTGCCTGGTCTCGACGTGCACGTAGGCGGCCCCAGCCTTCAGGATACCGTACATGGACACGACCGTCCAGGCGGACTTGGGAAAACAGCACAGCACATGCGATTCGGGCCCGATCTGGTACTGCTGTTGCAGGTAGGCAGCGAGCAGCGTCACCTTGCGCTCGAGCTCCCGGTACGTAAAGGAACCCTCTGGGGCTAAGATAGCTTCTCGGTCAAGATAGGAAACCGTCTGCTCTGCAATCATGTCGTGCAAGCATGCATCTACCAGAGGCGGCGGATTCGTGTGCCACTGGCGCATGGCGTCCAGATCATGACGGCTGAAAAGCCGACACTCGGTCACGGGTTGTGCTGGGTGTGAGGCGAGCCAGGAGATGGCGGCGCGGAACGAGTCGACCAGGGACGTGGCCGTGGTCTCGGATAAGGTGTCCAGCTTGTAGGTGAGACGGAGGCGCAAGCACGTCGGCGTGCTGATGGCGACAGCAGAAACGGGATACTCGGTAGGGAACGCCTCACTTCGCGCTGTGAGCTTCATCTCCTCGCTTTCGGATGCGTCTCCTGACGTGCCCTTGCCTTCATCATCGTGTATGCAGGACAGGACAGTGTCGAAGAGGGCTCGGTCAGTCTGGGACGTGGCGCTTAGGACCTCCTTCAAAGAGCAGTATTGGTGTGACAGGGCTTCAATAAAGTCTCCCTGCACGTCTTGAAGGAGCTCAGAGGCGGGGCGCGAGTTGTCGAGGACTATGCGTCGCGCCAGAATATGCACAAAGGCGCCGACGGTGTTCTCGAGTCCGGGTAGGGGTGCATCACGCCCCGAGGTCACATAGCCAAAGCACACCGCGTCGGACTGCGTGTAATAGCGCAGCACCATCGCCCATGCCGTCTGTATGAGTGTTGCGGGCGTAGTGCCCGTGGTCTGGCAAGCCGACACCAGCTGATCCAGGCTGCCAAGCTCGACCGCCAGCGAGGCTTGCCCTGTGGCCGCCTCAGAGCCCAACCGTGGAAAGGGAGCCGCTCCCTGGCCGTTCAGATGTCTCCGCCAATACTCCAAGGAGCTGTCTTGAGCGCTGAGGAAGGCGTGGTAATCGCCTCCACGCAGAGGGGGCTCGGGAGGCGGCCTGCCGATGTATATATCCCGTAGTTCTTGTAGTATGATGGATAAGGAGGTGCCGTCCACAATTGCATGACTGAACTCGAACTTGCAAAACACGCGACCCTGGTCATCCTCACAGAAGGTAAGGTGATGGGCAGGACGTGTCAGGTCGAAATACACCGGTGGGCACGAGCGCAACTGGCTCTGTGCATCGGCGCAAGGTCCCTCGAGCGAGCGAACTTGGGGTGTCGCGCTTCGTAGTACGACCTGCTCAAAGAGGACGTATTCCCTCACGCTCTGCACAAAGACTGTCCGTAGTGCCTCGTGCCGCTGGATTGTGCGCGCCCAAGCATCTGACAGAGCTTTCCTGTCTATGGCGCTGTTGGCACGGACAGGTGTCGCTTCGACGACGAGCTCTACTCGGTAGCTTTCGGGCTCTTTCAGCACGGCGATGATCATGCCTTCCTGTACGGACGTGCAGGGGTAGACAGCTTGGACGTCTTTCAAGGACGCAATGCTGAGATCACGCAGCATGCGCTGCTCAAAGGTGGCTCGATGGGCGGGTGTGGTAGATCGCAGCGCGTAGTCGTCATATCTTTCTGGCACGGCCTCAAGTGCTTTTGTCTGCGAAGAGGAGCCAATTTGTTGTTTCGTTTGGTCCATGTGCCACTCGACGTCGATCAGGCGAGAACTCCCCAGTAGGTTTGCGACTGTGACCACCACCCCCCTCTCAAGTAGGTAGTTCATGAGGCGGATGGCGCTCATGGAGTCTCCTCCCATCTTGACAAATGACTTGTGGAGGTCAATCTCGGTGGCCTCTATTCGGTGTGTGCGGGAGAAGCCCGCTCGCAGCATCTGCTCAAAATCCTGGTCGCTTGGGTTCATGTTCTCGCGATGCGCCTCGGGAGGAGGGGACCAGCCCACCATCTGCCGCAGCTTCTCATCGTCCACATTCTTCTCCTCGTCGAGAGGTATCTGCGGGACTATGATCCACTTCTTCGGTAGAGGTTTGATCCCCTTAGTGTCTCGGATATGTTTGCGAAGGGAAGACAGGATCTCTCGATTCGTCAGGCCCTCCAGTTCGGGCGCGTCGTGATGTATCTCCAGGAAGACGGCTAGATTACCGTCCTCGTCTGGCAGCACCTGCGCGTGTCGCACTTGGGCCGCGTGGTGCAGAGCGCCGAGAATCGGATGAGCCATCGTGGCGATTCTAGTTGGTAGATAGGGACCAACACAAGCAGTTCAGCGTACAGCAACAGCAGCCACGTGATTAAGGTGTGCAAACTCGTAAACAAAATACGAATGATGAATAGGTCTTTCTTTCCATGTGTTTCCCAATGTTGGGGTTGGATATGTTGGAAAGGAGTGGGTTTCCGCAGGGGGAGGACAGGAGGCTCTACAGTCTACACGTAAACAAGCCAATACCATTCACTTCGCGACGGGACAACTTCTTTGTGGAGAAGCTGCCCGATTCCATCGATACCCCAAGGGTTTGCATCCATCAACCTTCGCATCCATCTTGGGGTGGCCAATGCTGAAGATTGGGGGTTACTGTACGCGGTCATGTACATGTACGTAGTATGGAAACATCATTGTGCGTCCCTCAACTGCGTCTAAGTCAGAGACCACGTTGATCGTCATCCGACTTCAACTTCCACCCTTGTCCCCTGTCGACAACCCCTTGCACGCGGGACTGGACCGGCTCATGCACGTACCCTTGTCGGTTCCCACCGGATGGAGCTCTCTCGTAAGGCTAAATGCTTAGTGTCCGGGTACACTCAGCATCTTGAACGCAATTGATTGGTCAGGTGTGCATGTCTCAGCTGGGTACACTCACTCAGTCATCACTGCCTCCAGTCTGTGTCTGAACATGTACAGTATGCGCACGGGGCTAGCCAGATGTCTCTACAGTCTTCTGCTACTACAGGGCCGTACGTGGACTCGTGCGTGGACACATGGGGTCTCCCAGCCATGCGCAGCAAGACCACATGAAGACGGGTTGTAACATCACGCCACATGGTGGCACCTGGGCCCTTAGGATGTGCTTTTGGTGGCATATTACGGCACGCGCTACCTAGAGAGGGCCACTGAGGAAGAGTGAGTGGACAGGGGCCAAAGTCGCGGACGCTTGAGTGTATAGATGTCTCTCCAACTGTAGTCCTTCTGTCTTCAAGCTGATCGTGGGCACTGCTACGCACTGGCAGCCATAGTCTACCATTCCCGTGATGCGTGTGGAAGAGACGAACACACGCTTCCCGCCGCCCCCTCGGGAGGGCGTTGGTGAGTTCTTGGACAGCACGTCGGGCTCGTGGCGCTGATCCGCCGTATTCCAGACTGGTCGACACAATCCGCAGATACCTTCACCCACAGCCATGTCGAATCTCGACGGTGCGCCGCGACAGGCGAGTGGTCTCAACCGGTGCTGGTGGAAGATCCGTATCTGCGCGTACACGGCCTCGCGCCTGTCTTCCACTACGGCCAGGAAGCCTACGAGGGTTTGAAAGGTGATAGATACCCCATCGCACTCCTCCGCAAGGCACATGTGTAGTCAAACTGACCATTCTCAAAAGCCTTCCGCACACCTCACAACGAGATCCGCATTGTCAGGCCCGACTACCACGCGAGGCGGTTCCGTCAGTCGGCCGAGCTCGTCTCGATCCCTCCGGTCCCGCAAGATATCTTCCTCCGCAGCGTAGAAATGGCCGTGGCCCACAATGCCGAGTTCGTGCCTCCCAACGACGAAGAGAGCATGCTGTACATACGCCCTGTCGTCTTTGGCACGGGGGGCTCCATGCAGCTCAAGCCGAGCGACGAGTACCTCTTTTGCGTCTACGTCACCTGCGCAGGGGCATTTTACGGCTCAGAGGCTCTGGACTGCCTCATCCTCGAGGACTTTGACCGCGCGGCGCCAAGGGGGACTGGCTCGGGCAAGGTGGGTGGCAATTACTCTCCCGTGATGCGCTGGAGTCGACAGGCCAAAGAGAGGGGATTCGACATTACGCTGCACCTCGATAGCCAGACGCGGAGCGAGGTGGAAGAATTCACCACGTCGGCCTTTCTCGGCATCCGTGTCCAAGAGGGGGGCACTCCGACTCTTGTGGCCCCCGACACGAAGAACGTCGTGGACAGTGTCACGAGCGACTGCGCGCGCCGCATAGCACGCGACCTCGGCTGGGCGGTGCAAAGAAGACCGGTCAAGTACACAGAGCTTGAACACTTTAGCGAGATTATGGCGTGCGGTACCGCTGTGGCCCTGGTTGGTATCCGGTCCATCACAAGAGAGAGCACCAACGAAGTGTTGCGATACTCCGACAGGAATGGAGAATTGGGCCCCTACACAAAGATCTTGCAAGAGCATCTTTGTGACATTCACAAGGGAAGGGCCGCGGATCGGTTTGGGTGGATGCACAAGGTCCCTCCCCCGGAAAAGGCGGCTGATAGACAGATAGACCGTCCAGGAGCTCACTAAAGCCTCTTCCACTTCACTCTGTGCCACATGATCTTGCTCCGCTGCTTTCTTCCCTTAGCCTACACACGCATCGAGAGTTGTGTGTTGCTGGACACTGTCGCCACGTGCAAGATCTCTATACTACCTTGAGCATGAGATGCACTGATCCGGCGGGGATAGGCTGCATGTCGCTTTTTGTGCGGCTTTTGGTGATTTAGTAAGCCATGACATGGGTTACTCAGTCCCATGCCAACACCTACATGTACTTATGCTGCCAGGCCTGCAGGGAGCATCTCGACATCATTGGACAGCGAGATGGCAGGCTGCCGGGTACGTACTGAGTGCATGTGGGCTGTACACATGAAGCAGCGCAGCAAACAACATGAACTATTAGTCGTCTGCTATTTTCTGTTTTGGTGAGCTTCATAGATCAAAGTCACCAGCCTGCTGCTAGCAGACACCACCGTCCTCCCCCGTCTCCCTTTCAGCACATTCAGCACATCGAAGCGACCATGCATATTATTTTGACGGGAACCGGCCTGGTGGGCGCCTGCGCCCTCGACTTCCTGCTGCAGGAGGACGCTGTGACCAGAGTCACCATCATCAGCCGGAGAGCCGTACCACAAGCAGAGGGCCACGACAAGGTCACCGTTCTCATACAGGAGGACTTGGGCCGTTATAGTCCAGAGACGCTTCAGCGTCTGTCTGGCGCCCACGGCTGTATCTGGACGGTTGGCCCGCCTCAGGCAAGCGTGACGCGCGCGTAAGGCACTCTCTCTTTTTCCCCCAGTTCTGTCCCGTATCGGAGCTCTACCTTGACTGATACTGACGTTTTGGCTTTTGGGCCTTAGCGAATACGAGGCGGCTCACATTGATCTACCGGTTGCTGCTGCCAAGAGCTTCGCCACGCTGAACGACAAGTTCAACTTTGTCTATGTATCGCGTAAGTGACGAGATGAATGAAGGCCAAGGTCTGGTAAAATAGCTGACCCGTCTCTAGACGACCAGATCCACACACCAAATTCGCGCTGGGTGTTCTTCCTCGACGTCAAGTCGCAGGCCGAGGAGGTTCTATTCCAGCTGCATCATGACACCAGCAAGAGGCTGCCACTGGTCGAACGGCCGGGGAAGCCGTTGCCGCACGAGGAAGCCCTGCCATCTCTGCGTATCTACTGCGCACGCCCGATGCTCATTGACTACAGAAAACATGAGGCTGTCAAGCCCTGGCTCAAACCGCTCACGCTGGGCAAGAAGTGGAGCAACTGGGTTGGCCTGCCAGTCTATTCCTTCTTCGGCATGACCTCTATGATTGGTGATTCGCGGGAGCTCGGTAGGGCGCTCGTGGATCTTTCTTGTGGCGATGGGGAAGATATTCACGTGGAAGGGGTGTCCCCCGAAGGTAGGTGTCTTGGTGTCGTGGGGACGAGGAACTGGTGCAAAGAGCGCAAACCGCTAAAGGCCTCGGGAGGCAAATAAATTGCGCACTTTTCAACATGACGGTTATGAGGGCTTTGTTACAATTACATTCAAGAAGACATACCACGCTGCCTCCAAATGTGATTGTACATGGCCAAGCCAAGTTGCCTTGCTGAGGAATGTAGTCTACTTACCCTGTAGCACGGCATAACACTATCAAGAAAGAGCACATGTGGGTTCATATGTGAGCTAATACATGATGGGGAAATCTTAGGGAATTGCTTCTTTTACTGCGAGACTTTGACATCTCTGACATATAACTAAAAAGCAGTTGTCGTTCCACAGACGTGTTTGTCACTGCAAGCACTGTTAACTGAGCGTGTGTTGAGAAAGCTGACAAAGCCCCTTTACTGTGGCACAGTCCAAGTTAGTTCCTCTTCAGATAAACTACAGATTGACACTAGCAGCGCCCTCACTCATGTGCGATAATCTCGAACTCAAATTACATGGCCCTACATCAAGAAATAAAAACCGGACCAAATTGTTATCATTATCGAGAGAGCAGCTGTTGCGCGTCAGGCAGTTTATGCCAAACAAGCTGCGATTGGTCAGTCTACAGACCCGGCCCACAAAACCAAAAGGCGTCATCGTCGCGGTCTCGCGTTCTTCTGCTTCCAGCATTCAATGTTATCATCTTCTTCACATAGATCATCATCGTATGCGCCTTCTCTAATCAACTTTCGATAGAAGCCATGCTACTTGGCAAAATGTCTGGCACAGACACATCAGAGAGTGGCATCCCTGATCACCAGATCGTCTTGGACTTCCATTCAACCCTCCGTTGAAGACTCGTATAGCTTCTTGAAGACGGACGGCCGTGCCAGCAGTGCCCTGGGCTCATCGTATTCCAGGACCTGGCCCGCATCCAGCACCACCACCTTGTCGTAGTCCAACGTGACCTCGAGCTTGTGGACAATGGCGAGGACGGTCCAGTCCGCGAAGCTCGTCTTGATAACCTCATCAATCTTGGCCGACGCGGCGTGATCAAGACTGGAATCGGGTCAGTATTTACATGACAATTGGAGGGCACATCACATACCTGCTCGTAGCTTCGTCGATGAGGAGGAGCCGACCGCCCGTCTGCCTCATCATCGCGCGCGCCAGCATAAGCAGCTGCATCTGGCCCTGGGAGAACGTGTTCTCGTCCATGGGCGCATCGAGACCGCCCTCGCGGGCCTCGACCATGTGCCGCATCCCAACCTTGTCGAGCACCTCGAAAATGAGGTGATCTCTCTGGGCATCTCGGTCCTCGGCGGCTGCGCTCTCGTACTGGTGGTGGGCGTCAATGTTGAAGCGGACAGAGCCTGGCAAAATGTACGCCTCCTGGGGGATCGCAACGATCCTGGACCGGAGGTACTCGCGAGGCAGAGCCGCGAGATCCACGCCATCGACAAGGATAGATCCAGAGTCTTGCTCTACGAGACCCAACAGGGACAGAAAGAGAGAGGATTTCCCACTATACGCAGGCGTTAGTCACTTGGCCCCCTGGCCGCCAAGGGGCATGCTCACCTCCCCGTTCGGCCGCATATGCAGACCTTTTGACCGGCTTCCACCTCGAGCGACACATTGTCGAGGACCTTGGCGGAGGGTCTGTGAAAAATGTCAGTGATAAAGTCCGGGGGCCAACACGCCAAGAGACCCACGAGTAGGACGCTGTCAGATTGCGGATGGACACTTGACCCTTGGGGGGCCACGAACTCTCAGCTGCGTCGCTGGCGGATTCCGTCAATCCTGCCAGGTCATCCTCGCTGGGGAGCGCCTTCGCGAATGTTTTGATCCTCGCCACAGCGCCAAGCGACACCTCGAGCTGCACCCAGCTCGTGATGATGGCCTGCACGGTGAAGCTGAACGCGAGGATGTTGCTCAGGGCGACACCGACGTAGCCGGGCCCAATGGCCTCGCGCAGATTCGTAACCACCACGATGAGGGCGATAGCGACGAGCATGATGATGATGTTGACGGCCAGTGTCAGCCATCGCTGGGCGCAGTAGAGGAGGTAGTTGGGCCGCTGGGACTTGTCAAGGATGAGGATGTTCTGGCGCGCCGAGCGGCCCTGCCAGCCGAACGCGCGGATCGAGACCATCCCCGTCAGCGTCTGCATAAAGTGGGTGTACAGAGGCGCCTTGAGGTCGATGGCCATCTGACGAAGCTGTCGGGCCGTGCGGAGGTAGAAGTGGCCCAGCAGATAAAAGGCGAGGATCAGAAAGGGGACGAGGATGGACAGGTAACGCGAGGAGACACAGACAAGAATGAACTGGGCAAAGCCAAAGGCGGTCGCTGGTGTCTCGTCAGTAGATGTAGCAAGGGCCCGTGCTTCATCACTTACACATTGTCACGCCCATGGCGGCGGGCGGCAGCTCCATGTCGATGAGCTGGAGGTCCTGACTGAACCGGTTGATTGTGGTCCCGGTGTCGGTTGTTGCGTGGAAGGCTATCGGCGCGCTGCGCACCAGATCAGCAGCTGTACAGGGAGGGGGTGGACGCGCAACGTACTGAGAGACGGCACGGAGCAGGATCTCATGGAATTGGCTGGCCGTCTTGTTGATGGCCAAGATGAAAAGCTGCCTGGGATACGGTCAGTCCTTTGCATGGGGAGGAATGAAGGCGACAAGAACATACCACATGCCTATGAAACAGGAAACCAGAGCGCCGACGCACAGGAGTGTGTACACGCCGAACCACTTCCCAAGGTTGGTGCCCGCGCCCTTCTCGTTCGCCTCGGCCCACCATTTCAGCCATATACCTGGCTCTGCGTCAGTTTCGTGCGTCTTTCTCAACGATGGGAGCGGATCAAGGGGGCCAAAACGTACTGGGAAAGGCATCGCAAAAGGCAAAGACGGACATGGCCACCACAAAGCCGACGAGGGTGCGGTATCCTGCCGCCTTTGCGTAGTACTTGTAGACGCTGGCGTCGCCCACCTGGCGTGCGGCGTCGGCCTGGGCCTCCGTGGTGGTCATCAGGTCTGTCTCTGGCTGGCCGTCGCCGCGTAAGGCAGCAGCAGCAGCCGTCCTCGGTCCACCCTCGTGGGCTTCACGTTCGGCCCAGCGTCCGATCTTTTCGAGGACCTCCGAGGCGATTGTGTCGCCCTCGGCTGTGTTCAAGTCCTTCATGTCGGTCACATGTCCCTCCTGGTTCATGGTGATGAGGCGGTCGGCAAAGGCCAAGACACGAGCTATACAGACGGGTATTAGCCACCGGAGCTCTGATGACGCGCCCGAGAGAAAGCGGATGCCTACTAGAAGACGAGGTCATGATCGTCGTCATGTTAGAGGAGCGCAGAAGGCCATTGGGGCCCAGGAGGCCCATAAACAGGGCATCCTCTGTGCTGGCGTCAATACCACTGAACGAGTCGTCGAGGAGGAGGAGCTCGCGTCGTGCGTATATGGCTCTGGCCAGGGACTAGAAAACGGTTCATACATGTGAGTGGGCGCTCGGTAGGAGGCGGAGAACGTACCAGTCTTTGCTTCTGACCACCGCTCATGGTGATGCCTTTGGAACCAACCCTGGTCTCCTCGCCCCGAGGCCAGGTCTCAATGTCCCTCTCGAGGCGGCATGCGCGGAGCACGGTGCGATACCAATCGTCGTCCTCGGAGAGCGTGGAGCTGACGTCCGCGTTGTTCTTGTCACCCGCGTCGCTGGGCAGACGACCGGTGATCACCTGGTGCACCGTCTCGTTCGGCAGCCAGGGGCTCTGCTCGCAGAAGGCAATGGGGCCCGCGCATCCCACGCTCACATTGCCTTGCACGGAGAGCTCGCCGAGCAGGGCGCGCAGGAGTGAGGACTTACCACAGCCGACGGGCCCCATGATGACAGTCAGTGTGTTCCGCGCAATGCGCAGGGAGGGCGAGATGACGACGGTTGGTGGAGTATGCTCATGCTTTGCGACAGCTTGAGCTTCGCCGGCTGACTTGGCGTCTCCCTTCTCTTGAGTCTCTTCCCCCGTCTCGGGGCCCGTCTCGGGGGTGCTGTCAGACCAGAAGAACGCGCCACTCATTGTGGCCATGATACGGCCACTGTCAGGGGCCTTCTCGGCCACCAAAACCCCATCCTTCTCCTCACCAAGGGGCATGACGGCGCGCGCGTCGCGGTACTCCTGGGCGTTTAAAAAGTCCTGTATGCGCTGGAAGGAAGTCACAGCACCGGCGATCTGCGGGAGGGCAATGACGAGCTTGGTGAGGGGGCTGTTAAGCAACACCATGATGGAGAAGGCCGTGAAGATCTGGGCAATGCTGAGCCCCGAGTCCGAGTGGAGGGACACGCCGGCGGCCGTCGCAAAGGTCAGCAGCGGGCCGAGGATAGGGGTCGAGAGGGCTGGACGAGATACGATATCAGCTACGGCCGCGGTCAAGGGGAGGGGGAACCTACATAGCACGAGAGAGCCGCCCAGCAGCCATCGAAAGCGCTCCGAAACCTGGAGCTCATGGGCCCTGAGATTGCGCAGCGCGGAGAAGGCAATGTTGGTCAAGCCGGAGATCTTGATCCACTTGACGCTGCCCAGGGTATGGGATGTGGCCGCGACACGCTCCTGCGAGGCCTGATTCCACAGAGCCTGGCGTGTTCCCGTGGGCACCGCGAGGAAGCCGGTGCCGACCATGACGACTGTGGCGCGACGCTGTCAGTCCGGACAAAGAGGAAGAGGGACTCTTTTCTTACCAAGCGAGAAGCCGATGCTCATGACACAAGAGACGCCCAGCTGCCGCTCCAACAGGTAGATGGACAAGGCCAGCTCGATCACGTTGCTCCACGTCTCGTGCAGTTGGGTGAGGCCCGAGACGATGGTCTCGATATCGGTGCTGATGAGCGTCAGGGCGCCCATGTGGCTGAGACCTGTATTTGTCGACGAATCGAGCACGACAGCCTTGTCGTGGATGAGCGGGACGACGCTGCCTCTCATCATGGTAGCCGCGCGCCAGGCCCGCCACTCGGACTGGCTGACAGAGATCTGGAGAGGCACAGGTCAGTCATGAATACTTGGGGGACCCGCACTTGACCTACCGCGATGCCGCCATACACCAGAATGTAGGCGCCAATCAATCCGTAGCCCAGATTGTTGTAAGGGTCCTGTTGAGGCAACGCGGCGAGGCGGATGGCGGCCGTGACGAGGAAAGGCTGCGCAAAGGTGAAGCCGATCTGGAAGAGGCGGGCAAAGGCCGGCAGCAGAATCGGACCTTGAAAGGCGCTCAGCCATGCACCAAAGAGAGCATTCGGCTTTTTCTGGTCCTTGACTGTCGAGGGGCGTCATCAGCTCCTGTTATACTTGGGGTCCAAACCTTCAACAACACATACCATTTCTCCATGCGTGGCGCAGGCGCACGGCCAGTCGTTCCGACTCGAGCTCCTCATCGAGGCGGCCTAGATGGTCGTAGTGCAACAGGCTTCTGTAGCCGCGCAGGAAGAGAGGATTCAGCCACCAGAACAGACTCGTGTTGATGGGACCGCTGGTAGTTTCGGCCGAGACGCTGCGGTACTCTGGGAGGAGATACGAGCGCTTCTCCGTGCTCTCGAGCAGCAAAATGACGGCACGCAGCGTGAGAGACGCAGTGAGTAGGGAACGAGTGGACGTGGACACTGAGGGAGAGAGCCATAGTGTCCTGGCGCGCGCGGCGTCGAGCAGCACAGAGAGAGAGAGATAGGCGGTGATGAGCAGCGAGGGACGTAGCGAGGCGCGCTGCTTTAGCGTGGACAGCACCGCAAAGACAATGGACGCGACAAGGGCGAGGGCCGCGCTCGGTACTGTGGTGATCGTCTGGCTGGTGTCGTCCTCGGTCGCGTGGATGCCCAGGGCGGCGGCAGAGAGCGCGACGAGGCCGGTGGCGAGTGTCTACGATGGTTCGACAACGGTCAGCAGGTCTCAATTGTCATCCGAGACAGACAACGCGTGGCAATGGGAACGCACCAGCTTGAGCCAAGTGACGGCGTGGGGCCGGATCTTGGTGGGCGCCTTGAGGCACGAGGCTACGTCGAGGGCTGCGAGGCAGAGAAAGACGGCGGAGAGCAGGATGGACAGAATGGTCTCCTCGAAGAGCAGGGTGAAGTCGAAGCCGCCGCGACAGTCTGGCCCAGCCCATGGACCGAAGCTGCCATCGGGACACGCATCGTCTCGACGCCTCGACATGATGCTGCGAGCGACTGGCGACTGACACACACAATTGCAATGAGCTGCTGGAAGCTACAGCGAAGAGAGGTGCGGGTGTGCAAAGCGAGGGCTGTTCCAAAGGTCCTACCAGTTGAAGCTGCGCGTCTCCCAACAGCCACCATGCATGGCGCGCACACACAGATTGTCGATCATGTCGCTCGTCGGCTGTCGTGTCTTGGCCCCTGTCCGTCCGTCAAGTCTTCAGACAGGGCCCCTCTGACTGGCACTCGCTTGGCTGACAGAGGCAGAGTTGGAGATTTGGAGTGCATATAAGCATCACTCAGCCGGCCACAGCGTCACGTCAGATTGACAGAGGCGCCAGACTGCAGGACTCCAGTCCAGTCCCGTCCTTGGCCGCCTGCCAGGGCGTTTACTTTGTCGGCTTGGCGTGATGCCCGGCTGTTCACTTGCATTAAATACCCCTTGTGGGCGAGAGATGCCTGCTGGATGCTCTCGCCAACCGGGCCGCTTCCTCTAGTGTCCAATTTACATGCACAATGGGAAGCCACACTGATGCTTATCTCGGGACCGACTGGCCCAGCCTTGTCCACCTCGACAGCGCGCCTCGCTTGGCCGCCCTTGTCCTCGTCCTTGTACCGTGGCCTCTTCTCCTCCCCCCAAGTCCTCAAGACTGACAGAAACGCAGATCGTCGCGTACCAGGCCATCTACGCGGGCTATCTCGTCTTTGTCCATCCGCTGCGTCGCATCCCTGGGCCGAAGCTGGCGGCCGTCACGCGGCTCCTCTATGCTCGCAAGCTCCTCCAGGGCGACCTCGTCCGGTGGCTGCACGAGCTGCACGAGAAGTACGGCGAGGTGGTCCGCATCGCACCCGACGAGGTGTCCTTCATCTCCGGGGAGACGGCATGGCAGGACATCTACGGCGTCCACACGGGCGCCAAGGCGGCCAAGGGCAAGTATCTCAAGGACCGCAGATGGTTCGCCGCGCCGTACAATGACACGTGGTCCATCCTCCAGGCCGACGCCGAGTCGCACCCTCGGATGCGCAAGGCGATCGCGCCCGCGTTCGGGGACCGGGCGATCCGTGAGCAGGAGCCCCTGATCCAGGGCTACGTCTCGCTCTTCATCCAGCGGCTGCACGAGCAGGTCGAGGGCCCGTCCCGGGGCCAGGTGGACATTGTCCGCTGGTTCAACTACTTTACGTTTGACATCATCGCGGACCTCACCTTTGGCGAGCCCTTTTACTGCCTCCGCGACAGCGACTTCCACCCCTGGGTGCGCATGCTCTTCGCCTCGGTGCGCGCCATTTCGCTCAACAGCGTCATCCGCCGCTACCCGACATGGCAGTGGTTCGTCAAGCGCCTCGCGCCCCGGGACCTTCTCGAGAAGCGCCGTGCCTTCAACATGTGGGTGTTTGAGCGCGTCGCCCAGCGCCTCGAGGCCGAGGACACGGCCACGACGCACCCGGACCTCATGACGCACATTACGGCGCAGGAGGGCAGCAGCAGCAAACGCCTCAGCCGCGACGAGATTGACAGCAACGCCAACATTATGCTCATCGCCGGCAGCGAGACCACCGCCACCCTCCTCTCAGGCTGCACCTACCTGCTCCTCACCAACCCGGACAAGCTCCGTGCCCTCCAGGACGAGGTCCGAGGCGCCTTCGCCGAGCCCGCCGAGGTCACCCTCGCCCGCGTCAACGAGCTCAAATACATGCTCGCCGTCCTCAACGAGGCCCTGCGCATCTACCCGCCCAACGCCGCCGGCTTCATGCGCCTAGTGCCCGAGGCGGGCGATCATATCAGCGGCTACTGGATTCCAGGGGGGGTATGTTGTCTTTGTCTCTCGTCTCCCCTCTCCTCTCTATCCTGACTAACACTTACCAGACATCCGTCTCTGTCTCGCAGTGGCCCGCCAACCACTCCAAGCGCAACTTTGCGTCCCCCGAGACGTTTGCGCCCGAGCGCTTCCTCGGCGACCCCAAGTACGCCGACGACAACCTGGCGGTCCTGAATCCCTTTTCGTTTGGGCCCAGGAACTGCCTTGGCAAGAGGTACGCTGCCGGTCACAGCCTGAAGGAACGATGCTAACGCGTTCTGTAGTCTCGCGTACGCAGAAATGCGGCTCCTCCTAGCCCGTCTAGTCCTGGAATTCGACATGACGCTGGTGGACCCGGACACGGACTGGATGGACCAGAAGATCTTCACCCTGTGGGACAAGGGGCCTCTAAAGATCCGGCTGACGCCCGTCGGCACAGGTGCCAGTCAGCCGTAGACGGGAGCTCGCTAGTCGGTCAATAATCCGGACACGCTCCATCTGGGCCACGTAGAAGAGGTGAATGCTACCAATGGAGCTCAAAATCGCAGCGTTCCCCGTTCTGTCCGTGTGTCTGTCTGTCTTCCTTCATCCCTGCCGCAATACAATAGAATGGCTTCCATGTCCTGTCCACAGGCTTACGTGTCCAGAGCAGCCCCATGGGCGCGCGAAGATGGTACAGAGCGAGCAGGGTATGAACTACGCGCTGTTGAGCCGTGCGGACTACGGAGAGCAATAATGTGTGTAGGATTCATGTATCATTATGTTCATGGCGGTTACTACCTGCAGCTCTCGCCGTGGCAGACGGAGGCGTACGCCTTGACGAGGCCGTCGTCGACGCTGGCCCACCCCCTGACCGTCTCCATGCCGCGCGCTCTCTGCGTCTCGACGTCCTGCCACGACCACGTAGGCGATTTGGCTCCGCGCTCCTCGTCATCATCTGCGTGCGCCGGCGGAATCCACCCGCCTTCCTCGAGGAACTGGCTGGGGGACACGGTGATGCGTCCCTTCTTCAAAATATACTTGGAGAGGCTCGCCGCGTAGACGGTGGTGGTCTTCCCTGGCGCGACGAACCACGACCCGACGTAAAGCCAACGCGTGTCCCAGGCGAGGAGGGCGGAATGGACCTCGTACCGTGCCAGCGCCCTCATCTCCTTGCGGAACGTCGTGTGGGCCGAGCCAAGAATGAAGGCAGCCCTACCACGAACAGTCTCCCTCCTCGGCTGTCCGTCGCGGCCCGTGTACTCGATCTGCATCTTGTCCATGGGCCACGCCGGGGCGATGAGGCGAGCCATGAGACGGATCCGCGAGACATCAAGGTCCGTGAAGAAGGTGGCGTTGGACTTGTGCAGGTTGATGTCGATCTCCAACAGAGCCACATGGGTCCTGATCTTATCGGCCTGAAAGAGGGGATGCGGCCCTGTCGAGGGACCAGTGCCATGGTGCCAGGAGGCGACACGGCGGCCTGGGTTGGACGGCAGCGGTGCAGGACGCGTCTGCCGCCTCGAGGCGTAGAAGCTTAGGTTGTACTGCCAGAGGACGCGGACGGTCCAGGCGCCCGGCAGGACTTTGGCGTTCAGGCCCACGAGGAGGAGGCAGAGCAACAGGAGCCAAGGGTGGGCGGCCAGGAGATCCCCCAGGAATGCCATGCCAGCCATTGCTTGGTAGGGTAGAGAGCAGCAGTGGAGGAGCAGAAGCAGGCCAGCAGAGCAGTCGACAAAGGACAGCAGACGAAAAGAGGAGGGGAGGGAGGAAAAGGATGCTCGTGCACCTTCATGCCTTCTGCAGACTCAGTGACTGGCCATAAAGAGCAAGCTCGGCGAAGCTGACATGAATCGATCACTGCAAGTCGGCACCAATTACTTGACTTGCACTCCGCACATGGCGCAATTTGCACCAGCATCACCTCTTCTGGCTCTTGTCCTGGCGACGGTCTGACTCTAAGCATAGCTTGCATGACGCTTGTATGTACACGTAGTCACTCGGCAGATCGACACTTGACCGGTGCCGGACGGGCTCATCGAATGCAGTCCTGCAGTCACGGCACAGGCTGCCTGCAGACTGTCCATGTACCTTGGGTGCGTAGTAATATCGGGCCGCACAGGGTCTTGTCTCGGGGGGCTTGGCCTTGGTTCTTGGCCCTGCATCCTTTCGGTGGTCGTGGCGGAACGACGTACGTGTCTTTTGCCTGATGACATTGACCGAATCGGACGGAAAGCAAGCACAACGCATACACTCGTTCAGGCACGCAGGTATGCAGTCGACGCCGGACGTTCACCTCGAGAGGCCTGCTGACGTGAGACACGCCCTGGGACTGCCAAGGCATAGCATGGCCTGGTCTGACTAATAATAGTTGAGGAGACTCGCGTGTCTGTCGGCTTTCCTGCACTCATTGTCAAGTGTATGCCTTGGTGATGCAGAGAGGGAGGAAAGGCGGATTCGACCGAGAGCGAGATGTTGAGGACTGGACAGCTTGAGGACTGAGCGAGACAACCCTCGAGGCACTGGCAGTTCGTGTTTCCATTCCATGGCCCATGTCTCGCCACTCTTAACGAAAGGTCGTCCTGAATCCTAGCCCCAAGACTCCAAGAGTCCAAGACAAGCAGCTGCATCGTCGCTCTTCCTTGCCCCCATCACCACAAGCGAAGCCAAGACGAGACAAGACAGACCCCATGGAGCAGGCACAGGAAGGCTCTCACGCCGGCTGGGAGCCCGCGCTGGCGCTCGCCGCCGGCGTCGTGTCGCATCTGGCGTACTTTCGGCGTGGGGAGCACTTTGCGCATCCCTGGCGCTACGTGCTGCTCCTCGCTATCTGCGCACCCTGCGCGGCCGTGGCCGTGACGACGCGGATGAGGCTTCGCCTTGTCTCAGTCCCTTCTGTCTCTTCTGTCTATCCCTCGGTCCCGGAGCTGGCGCTGCTGTCCGGCCAGCTGGCCTTTCTCTATCTGGCAGGCGTCTTTGGGAGCGTCATCGTGTACCGCCTCCTCCTCAACCCGCTCAACCGCTTCCCCGGCCCGTACCTGGCGCGCCTGTCCAAGGGCTACCTCGTCTACCTCAACTGGCGCTCGGGGCTGCGCGGGCACCATGTGCTGCGCCGCCTGCACGAGACGTACGGGCCCTACGTGCGCCTGGGCCCCAATGACCTGTCCGTGGTCGACCCGGACGGGATGCGCGTCGTGCTGGGGCCCAGCTCGCGGTGCCGCAAGTCAGCCTGGTACGGGCAAGACGCGCCCTACATCTCGACCAACACGACGCGCGACAGGGCCGCCCACGATCGCCGTCGCCGCCTTCTCACGCCCTCCTTCAGCGACGCCGCCCTGCGCGGGTACATGGTGCGCGCCCAGCGGTACAACGACCAGCTGCTGGGGCAGCTCGAGGCGTCGGCCGGGCAGCCCCTGGACGTGACAAAGTGGTTTGGCCTGCACGGCTTCGACGTCATGGGCGACCTCGTCTTCAACCAGCCCTTTGACATGCTGCAGCGCGGCGAGGCCCACGAGGCCATCCAGGTGCTGGGCGCGGGTCTGTATCCCCAGGGCTTCGCCTTTGCGCCCTGGCTCTACCGCGTCTTCGCGACGCTGCCCGGCATGGGCGCGGGCTACCGTCGCTTCGTGGCCTTTACGGCCGACCAGCTCACCCGCCGCATGGGCGAGCAGGGCAAGACGACGTACGCCGACATGATGCAGCCGCTCATCGCGCACTACCAGGCGCTGCCGTCCCCAGACCAGCACGCCATGCTGCCCATGCTGCAGGGCGACGCGCGGATGCTCATCGTCGCTGGCAGCGACACCACCTCGACGACACTCATCCACCTCTTCTACCGCCTCTGTGCCGAGCGCGGCCTCGTCCGCCGCCTGCGTCGGGAGCTGGGGCCCCTGGTCGGGGATGCGCATCCCATCGAGTACGGCCACGTCGCTGGCGCCGAGCTTCTGCACGCCTGCGTCAACGAGACGCTGCGCATGCATTATCCGGCCCCGTCGGGCTTCTTCCGCAAGACACCCCCTGGCGGCATCGCCATCGGTGAGGTCCACGTCCCGGGGGACACGGTCGTGCAGCTGCCCCCGTATGTGATGGGGTTGGGTGAGTCTCTTCTCTTCTGTGCTCTTCATAATTGCTAATTAGGCAGACGACGACATCTACGAGCGCAGCCGCGACTTTGTGCCCGAGCGCTGGTTCAGCCGCCCTGAGATGGTCAAGCACCCCGACGCCTTCATGCCCTTCCTCGCGGGGTCAGAGTCCTGCATTGGCCGACGGCTGGCGTACATGCAGCTGGCCACCCTCACGGCGCAGATCATCACGCAGTTCGACGTCGCCTTGGCCCCGGGCGAGGACGGCACGCGCCTGCTCGAGGGGTCCCTCGACCTGGCCATGATGCACCCCGAGTCGCTGCACCTGGTCTTTACGCGGAGGGGGAAGGACTCGGGCGACAAGGACTAGATTAGACTACATGTACGTATCATGTATCTACATAGGAGAAGCAGGGGCATCCTTGCTCTTTGCGTCTTGGACTGCCTTACCCACATCAAGTACCCAGTCCCATACCCTGTCCAGTCCCTCCCGGTTCCTCCTCCTCACACGCTCCCCATAATGCTGAGACAGGCGGCCGCCAGCTTCATCTCCTCGCTGACGTGATCCCGCCGCCGGCACGACGAGAGAATGATCATAATGGACAGCGAGGCGTAGCTCCGCTGCGTGTGCGTCAGCTCATCCACGCTCCCCACGAGCGACTCGGTCAGCGCCCACATCCTCGGCGCCGCGTCCTGGAGCAGCTGCATCAGATGCCCAAACGCCCGGTGCAGGCCACTCTTGTCCGCCGCCCCGGGGCTGTCGTCCACCGTCGCCTTCTCCAGTCGCCGCAGCGCGTCCAGGTAGACCTCGGACGACGTCGGGTCCCAGTCCTCGAGCTCCTCGCGCGCGATGCTGCCCGCTGACTGGATCGTCTCTCTGTGGTACCCGTGTGCCTCCCACTGGCTCCATGTCTCCGCGTCTCGTCGCAGCGTTGCCAGCAGCTGTGGCAGGCCCTTTTGCCGGCTCTGGCGCTGCTGTCGCGAGATGGACGTGTCGTGGCTGAAGTCCCCCGTGTAGTACTGCCCGGCCACATCGTCCAGGCTCTCGAACCCGGCCTCCACCGCGCACTGCCGCACGTGCTCGATCCGGTCCTCGATCCGTCCGTGCGGCCCTTGTCCTGGCGGTGGCGGCGGCGCTCCTCGCCCCATGGTCTTGTTTGCCGGACCCGGCGGCTCGCTCATCGATTCGATCGACGACCCAGTGCCGTTCGGCTGTGGTGGAGAGCGCTGGGGAACTGCGTCCAAGCACAAGTGGTCAGTCGCGTGGCTCTCTCACGCTCTAAAGGGCTTTTGTACTTACCGTAGATTCCTTGTGGCGGTTCGTTGCTGTAGCGGCTCATGGGGGGGCCGTGGCCCCAGTGATAGTCCATGGGCAGACGGAAGCCGGCACCGGACCCGGACACGGACACGGGCCCGGACCCGGACGGGAGGAGACCCGTCGCTGTGGGAAACGCCATGTTGGGCGGCGGCGGCGCCTTGCTGTGGAACTGTGGCTCCATGCCCTGCGTGGCGAGGTGCATGTCAAAGAGGGCGTTCTCGTCCACGAGGTCGCCGTCGTTGTCGTGGCCTAGAGCGCCCGTCGTGGCATCCATCTCGTGGTCGGGGGGCCCGCTTGCTGATGGTGCTGCTGCTGGTCCTCCTGCGCCTCCTGATCCTCCTCCTCCTCCTCCCCCTCCTCCTCCCCCCATGCCTCCAGGCCCATCGTCGACGCTGCTGCTGCCAACATGAAAGGGGTTCTTGTCTGGCCGACCAACGCCCTCACCCTCGCCCTCGCCCTCCCGCTGGCTTCGGTAATGCTGCACCTCGCGCTCGAGATCTTCCACCCGCTGCTTGATGCGGTTGCCTGTCACACTCATCAGCCCATGGTCCCACGTGCACCCAGCTCGTCCGTCGGTCGTACGGTAGCTCCGCTGCGCCACCCTGTTCTGGAGCTTCTTCCTCTGGCGCTTGTCCTTGAGCATGCTGGCGTCTTCCTCCATGGCGGCAGGGGCGGGGCGGGCAGACTGCACTCTGCGCGGCCAAACGTGCAATGATGAGGTAGAAAAGGCTGTGGATAGACTATAGCGGTGGACTGAATGTGGATGGATAGTAAGTTGAGGAGATAGCAAGGACATGGAGATGGCTAGGCCCGTAAGCAGATGACGAGACCTCTTCAAGCTGGAAGGTACATGTAGGCAGCAACCGGTCGGCGACGCTTATTCAATCCGGGAGCGATGCTGCGAGACCTGACGCTCGCTTACAATTCATATGCCACCGTTCGACGCTCTCCGAGCAGCCCTTTGTGCCGTCTTCGCGTCCCTGACTGCCTGCGTACGGCCGGTAGTCCATGCAATCTGCAACAACCGCTGCGCCGCAACCTTGTTCTGTCTCTCCGAATCGAATCAAGCGCTACGACGCGAATCCTACGGACGAGGAGGGTGGCCCGGCGAGCGATCCCAATGGCGCGCGCCCTTCCTCCTGGCGGCATCTACATGTACGGTACATGCAATGCACCTGGATTCCTTCATACCGATCTCACCATCGGTCCACGTGCGTCAACACACAAGCATTTGCCTCTCCGCTACAGACGTGATGATACGAGCAGTGCGTAGTACGCAGCACTGAGTGTAAACAAAGTCAGACGCCCGCCCTGCTTTCCCCACTCGGCAGGGATCCTGATCCGCAGTCCCCTCGTGCTTATGGCCATGGTGATATATGATGAATGCCATGCCATGAAGCCTCTGGGCGCTTCACAACTTGAGACGATGCTGGCTTGGCTCGATGCTCGCTCGCTCAGCCCGATCCCTACTTCCTTCGAACCGACCTACCTATCATGGTGGGCGGAATTTCTCTCCTCTTTCTCTCCTCTTTATCGTGTGGTCGTATGTGGCCTGTTCGTCGCTCTTTTCTCCATCTAGATGTCGTAAGAACGCATCCTGTCTCACCCTGCATACATATACATATGCCTCCCACGTATGCAGCACTTGCGCGCTTATAGGCATAAGATAACGCTTCCCGTGCAGCATCCTCCTGTAGCTCCCGGACAAATTGTCCGATATTACCTAAGAACACAGCAAGTACAATAGTCCCCTCACCGTTTCTGCCATGCATGAACACTAGGTCTAGGCTGGGCAGTTCGCATTCCCCCCCACCCTACGTAGCACGTACCTTACCATTTCACTCATAGTGCATACATGGTCCCTTTGAAGCCATTCGTATAATAAGGCCAAGAGGCGTCTGCAAGGCGCTTCGTCCGTGGATGCCGCCGGTGCCATCTCACCCCCCCTCTTCAGGATCGCGTCGGCATGTTTCAGGGGCGCCTGCGCCAATACAGCCTGTATTCTATAGCGTATTCGTATACTAATTACCGGGGGAATCCCGTCTCTCCATACACGCCAGGTTAAGAGAAGCCGATTATTTCCATGCCAAGGAGGATCTACACGTCCGTGCCCAGCCTTATTATGGTCGCGAGAGTCGAGACCCGGGGGTTGCGGGCTACATTCAGCCTTCACCGCGATGGAGTCGTAACCCCGTGCTGCGACGCTGACCTTGCATCTTCTGTTCTCTATTGGCCTTGGGCTCAATGAAGCTACTTTGGCTATATCCCCCTATGTAAACGTGTTCACTCATCTGTATTGCAATCATCGGTTCCTTTATCGTATTTCCGCATTGCCTCCCAATCCCACCCCACCCAGATCCCTCAATTCGGGAGCGTGAACAGAGGAATCTCCATCGGGCTCTTCTCATGAGACTTGAGCGAGTCGATGCCCGCCGAGATGTGTCCCTCGGTGACGGGCTTGCGCGTGAAGAAGATGAGCATGTCCCGCGTCGCCTCCTTAGCCTCATCTACCGCGTACACGGGCGAGAGGCTGTGCTTGTACTCGTGGTCGGCCACGAGCAACGTGTCGAGGAACTTGGTGTGCTGCGCCCGGCCGTAGATCTTGTTCGGCGACGTCTCGTGGAACGGCGTGCCCGTCGTCTCGTCGCGCTCGTGAAGGAGCGTCACGGCGCTGTTGGGTTTCATGTTGCTACTCCCCAGATACGTGGTCATGGTGTGGTCGACGCCATCCGTGTGCACGCCCTCGAGCGCTGGCTCGCCCAGAATGTCCGGCCTGGTCACGGTGCGCAGGTTGAACATGGTACAGACCCATTTGTTCGCGCCGTAGTCAAAGTTGGGGCGGTGCATGGTCGGCACACCGTGCATCACCATGGCCTTGAAGATCATCAGGCCCTGCAACACCGTGTTGGAATGCAGCTCCTCCTCAATCTCGTCAAAGACGCGCACCGTGTCCGAGTCATGGCGTTTAAAGTCCTCGGCGGCCGACAAGGAGAACGGCTGGAACTCGAGCCGGCGGAGCGACTGCCGATCGTAGTCCATGCAGAAGCGTCCCGTCCGGGACTTTCGAAAGGGTAGCGTGGGATCCGTCTGCAGGTTATTGCTGACGACCTGGAGACGGCCAAAGTCTTCTTCCCGGGCGCCCAGGCCACGCATCAAGTCGACCATCTCGTCATGCCGCACGAAAATGGTCCGATCCTCGACGTACCTATCTCTCCACTGCATGATTTTGGCAATGGACTGATAGAAGCCGTAATCGTGCGCTTTGTCATGGAGCCAGAGCTCCCCCGCACTCCTTGCTCTCTGCGGCACCTTGCTGTCCAGGGGCAGGGGACTGTGCATCGCTTGAGCGGGTGCTGCTACTTGTACAGTGGCAAGACCTCGGGCCCCCTGGCAAGTGGCACCACGCTCGGACCGGATGTGTGGCCACCGCAGTCTGCTAGCGATGGGTAGCCTGGCTCTGCTGACCAGGTGAGGCATCGGTGCTCTGAGTGATAGTGAGGCTGACATAGCTTGCTTGAAATGACAAGGCTTCTCCTGCTCAGTAGACGGCAGACTGATCAGAAAAATAGGGGAAAGATGTCAATTGGAATTCGGAGGGCAGAGCCTGGGGCCAAAGTCACACGAAAACAGAACAAGTATATGAAAGAATGACCTGCTATGGATGGGGGGGACATGTGGCCGTGGAAAGGGGGAAACTGACTGCTCTTTGGCTCTGTGGACTGCTGAGCTGTTGCACATCCCTCTTTGAGCTCACAAATGCCGTTGGGCATAATACATCCCGGAGATTCAGAGCACCATCAGCCCCCCATTTTCATTCACAATCTATATTGGCCTCAAGTCACAAACACAATGGCTTCCTGTTGTGCTCCCGCCTAGGCTGTGGTATATCCCGCCCAGATCCCGGCCACTGCTACTTCCATTCTAGCTTCGTGGTACATCATGCAGGCTCTCTTTTCGAGGCCCTGCGTGCCAATCTTTTGCCGGGACGGGGGATCGAGTCAGCCCAGCATAGCCAAGCCTGAGGAGAAGCCCTGTATCTGACTCATCCTAAAGCTCAACTACTTCAAGAGTCCAAAGCATCACAAGCTGGTCACTTGACTGACTTTGCAGAAACATGTTTTTGTGATACGAAATCTTTGAAGGTAGAGAGTTCTGTTAGTAATAAATGAACATGCACATTCGATCGATATTTCTATTCAAGTCTGAACAATACAGTGTATGTGTGCCATTTGCCGATCTATTGTAGAGTAGTAGTAAGGATAACACCTGTCAAGCATGAGTGTGCATAAGTAAACAGCTTACCTATCACACACCGAGACGGTGATTAGAGATGCTCTACGTCCGTACCAAGACCCAACTTCTGGCAGCTGGGGTCGTGCATGGTGTGCGCCACGGGAGGCGGAAATAAGAATGAAATTATTGATGACATGAGACGTCCTTACGTGACCCCCGGATCTCAAATACAGCCTGAAATGCAATGCATGTCGTAACAAGACGCCCGGGCGTGTGAGTGCAGATTGTATTACGACTGCCGCGAGAGGTGCAGGGTAGTCGTGTCTAAGATGGTATCTCCACGAGGCATCAATCTCAAATCAACTACAAGCCAACAGACTCAGATCGTTGTTGGGGCAAGCTGCATCTCTTGACTATACCCTGTTCTTGGAGAGGCTCGCCATGCTACATGGCCGCATTCAGTCAGCCAGGAAGATGATTTGCTCGTCGCGTAATGCTCATCAGACGGTCTTGATGCCTGCCTCTCTCAGGAGTCAGCACCCCATGGCTAGTGGGCGAGAACAGCTGGGTTTGATCCGGAGACCACTGGCGTCGTCTCTGTGACAATACTTAGCAATATCGGTTTCCATTCTCGCACGCCCGGTCGAAGCCATACGTACGCTTGCCCTCCATACTCTCGTTCCTCCAGCACCAGACGCTAGACTAAACCATGTCCGTCGAATCAGCACCGGCGCTATTCAAGGTCGCCACCTTGGACCTGTCCCGGTTCAAGTCGAGTGACCAGCTGGAACGTGAGGCCTTTGCCAGAGACCTCGTCGATGCGCTCAAGTTGGATGGTTTCGTCAAGCTTGTCAACCATGGCATCTCCAGAGCAATGATACAAGATGCCCTGTCCATAGTACGTTGAACTGCTCCCTGTCTGTGCAAGTCGAGTCGAGCAGGCTCTACGCTTGAACTCTAAAAGCAATTCCATCAAAACGGACACTGACGCTGAGCTTGGTAGTCAAAGAAGTTTTTCAGCTTGCCGGACAACGTGAAACGGCAAATAGAACACGTGCCCGGGCCGTATCCTCAACGAGGTTGGAGCAGGGTCGGGTCGGAGAGTACTGCCATGCTCTTTGGTGCCCTCGAGCAAAGTGGAAAGAAAATCACCGAAACAGACGCCAAGGTCAGTCACAAGTCCGGTCGACCACTCTGATCTTCCTGCTGACCTGGCGGCGGAATCCAGGAGCACTTTGATATCGGCCCTCCGTCCGATGAGCAGTTCCCCAACCGATGGCTGGACGAGGCCGACGTGCCCTCCATGAAAACCTACCTAGAAGACTTTTTCGAGCGATGCCACGGCGTCAGCCAGGCCATCCTGTCGGCCATGGAAATGGCCCTCGAGCTCCCCCAAGGCGCCTTCACCGACAAGTGTCAGGGACAGTCGAGCGAGTTGCGCTTCAACCACTATCCCGAAGCATCCATGAGCAACGCGCCCAAGGACGTCAGCCGCGTTTGGCCGCACACGGACCTGGGCGTGATTACCTGCCTGTTCCAGGATGGCGTCGGTGGTCTCGAGATTGAGAACCGGCGATGCGACGGAAAGTTCGAGGCCGTGGACCCCAACGCCCTCGACGAGCTCATTCTGAACATTAGCGAGACCATGGAGAGGTGGACCAACGGCGTGGTCAAGGCGGGTGTCCACAACGTCAAGCTTCCGCCGGCCCTCAAGTCGTCCCGCCAGGGCGGCGAGGAGCTCGTCATCCCGGAACGCTTCTCTATCCCCTTTTTTGTCAAAGCGGACCGGGACACGTGCGTGGGGCCGTTGGAACAGTTCGTTTCGGAGACGCGCCCTCCAGCGTACCCTCCCATGACGGCGTTGGAGTATCATGTCAAGCGCGTGGCCCAGGCGTATTAGCTGCGTGGGTAGGGAGCCTCTTTCGATTGTTCACATGGTACTGGTGCGCGCGCACGCCCCTAGAAATAAAACGACCCTTGGAGGGTCCTCCTCTTTCAATATAATCATCAGCAACTTTACGTTTAGATGAAATATGGTGAGAGTAGCTTGTGAAAAGAAGAAGCATTGTCGACGTTGTTTGAGTTACAGTCGTTAGTTCAACAAGTCCAGTTGAAGGGGCCGAGAAACTTTGAAGATGTTCTCAGCATTGAGCGTATAATTCGGGGACAATTCCGCGAGAGACGCTTCTTCTGGAAGACTGCTCAAGCCTTCAAGTGTGTTCAGGCCGAGCATTGAGCCTGTTCATGGCTCTGGCTCTTTTTTGAGAGACTTCACAGCTCGATACGATGTCGAATCATGGCCACTTTAGGGTAGGCATATCTGCTGTGCGAGTTGGAGTCGGTCGTCTCTTCGCCTTAGCGAGGCAAAATCATGAGGTAATAACAATTGCTCTTCAAAGCTGGACAAATTGCCGAGCCAGTATGATGTATGCTCCTCCTGATGCCAGCTGGCCACAAATTTAAATCAAGTCGTGAAGTAACGTCGTTCTGCAGTCACGGTGGAACTTGGGGCTGTGCCTGGCCTGGGCTAGGGCGCTTACTGTGGGGCACCGTGTCCAAAACCTCCCCATGAAATCCAGGGGTCTCGGACCTTCGCCTCGGCCCCACGCTACGCTCTCGTGCCTTAACCATCACCACCGTCCTACTCCTACTCCCACCTCCGACACGAGTAGGTAGGTCGCGTGCGATACATTTCACACCCCGAACACGATGCGCTGAATCCTTTCACGGGACCCGACATTCACAATGGGTCCGCTCACGCTCTTTCGAAACATCTACGACCTCGACACGCTCGACACGCGCTTTACCAGCTCGTCCCAGGTGCCTTACCAGACCGTCATCGACGCCCGAAGCGATCCTGCCACGAGCCGCCTCAAACCAGCAAAAGCACCGCCGTCGAAATGGAGGAGTCCCGAGTTCTTCGTCTACTACGCCGTCATCCTGATGGCCGTGCCTTGCATGTTCTGGGTGCCGTACCAGGTCTCCCGACCTGAAGACCCGCGCTATGGCAAGTACGCGCACTACCTGTGGCCGGGCTGGGTCCCGGGACGAAGGATCGACATTTCAGACTCCCAGTACTACACGTTTCGCGGCAATCTACCGGCCATGACCGCGTTGCTCATCTTCCACCCGCTGCTCCGCAAAGGCTGGAACGCTGTGTTCCCGACGAGTGACAAGAAGGAGAAGAGCGGCGGCCGGTTGGAGCAACGAGCGTCCTTTGACTACGCATTCGCCATCTTGTTCCTGTTCATCTTGCACGGCGTTTCTGCATTCAAGATTTTCCTGATCCTCAACATCAACTACCGGTTGGCCACCCAGTTGCCGCGCCGTTACATACCTTTCGGGACTTGGGCGTTCAACGTCCCATTGCTGTTTGCCAACGACATTTGCAACGGATACCGTTTCCGGGACATTGCCTACTACGTCGCGCCGCCACTGCAGGAGTGGGGTGGCTGGTTGGACAGCTACGGCGGCATCATGAGTCGCTGGGACATTCTCTTCAACATTACCATCCTGCGGCTGATCAGCTTCAACATGGACTACTACTGGAGCCTTGGCAAGAGTCACGCCAGCTCTATCGAGGTACGGGCCACCCATCTACTGCTGTTGCTCACATAACGTCTAATGCACCAAAGAAGAAGCAGCTCAATCCGGCTGAGCTCTCGGAACGCGACCGCGTTTCCATCTCGGCCAACGTGCACGACTACACGTGGAGGAACTTTGTTGCGTATGCCATCTATGCCCCGCTCTACCTCGTGGGGCCGATCCTTACCTTCAACGACTACATTTCTCAGTCGAAGCACAAGGTGGCCAGCATTGAGCGTCCGCGCACCATCCGTTATGCGATTCGCTTCATCCTCGTTCTTCTCACCATGGAGCTGGTACTCCACTTCAACTACGTGAATGCGATTAGCAAAAACAACCCTGATTGGAGCTCCTACACAGCGGCGCAACTCAGCCTACTGTCGTTTATGAACCTGCACATTATCTGGCTCAAGCTGCTGCTCCCATGGCGGTTGTTCAGGCTGTGGTCCTTGGTCGACGGCATTGACCCGCCCGAGAACATGGTTCGTTGCGTGAGCAACAACTACAGCACCCAGCTCTTCTGGCGGTCGTGGCATCGCTCGTACAACCGGTGGATTGTCCGGTACATCTATGTGCCCCTGGGCGGATCTTCCTTCCGGACGTGGCAGTCGACCGTGCGCTCCATCCTTACGTATCTGGTCTCGTTTACATTTGTTGCGCTGTGGCACGACATCCAGATGAGGCTTCTCATATGGGGCTGGTTGATTGTGCTGTTCATGGTGCCAGAATGGGTCGCCACTTGGCTCTTCCCAAAGCACAAGTGGGAAAGCCGCCCAGCAGAGTACCGGATGCTCTGCTGCGTAGGGGCCGTGGGCAACGTTCTCATGATGATCTCGGCGAACCTCGTGGGGTTTGCGCTAGGGCTGGATGGCTTGGAGGTCATTGTGAAGAGTATTCTGCACACCTGGTCAGGTAAGTGTTCCTTTTATCCGTTGCAAGGGAAACTGCAGGCTAACATGGAGCAGGTGTCATGTTCATGATGATTTCTTGTGCCTGCCTCTTCGTCGGCATTCAAGTCATGTTCGAAATCCGGGAGACGGAGAAGCGAAAAGGCGTGACTCTCAAATGTTGAGCTCGATAGAATAGATGTACAAGTGTATAGACCGGAAACGTTACCAAGTAAATGTCACGAGAATCATGGCAATAGTTCCGCGCATTCTCCCAAAGTGATCACGCTCTTTTACCCGGACACCACCTGAGGGTCTACTCTATTACCTTTTGCTCCTCAATGGCGTGAGATAAGGCATAACAGCCGCACATTGTAACACAGTCAAAAGTACTTAGCCAGCGAGATGGATATCATTTCAAGCAGATGGACCATGTACCAAGTGACAAGTCTGAGGAGACACCGTCTTCGGCTGGGGCGCGCGCGGGATGTGGGGGCGGAGCCAGGAACCACTTCCTCTGCCGCCGATCTTTGTGTTAAAGGGGAAAGACGACGATCCCAGGACACCTTACGCGGCGTATCTTAGTCCAGCAGCTAGTCTAGCAGCTTGAGTTCTTTTTGGGCCACTGCAGCTGGTGCAGTGGTACGGAGTACGTACGCACGTACTACGTAGGTTCACGATCACAGTGGGAACATTTTGGAACATTTTGTAGCAGCTATGCCCACAATGCACGGAAGCTTTGACCTCCTTTTCACAACATAGAATAATAACATGGCGATAGCACGGATGTAATTCTAGGTTCTATCATTAACCTCTCAAATCCCCACTGGCCTTCAGGCTCCAACGCAATGCTGCTGCAATAGTGGATTGGAGACATCTCCCCAACGTTGCTCTTCCATAGTCAATACCGTCGCTGCTGCGCGTGACCATGGCGGCCGACCGTCGCGTGTCCATAAGACAAAAGGGGTGGTCTGCCTGCGTGTCTTAATTCCAATCTAAGCAGTACGTACTCCGTACGCGTCCGCTGACGAGTCTCGACTCTTCGGTGCCCCGCTGTCGATGCCGACCAGCAAAGGGAGGGCGCGCTTTGCCGATCCGGCTTTGCGCGCCGGACGTTCATGATTTAATATGGCGAGATCAGCGTAAAGCGGAAATTGTCTAATGGACCAGTGATTGTGCAGATGTATGAATGGCAAGTTTAACAGAGCTGCCGCTGCCGTGATATAGCCTACAGGGCCGTTTTTGATTTTATCTTTGTTGGCACACGTGGAGATTGAGCTGCAAGGGACAGGGGCAAACGTAGCCCAGCAGAGAGGACTCACAGGAGCAGTACATTGAGCACGAACTATACCTTACTTGTCGCGCGTTATTAGCAGCTCACAGCCGTTGGGAAGAAGGTCAGGGTAATTAAAAAAAAAAAAAAAGTCGAAAAAAAGTAAAAAAAAACGGACGTGATTAATTGCTTGGCGCCCTTTGGACTGACTGTCTGTCGACTCTGTCCTCGCCCAGGCGAAATGAGATTCATCAATCAGCGAAATGCGAGGTGGGGGAGGGATGGACTGGACTGGAGCCTTCCGCCAGTTCGTTGACTGGAAGCCCAGGGCAGCCAAGCCTCTGCAGTCCCCACCAGTGCCTTCCAGTCCCAGGGGACATGGATGGAGAAGACGGCGGCACGTTCGCTGGGCCATTGACTGGAGGCACGCATGCCATGTCTCGACTCCTCCGTTTTCTTTCCCCGGACCTTTGTGACCTCGATCCTGATTTCGTCCTGCGCAGCATCTTGTCTTCGAATTGTTCCTGCTTGTTTCCCATTGCTTGAGGGCCGTCGACTGCGCGAACCCGAACGATCACGATCACGATCACGACCCACGACCCCTGCTTTGTCCTGTTCTGTCTCGTTTTAGCACGACGGGGGCTGAGCCGACGACAAATGTGGACGCGGGCGCATTGATAACCACCTGTCCACGCTCTACATTGAAGACAAGCAAACGAACCGGCCATTGCTCTTGGACCATGGCTGTGAACGGCGTCTGAACCTCGACTCGTGCGACGCCGAACATTCTATCTGCTCCGCCAACTACATTCGCTCGTTACACCGTCTCAATCTCGTCGCTTACACGACCTGCTACTATCCGATAGGGATCGGCGCGCAGCGTTCCATGGTTCATCCCGCTGTCAGACCACACGAATCGTCTCGAATACTAGTCTCCGGCACATTGGCGCAGCCATGACCTCGATCCAGCTGCCTCCACTCCAATTTGAAGATGGAGGCTTCCGCGTGTCCATCATCCAGGGAAGTTCAGCCACGGCCGGTGGAGGCAGTCCCTTCCCACGCCGGCAGGAGCCCGAAACCGAACCAGAATCTGTTTCAGAGTCCAAGCCGCCCGCTGCGTCCAAATCATTCCTGAACGGTGGATCGCAGTCAACATCCGAGGACGAAGATGGGTCTATTTTCGAGACGACCTCCGTCGCAGAGTCGTCAAAGCTCGACCTCGACTTTCCACAACCCCGTAGGATGTCAACGCCCCGAGCGAAGACTCCAACGTCCGAAATTGAGATTCAGATCGACGCCGAGCCGATGACCCCCCAAGAACAGCTGGCAGACGTGTCGGATCAAATACAAATCGAGCTCGATATTGAACCGAGGCCGTCGATTTCTGACTCGATCCTGCGCGGGGAGAATAACGTGACGGAAATGCCCATACACGACGACGAAGCATCGGTACCGAACGTCCCTTCACATCCGATCCCCCTGATGCAGCTGGCGTTCGCCGAGTCGCTGGCGGAAGTGACTACGGGTCCTGTGCGCAAACCACGGCTCCGCGAATTCGACGCAGCACAGCGGCGAGAGAGGCTCCTGGCTCAGACCAAGGATGACGAGCCATTCGATGCACCATGGCGCTACCGACCTGGCCAGAAGGAGCACGAAGTCCTCAAGCTCTTGTCGCAAATCTCATTCGGCGTCTACTTGCTACTCAATGGCATGGCCAACGACCATGCGCAGGTTGTCGGCATCCTGCAAGGCCATATTGACGAGGTCGACGAGTTTCTTGAGGTCACACTGGAGGACCTGGCGCAAGCCTCGGCGGACCTGGAAGACCGCATCCTGCTTTTAAGGGAGACGATATCGACCGGAAAGGATTTCGAGGAGAGGCTGGAGGATCGCAACTATCGTGCCGAGATTCTGGAAGGCAACGAGAAGATTGACCACGTCTTGGCGAGGATGAATGTAGTCATGCGGCAGTGGGATGACGACGTGGAAGCAGGTCTGCACGGCGTCTCTGCCTTTAAGGAGTGGTTGCAGGAGCTGCGAGATGGGGCGTGGAGAAATGGGCGCCCCGACCTGGTGGAGATCCACGATGCCATGAAGGGCAACGCCGACGCTTGGTTGAATGCGTTCGACGAGACGAACAGCCGAGCACAGGACCTGAACAGTCTCATCATCAAGCTCATGACCATCACAGCAGAGATGGCCCAGAAGGCGGGCGAGGTCAGTCGCAAGACGTGGTCCACCATCCCTCCGTACACGTCCCCCATGTCTGGGAGTCTGAAAAGCAAGACATCGATATCTTCGCCGCCTTCGGTACGGTCGAATCCCATGTCCAATGCCCGCATCAGTATCAGGAGTGGTTCGACCTCATTCGCGCAGCATTCGATGATGGAAGACGGTGATTCGGACGATGGGCTCGAGGATTTTCCACTCCCAGGCGTAACCCCATTGCTGCCACCAACGCGATACAGTGGTAACAGAGTCTCCAAGAAGATGTCTATCGAAACGACAAAATGGGGCCCAGAGCTCAGCGCGTCAAAGCCTCCTACTGTACAGGAGGTGCCAGAGGAAGAAAAGGAGGACGGGCCCTTGTACCTGTTGCAGCCAAGGACCTACACGCCCCTACTCCCCGAGCCCATGCCATCACCCAGGGTCAAGGAGGCGCCGGCGCCATCAACAACGCCTACGTCCACCGCTACTACTACTCGGCAACAACACGAGGTACTTCCACAAATACAGTCTCGAGGCTCCATCCGCCATCGAGTGTCTCTAAAAGGAGCACCGCCCGATGATATCCTGATACCGCCGACGGTCAAGCCTGGAGGTGCGAACGGACGAGGCTCGCCCGCCTTTGTCTCTCGGCGTAGCCACAACAATCATCATCTACAGACACGGGACTCGGAAGCAAGCTTTCACCGCGCCCATGGGTCGTCGGGCAGTAGCATGTTAGACGTGGACGCCCATCGTCAGCATGGTCTTCCTCGCGTTGCTTCTCACGCTGAGCTTGGACCGGCACGGCCACCGCTGATGGCATCGCCCAGTTCCGACTTTCAGCACTATCACCCAGTGCGAGCCTCACCCCACTCGCCATTGCAACAGAGACCACACACAGCGGCAGGACCGCAGCCGCATCCTACAACACCGCACTTCCCGCAACACCTACGCGGCCAACCGTCCCGCCTTGGAAGCATGGCAACGCTTGAAAGTATTGCAGCGACGAGCGCCGGTGATCGGGCAACGCGTCAAGGAACCCCTTCCGTCCAGACTGGACGAACCGTAAAGAAGAAAAAGAGCGCCTTTGGCTGGTTCAAAAAGGCGTTCACCATGGACGACGACGAAAGGGCCGCATTCGAAGCCCGCAAGCAAATGGATGCCCCCGATAATTATTACAAGGACAAGAGTCCTAAATTCCTCGACGGCAAGAGGCTGAGATAATTGCTCTGATACCCAACGCACACCACACTATACACAGCTATCGTCTTGACTTGACAGCGACTTCTTTTTTGTCTATATGGGGCTTCTATTACCCTTCCTCGAGCGCAGCCATGAGATGTTGATCTCCTTGTATATAGGCTTACTTAATGACCATGGGACCGTTGACTTTATGCGGATATAGGGGCAATGGCAATACCATGCTGATGGAAATGTGTTTGCACGTGTCTCGTGAGCTCATTTATTGGATCGATCATCTCTATAGGGGGCTTGTTTACGCGCCAAACCCATAACTCCGCACGCGGCTAAAGAAAAATGGCTTGTCGTTCTTGGGGCCAAATTGGCCCCAGTCAGCCGACAGCTTGTTGTAGCTGTAGAACCCACGCCAAACAAGCTTGTTGTTCCGCGCGCCCTTGCCCGCATTGCGCAGGGACAGCTCCATGCGGTACATGTACCGCGGCTTGACGCCCTCCGTCTCAATGTAGAGGTCGCCTTCGCGCTCTTCCAGCGTCTTGCCGTGACTCTCGTCCTCTTCGTTGGCGAGTCGCCAGCGGCCTTTCAGGGCGAGACTCATGACGGCCCCAGGCAGGTTGCTCGCATGGCCCCGGTCCTTGTCGCCCTTGTGGCGCGCCAACTCGTCTTTTGTGAGATGATGTACCACATCGCCCGGCTCACTCGTTGTTTGGAGGGAAATGCACGAGCCGTCGCGGTAGAAGCGCAGATAGCGGTAGTACGTGACGATGAGGACGGGCGCACCGCCCCACGTGGCCTGGTTGGTGGACTGCTGGCCCGAGCGGACGTAGTTCACTGTCGATATGTAGCAGCCATTGAATCGTATCCTGGGACGTCGGAAGAATTGCGTCTGCCATGATGGATATGGGGAAGGGACCAGAGACAGGGTTTTGATGTGCTCTTCTCGCATCCTGGCCTCCTGTATGTCTCTCGTGTTGACAATGTCGCCGCTCGGAAGTTCCGTCCATTCTGGCAGCGGTTGCCACTCCTTCTCGATACCCCAGTGACGCCAGAGACCTTGGAAGCCAAACTCCCTCCCTATGCATACCCTACGCCATATGCGTTGCTCCGAGGAGACTAGGTAAGCCAAGCGCTTGCACACCAGCGACAGCCGTGCAAAGTCCGCGACATCAGCGATGGCGACGTCGAGAAGGATGTGTGAAAGCAGTTCGTCAGGCAGTTCGGAAATTGGGCAGGGTGGTTGCGGCATGCCCTCTACGTCTGGCGGGGTTGGTTCGATGGCCAGTGTGGAAAAGGACGCAATGAGCTCCTGGATCGTCAACGGTTGGGGCTCATCAGGTTCCTGAGGCTGTACAGGTTCTGATGTTTCCTTCGCCGCCGAGACCTGCTTCTTTGGTTTGGTATGCCCTGGCGGGAAGTGTTTCTCCCGATACCGCTTGTCCACGGTGTTGTCCAGCTTGTAAGCTTGCCGGTAGAGCTTCAGGCTGTCGCCCATGTTCCCCTGCGCTTCCCTCTCCATGGCCTCTTCAAAGTGATCCAACGCAGAGACCAGCTCTCTTGGGGGTTCCTTGCTCGGCCCCGTGAGAGTGTGCCCCGTGGGAGGGGGTGCCTCGTCAAAGGCCTGGCCGTGCAGGTAGTCATTGTCGTCTTCAGCATAGATGGCCTTCTTCCTTGCCGGGACCTGAGCTGACACTTTCCGCCTGTGCTTGGCCGGCGCTGATGATGACTCTCCTTGGCGCGGCCCAGAAGTAGACGATGGCTGGTTGCCTTTGGAGTGTAGATCCGTAAGCCATTGTTGGCGGAACGACTCGAGCTCTGTGTCGAGCTGGGTGCTAGATCCGGAGGTCATGGTACATGTGGGCTAGAGGGCTGTGAATGGGTATGCGTAGTGCTCCTTATTATGGCGGCATTGTCTTCTCATAAATAGACAGACTATAGCTGAATAGGTTGGGGTTTGAGTGAGAAGAAAGGAAGCACGTCGATGATGTTACTTGAGGCGCTGGTAGGTGAGATAAGCAATGCGGCTTATCGATACTGCGATAAGGAACCCCGATGAGCCATACGCCGGGTGTCCATTGCCCTGCGGCAGCCAATCGAGAGATGCCCGGAAATCGGCGAATTGGGGACCTTTCTCATCTCCGGCCTCGCGACAATCCAAAAAAATTGGTGGAGCTCTTATCAATCAATCATGACGACCATACTCATCACTTCCTCCCGCCTCGACACCAACTAAGTGCCCTGACACGACCGCGAAATAAGCAGCGCGAAACCAGAACCACACGGTGTCCCGAAGAAACGATTATTGATGCGCATACGACCTACGTTGTGCGACTGAGGAGGACAGCATACAGGGACACACACTCAGCATCTCGGCGCCACCATGGCCGCCGCCGGTGCGCAGGCAGTCAACATCAAGGCCAACGATGATGCCTCCGGTGGCGCAGTGCCACCAACGGGCCCAGATACGTTCGAGGTCACCACGGGACAGAAGATGCTCTCTGCCATCACTGGTAGTCTGCTGACGTCTCTTCTAAGTATGTGCTTGCCGAACGGATGGTGGTCAATGTTCAAGTACTAACGCGAGGCCAGTGACACCTCTCGATGTCGTCCGCGTACGATTGCAATCGCAGAACCCTCGCCCGAGCCCCTCACCGAACCTCGACTTTACCCGCCTCACCATGTCGACGACGAGCCTCACACCAGCGCAAGCATCAGAACTCGGCGTCACAGCATGCTGCCGCGAGGTCTTCTTCATGGGCAACAATGCCGAATATTGCCTGGCGTCCACCCCCAAAATAGGCGTCGCGACCACGACCACGTCAATAACGCCGCCTGTGGACTGCGCCGTGCAGGAAACACAGCGCAAGACATACAGCTCAACGCTCGATGGGCTACGGAAGATTGCGCGGAATGAGGGCGTCACGACCCTGTGGCGAGGTCTCTCCCCCACATTGGTGATGGCGGTGCCTGGCAACATTATCTACTTTACTGGGTACGAGTGGCTGCGATACAACCACAAGTCGCCCTTCTCCAAGATGTCGGACGACTATGCACCCTTGACTGGCGGATCCGTCGCGCGCATCATGGCCGCGACAGCGGTTGGGCCGATTGAGCTGGTGCGCACGCGGATGCAGGCCGCCAACTCATCTTCCACAGGCAACCACATGGTGGAGACCTTCAAAGGTATACGAGAGATGGTCGGTCAGCAAGGATACACGTCCTTGTGGAGAGGCTTGACGTTGACTCTGTGGAGAGACGTCCCCTTCTCAGGACTGTACTGGTGGGGATACGAAGCGATCCGGTCACGGCTATCGGACATTCGAGAGCAGAGGAAGGGCAAGCCGGTCGATAGGAACGCCTCGCACGCCGATCGCCGAACACAGATTCCGGAAAACCACACGGAAACATTCCTCGACAGCTTCGCGTCGGGTGCTCTTTCGGGTGCCTTTGCCTCCATCGTCACCACACCCTTTGACGTGGGCAAGACCAGGACCCAGGTGTACCGGGACGCGGAAGGGCCGCAACGCCACATGGCGCGGCTGCTGTGGGAGATCTTCAAGACAGAGGGAGTCCAGGGCCTGTGGAGAGGATGGATCCCTCGCACGCTCAAGGTGGCACCTAGTTGCGCCATCATGATCAGCACGTACGAAGTAGGCAAGCGAGTGTTCAAGGGGGTGAACGAGCGGGCAGCAGGGAACAAAGAGAAGACACCATAAAGTACACGGGCCTTGGTGAGGCTACCAGTGTCATTTGCATCAACTTGGGCGTTTTGGGCGGAAAGGGTTGGAGACCACTCCTTTTACTCCTTTTGATTCTTTTACATGAGCGATAGACGAGCACGTGTACGATACATGTATCTGACAGAAACGATAGACGTAGCTTAATTATGCGCAGAAGCCATGCGGCTTCGCAGAATCAAGTAATTCAACCATGCCAATGCAGCGCCAAACCAGTTCCGCAGCAAACTCACGTCCCACCACATCCCCGTTTGCCCCTCCAAAATTTCATCACCATCGACTTCACTTCTCGTCTGCCTCTGTCATGCTCACCGTCCCAACATAGCAGTCATGTATACCCTCACAAACACCGAGGCATACTCGCTGCCCTCCTCTGACTGGATAACCTCACTTCTCCGCACATCCGCGACCACCCTCACTTCGATATCGACGGATGGCTCCCTGTCGCTGCACAACCCTGCAGCCTTACCCCAAGGACCGCTCAAGTCATTCAAGACAACCCATGACACTATCTCCGTCCTCCAGCCATGGGACGACAACGTTGTCGCGACATCAGGATGGAACGGCACCGTCACGTTGTGGGATTTCCGACAGCAGAAGGGGAAAGCACTTGACTTCAAAGCCTGCGACGCCCCAGTCCTCAGCATGGCCACTCATCCCGGAAGCCAAGCGTTGAGCGTTGGCACAGAACTCACGCACCACCAGGCGTCCATTCACATCTTTGATATTCGGGCTGCCCAGGCTACGCCCAAGGCCGCATACCACGATCTTCACTCTGACGACATCACCACGCTCACCTACCATCCCACACGCCCCAACATCCTGTTGTCGGGCTCTACGGACGGCTTGGTCAGCGTGCACGACACCAGCATCACAGATGAGGATGAAATGACCATCCAAACCCTCAATCTCAACGCCTCCATCCACACAGCCACGTTTGTCGGCGACAGCAGCATCGTCTCCGCCCTCAGCCACGACGAAAAGTTCGCCCTCTACGACATTAGCGACACCCGCGAGAATGGCGATGCGCTGGTGGACTTTGGCGATCTACGACAGGGCCTGGGCTGCCAGTACGTCTGCGACGTCATCCCCAAGCGTGACGGCAGCGGCGCCATTGTCGGGTGCGGCGCGCAGGACAATCACGAATTCGGCCTCGTCTTCCTGGCCAAGGGACAGCAGGAGGGTCTGTGGACGTTGGATAAGAGCGCGGGCGTGGGCCTGCCCGGTGGTCATGGGGAAGAGATCGTCCGGGATTTTTGCTTCTTTGACGAGGAGCAGGTCGTCTTCACGGGCGGCGAGGACGGTAAGATCAAAGCATGGCGGCCGTCATAGGCCTTCTGACAGTTCAAAAGAAAAAAAGAGAAAATGTCATGGGTATCATTATAATGCCATCCGTCAACCCCACTTGTCGTGCTTGCCCTTGACCTTCAGATCCAGCAGCACCTCGTGGTAGCTCCCGTCTTTCCTCGCCTTCTTGAGCATCCTGACCTCGTCTTCCTCCAGCCGTCGACCTGCCGCCTCCTCAAGCTCCTTGCGGCTGATCTTGGCCAGCGCCTTCTCCTCCTTGCCAGCCTTAATCTTGGGCTTGAACCGGGCCTGCATCCGTATCCGCAGCGTGGTGCCAAACGAGACGGCGTCCGCGTCGCCCCGAATCTCGGGCGCCTTGCCGCCGTCCTTGGTGAGCAGATATGTCTCGCGCTGCGTCTGCATCTGGAACGTCCCCGGGGTGTCGGCCGTGGGGAACACGTCCCACATCTCCAGCGGGCTGACAGCCTCGCTCGCCGCGCCGAGGCTACCCACCTTGTCGCAGCTGAGGAAGCGCCCGTTGTGGCCCTTGAAGCGGAACTTGTCCGTGCCGGCGATCTTGTTGGCGACCCAGACCATGCGGACGTCGTGTGGCTCGCTGCTCGCGGGGTTCTTGTCGACAATGTTCTCAATGGGGATCGTGAACACGCTCCCGGCAGGATCGCACGACAGCGCGCTCGGAGGCTCGGTCGGGAGGACAATCATGACAGGTCCAACAATGTCTGTTGCCGCCTCGGCGGAGACCCATGTGTCGTCGTTCACGTCGCCATCCTCTTCGCCGGCGAGCTTGGTCACTTGCTTTGATGGTTCGCCCGACTCGTCATCTGGATTGGCGGGGCGCTTCCGCTTTTTGGGTTTCTTGTCGCCTTTGAAGGAGAGTGGTTTGACCATTATGTGGGAGATGGAGGTCTCAAAGGTGAGGAGGACATGGAATTGAAAGTTGGAGATTTTCGGGGACCGCCGCGTTCCACTGACGTAGGGGAGTTGGCGTGACTAATCCCCCGCATGATCTTCTTCCCCCCACACAGCGTGAGGGACCAGACGCCTTTAATTAATCCAAGGGACCCTCACTTTTGATTCTCTGAACATAGTACTATTGGTGTTATAGAGAATACAAGATGGTAGCCCAGGCACAAGCTGTCACAGTTCCCCTGCAGGAGCTCAAGGATGGTCAGTAACACGATCTTTGGACAGTGACCATACTAAAGATCACAAAAGGCACCGTCTCCTTTGACACCCTCAAAGAAGCTTTTGGTCCAGACTCCCTGGGTATCCTAGTCGTCAAAGACGTGCCGCCCGAGTTTGCCCAACTACGCCACCTGGCTCTGTCGTACGCGTCGTACCTGGGCAACCTCCCCAGCCATGAGCTTGGTATGACTGCGACCCCCCTTACCCTAGACCAGAGTGTCCGCGGAACCTCGTCTGACAGAAGGCAGAGAAGCTGGAAAATGCAGCGTCAAAGTACTTGACAGGATGGTCTCTTGGCAAAGAAACTCTCAAGAATGGACAGGTGGACACCTTCAAGGGCTCCTACTATGCAAACTGCGCCTTCTACACGGATCCCTCCCTGGAGTGCGCCGTGCCTACCGCTGAGTTCTCCCCAGAGACTTTCCCCGAGTACCTGTCTCCCAACATCTGGCCAGACGCCTCGCTCCCGGGGTTCAAGCCCGCAGTGACCACCCTCTGCCGCCTGATCATCGACACCGCCGTCCTCGTCGCCAAGGCTTGCGATCGCTATGCTGAGCAGAGCATCGGGGGCTACAAGCCGGGATACCTAGAGCACGTCGTCAAGACCAGCACAACGACCAAGGCGCGGCTGCTGCACTACTACCCGCAATCCGGCGGCGAGGAATCGCAGGGGAGCGAAGATGACTGGTGCGCGACACATCTAGACCATGGCTGTCTCACGGGTCTTACATCAGCCATGTTCATCGACGAAGCAGCAAATCCCCCCACCATTGCTGAACAGCCTTCCGCTGGTACTGGCGCGTCGCTGCCCCCTCTGCCTGAGTTGGCGGCATCCCCGGATCCCGAGGCTGGCTTGTACATCAAGTCACGTTCCGGCGAGACGTACCAGGTCAAGATCCCACGGGACTGCATCGCGTTTCAGACGGGAGAGGCCCTGGAGCGGATCACACAGGGCAAGTTCAAGGCCGTGCCTCATTTTGTCAAGGGCGTGGGTTCGGGCAAAGGAGGCCATGTGGCGCGGAACACGCTGGCCGTATTTACCCAACCGAACCTGGGAGAGGACGTGGATATCGAGCAGGGTCTGACATTCGGTGAGTTCGCGCGTGGCGTTGTAGCGAAGAATACCGTGTCATGAGGCATCGAATGGGAAGGGATGTTCATAGTCCAAAAAAAGTTCGATTCATGTTGTAGCCAGCATACAGCCCCAGAGGGTCGCTTGATCTTGGCAAGCGGCTTCTGCCACAAACCGAGCAAAAAAACAACTCAACTGTTCAACCGATCTCCTCCACTGTCTGACCTGGTTTTGCCAGTGACCCACCGCGTCTCCCCCTTTTCTTGCCGACACCTTGGGCCGTGACAGCACGAGCCATGACCTCTTCCATCGAGAAAGACCTTACGCCCATGCGCCGACAAGACTCATGCAAAAGGCTCCCAGGAACACGATTACGCATGCCACAACCCTCTTTTTGCCGCGCAGAACCCTCCAGCTATCGTCCGAGAGGAAGTCCTCCGCCATGAGCTCCACCAGGGACGCAAACACCAGGAGCCCAGCCGAGATGGCGTTCATGACACCGACGAGGATGAGGCCAATCTCGGAGCCTGGTGAGTACAGCGTGTGCGTGGCGAGGCCGATGGCCTGGCCGAGGGGCGTGGTGCAACCGTACGCCAACGCCATAAGCCACGGCTGGAGCTTGTAAGACTCTGGCCACTTGACCATGGAGATGCGCGCACCGAGGGCGAGGCCTTCAAAGGTTTCTGACAAGTGTTAGCGATGGACAAGTCTGCACAGCATGCAAGAGGAACTCACGATGGAAGGTGATGGCAATGAGCAGGACTATAAAGTCGTTGCCGACCGACACACTGAGCGCCATGCCGATGAAGATACTGTGGAAGAGGATACCCAGCTCGAGTAGGACACACTGGAGACGCTCCTTTCGGAGCTTCAGCTCGGGCAGGGACTTCAAAGCAGATGACTCTTCGGCATCACTGTCTCGGCCGCTGTCGACATCCCCGTCCTCAGATGGCCTTGCCTCCTCCACGACGGAGAGCTGGTTCAGACCATGACCGACGCTGGAGGTGCGCGCTTTAGGTGGGGCCATGTCGCACATGGCAAGAGCCTGAGGATCTTCCACGCTCGCGGGATCATCGCCCTGGACGGCGGTGGTGGCGCCCTCCTGTGGTGCGGATGGTGGCGGGACCGAGGTGCAGCGACGAGCAGGGTGGAAGACCATCTCGATGACGGTGACAAAGAAGATGGCGGCGAGCGAGATGGCGCCCGGCATGGCTGGGTAATCGCTGACCCAGAAGCTCCCGAGGCAGGGGTCTCCGAGGGACACGAAGGCCGTGGGGAGCAAGTGGACAAAGGCAGTGGCGATGAGGACGCCCGTGCCAAAGTGCCGAATGACGAAGAAGAAGCGCGGCGGGATGCGCAGGCCGGGGAACTTCTTGGCCAGGAGCGAGAAGGCGCAGGCCGTGGTTGAGACGAACCAGATGATCATCAGTGCGCCGACGTGCAGAGGCATGTTATACTCGGCACTGTCGACGCCATTGGCGGCGCAGGTCGACCTCTTGCGCATCTCCTGGATACCATCACCGCCATTGCTCTGGGTGAAGGGGGCAGGCACAGGATGCGTCGAGGCGGGCGTGGGCACCTCACGAGTGGTAGCAGTGTGAGGGGCGAAGAGAAAGGTCATAATGAAAGACATCAGAAGAACAGAGGCAACCCAGGTGCACCAATCCCAAAGACGTGCAAGGCACGCCGGGTTGGACACCTTCTTAAGGAGGCAAGACTGGTCATCACCATCAGTCGTGCGCTCCCGACAGCGCGAGACGGACAGTCCGTGAGACTGCTCGTGTCCCACGCTGTCGCCTCTCCCACCGTGACATGTGTCATCGCCTGGCGGTGTGCCCTGGTGATACCACTTTTCAGCTTCGTCTGCTGATGACACAGTGCCTCCTCCCGCATCGTCTTCGTCCTGGCCGGAAGCGACGTGTTCGCGCAGGTTGGCGATGCCGTTGAGGTCCTGGCGGGTTGTGGAGCTGGCGGCCAAGGGCCTGGGGCTCTGGTTGAAGGTGAGGTGCTTGAAGGTGCCCTCGTCGGCCTTGCTAAGGCAAATCATCTTCACGACTGGTGCTGATCCGTTCTCGAAGGCAGAGGAGGGGCCGATTGAGCTGGTGCGTAAGAATGAGATGTCTGAGTTGAATACTATTTGATGTTGACGGGATCAAGTACGAAGTATGTAGCCGTAATCAATCAGGGATTGACGTGGACATTGAAATCAGATTATCAGACAAGAGTCAGTCAGTCACTGCAGGTGCGAATCACACGGTTCGTTCGTCTCTAGCGCAGAGATCGGGCGCCCTGGATCCGCCCGGAAGCAGCCAGGGCATGTGAGTGGCTGGATCTGTGCATTGCTGGCCGGAAGCGGTATAGCGGCAAGAGCATAGCATGTCTTTAAATGCTAAATGACATTGACACCCAGATCTCGCACTCACACCAAAACCCTTTCTGTGTTGACAATGCACGACGGTCTCAACGCGGCCTCACTGTGCTGTGGCAGCAGCTTGCTGTTCACATACATAGACAGGCAGTAACCCGTTTCACCTTGCTAGAGTCACACTGATTGCCGAATCGCCCGACTGCGTTACGTAGAACGGACGCTGCCCGAACGTCAAGCAGTCGGGACTGGTCGGAGCACTCCAGGCGATCGCATTTCCATGCCGAGGGAACGCGGTACAACTCGACCCAATCATCGAGCTGCCCAGGCTTGCATTGCGTAACATATGGTTGGGGACATGCGGAGTAGGGAGCAGGTGCTGTCTAGTAATTAATTACTAGACCAGAGGCTTGGGAGGTTCCCGGATGCGCGTGCTCCCGGTGGTGTTCTGGAGCAGTCGAGATCGGCACCACGAAGGAAGAAAGATCAGATAACGTACACTCTGTCGTGACACTTATTGCTCATGAATTAGACTACGTGCAAAGAACTTGATCCATATGCCTTCTCTAGTTAGCAAGATGCCATTGAGATCTTCTCGGTCGGGAGGAGTCGACAAATCCGGATCTAGTAAGCCCCTCCCCCGCGCAGGAAAGGGTGCCATATTAAAGCGATCAGACCGCGCCCAAATGTAGCGGGACATTGCTCGGCCGTAATTATGGCCGCACTCGGTACTGTGATTCAGCTTCAGCTACTACCACCTTAGTTAGTACCTTATGGAGTAAGGTAAGGTAATGTAATGTCAGCTTCCTCGTGCTTGACATCATCGCCATCGTACATGTACGCAATGCGTATCGCATCCCCTCTCATCCGCCTCCATCTCCTCCACAAGACACAGTTCCATCTCCCACTGCAGTCCATCAACCTCACAAGACCCTTTCACACAACCCCAACCATCATGGCCCTTCCTCCCAAGTTCGCCGGCACTGCCAAGCAGCTCGCCTCCCCGCAGGCATCGTCGCACCCGTCCATCATCCCCACCGCAACGCACACGTTCGAGGTCTACCTAGACTACGTCTGCCCCTTCTCCGCCAAGCAGTTCAACACGCTGCACTCAGTCGTGTTCCCGCTCGTCAAGGCGAACCCCCAGTGGGCGTCGAGCCTGACCTTCATCTTCCGCCAGCAGGTGCAGCCGTGGCATCCGTCGTCCACGCTAGTCCACGAGGCTGGCCTGGCCGTCTTGCAGATCGCCCCGGACAAGTTCTGGGACTTTAGCCAGAAGCTCTTTGACGACCAAAAGGCGTACTTTGACGTCAACATTGTCAACGAGACACGCAACGCGACCTACCGTCGCCTCGCCGACCTCGCTGGCACTGTCGGCATCGACAAGGACAAGTTCTACAAGACGCTGGTCATCCCGGACAAGCCAGGCGAGGACGGCGCGCTGAACGTCGGCAACCAAGTGACCAACGACTTGAAGGTCGTCACCAAGATGAACCGCTTGATTGGCGTGCACGTCACCCCGACGGTGGTCTTTGACGGCGTCGTCCAGGACACAAGCTTATCATGGGGCAAGGATGAGTGGGATGCCTGGCTGAAGAAGAACCTCGTCTGAAGGCGGGCGAGCGAGCTGAAGCATCGATTGTGAGATGGTCGAGTCTCCAGTTGACCCTGACGCCGCTCATGTTCAGGAATGTAGTATTCTACGAGAAGAAAGTCTAGGCTCAATCATCTATATAATCACATATATTAATCGAAAGCCAATTTGTCTCAATGCATGCGATCAAACTCAATTGACCAGGGGTGATTTGGATCTCATCTCGTTCATGTCACGTGGACGCGCGTTGCCAACCTTCAAGTTCCGCGATCAAATTTCGACTCATCGAGCCACCCAACAGAGTAAAATGCTGGCAACAAGGGTTTTGCGCGTCAGCGCATTCGCAAAAACGCCATGCCTCCGCTCAATGGCTTCGAGGGCCGCGAATTGTGCCCGATTGCCTGTCCGACCGCCTGCTGGTCATCATCGCCTCTACTCATCCAAAGTCGAAGAGTCGATCAAACGTGTCGCGCGTGAAGCAGCCACCAAGGTCCAGAACACAGGTACGCATGAACAGAGAATCGTCCGATAAAAATACACTATGGCTAACATATCCAGCGATACCGCGCAAGGTGCTCATCTACCACGCGGGCACGATCCGCACCACGTTCCTCGGATTCCTCAAGGCGTCCACCCTGCTCGTCGGGGCCTTCTACCTCAGTCTCGTGGTGCCCGCCTACATCAAGGAGGGCAAAGATCCACTGGAAATTGTCAAGGTGGCCGCCTGCGGCATCATCCCCGCCGTCTTCATCGGTTTCATCTCGACGCCGTTCGTGACACACATCCACATCCGACTGCCGCAGTCCGTGGCCGGGTCCAGGCAGTACATTGAGCGATATCTACAGACGGGCGGTCTCAAGCCTACGACACCTATCGAGGTGACGACTGTTGGTGTCATCGCCACGCCGCGCACCTTCATCATCCCCGCGGGCGATCTCCTCCCGACACGTCGGAGAATGGGCATTGTCAACTACGTCCGCCGGTCGTCGCCAGAGCTGGAGCAAGAGATCAAGCAGAAGAAGTGGTACCAATTCCGCCCCGCTACACACTTTTACATACAGCAAGGTCGACCTGGACAACCGCGCCAGACACGCTACCACGACCCCAAATCCGACAAAGTCCAGTGGTGGATCTGGGAGACGCTCAAAGAGAAGCTCGACAAGCGCGCGTCCGTCTAATTAGTTTGGTCTACCTAGGTCGTCACAACGCCATACCAGATCATGCCCATGACGCCGCCAAGGACGATGGCCACCCAGGGCTTGAGACCGAACCACATGCCCCCGACGAAGCTGGTGGCCGTGACGACAACCCACCACGGCTCGACGGCCAGACTCGTCCCGTCACGATACCCCTCGTCAATGTAGCCAATCTGCCAGAGCCGGTACACGGCCGTGTAGATGAGGCCCACGGCCCCCGCGTTGAGACCGCGCACGGCCGATTTGACCCAGCGCCAGCCGCGGATCGCGCTCCAGATCCCCACGGTGCCATGCACAAGCCACATGCCCGGCAGGAAGATGCCGAGATACGCCACCAGCGCGCCCAGCGCCGCATTCTGCCCGCCGTTGATGGCCGTCAGGCCACCGAGATAGACGGAGAAGTTGAAGTTGGGGCCGGGGAAGGCCTGGATGATAGCTAGACCGATCAAGAAATCACGGGGGCTCACCCACCCCTCTGTCACCACGTACTCGCGCAGCAGCGGGATGACCACCGGCCCGCCGCCAAAGATGATTGTGCCCGCGAGATACATGTTGGCGAACAGGCGGTAGAGCAGCGGCTGGCCCGGCAGCACGCCGCGGATAACCATGATGACGGTGAAGCTGAGCAGGAAGAGTGACACCACGCCCAGTCCCACTTTCCACGACATGCCCACCTCCACGCGGTGACTCTCGGGGATCACGCGCGGCTCGTCCTCAGTCTCGGTCGACGGGAGGATTCCCTGGTTGTCCTGCTGCTCGGGTGGCGGTGTCAACGGCCCGTTGCGCGTGTCTCTCGACGTCCTCTCCTCTTCCTCCGCGCAACTTGCCGACCTGCCACTCTGTACTGCATTGCGCTCCATCTCAATCTCCTCATCCCTCTTCTTCTCAAACAGGCGCGTGACCTTGTGCACGACGGGGTGCAGCCATCGAAAGTCGTGGATGATGGTCACGATGCCGCATGCCACCATGAGCACGGGGAAGTACCAGAGTGCGTTGTACAGCAGACCCGCCGCGCCGGCGAGGAACACGAGGATGCGCGTGACCTTGTCCGTGATGGCCTTTTGCGACAGCTCCACCGCGGCGAGGACGATGATGCCGACCGTCGCGGCGTTGAGGCCCGAGAGGAGCGCGTACACCGCGCGGGGCAGCTGCTCGGAGATGTTGGACACGCCGATGGAGAGAGCGTACATGCCAATGGCACCGGGGAGACTATTATCATGTCGCCACCATTAGGATCAGTCGTCGGATAGGGTACTAGGGATGCTCTCGCAGTCCCGGCACGCACCTCCATATCAGAAAGCCCAGCACCGCGCAGGGGAAGCCGGAGTGGAGCAGATTGATACAGTAATGCATCTTGGTGCTGCCGGGCCCGCTGAGGGCCTGGCAGATGCTGAACAGCTCCTGGTACTGGGTGGGCAAAGCAGTCAATACATCGTTTCCGCTTGTTTTCTCTCCTAGGCACGTACAAGCTGTTCATCCAGCCATCGTAGCTTGACGACATGTTTGTCTCGAAACTGGTCCTCTGATTAGCGCAAGGCCTCACGCGACGGGCGAGAATGCGCGCCACTCACAATCTTGAAGTGCACTGGCGGACCACCAAAGGCAGTGAAGCCGAGATGCCAGTTCACCTTGATAGTCTCCCACACCCGCGCCTTGAACGTCAGATCTTCGGTGGACGCCATGTCGGGCCAAGGCAGAGTGTCGCGGCAGGTTCAGGAGCGTAGGTAGATGCTGCGAGTACGACAGGCACGCCAGACACTTTTAAAAGGCGACCGGCATGAGTCTTGATGAGCCTTGATCGGTGGAGACGCTATGCTTGAGCATCGATCATTGGCTTGGCAGGGGACGGCACGGCTGGAAAGTTTATTACTTACCAGGACCCCTACTGTACGTAGTCTAAGGCAGAGAACTGAGGCTTCCCACCCCTGTGCCCTCCGGACATACCTATATGCGTGAGTCCACCGGAGCTGCAGCCTACAGTACGCACATCAAAGGTCACATCATCATGACCATATCAGGACCGCTTCCATCTCGACGGCAGCAGAATTTCTCGAAGAATCAAAGAACCAACGACAGCTCTTCCAGCAATTCACAACGCTAATTTGGCATACAAAAGCTTGGCGATGCACGGGGTCGCCCACGTGCTTCATCCATAGGCGGCGATTGCTTCATGTGCAATTGAAATTTGATCCCACAAAGCTCAACCTACTTAATATCAACGCCTTCAGCCTTTTCGTCCACCATTGCTCTTTTCATATTTGCGCCCGAGAAACAAAGGCCGACGAGATTTCGCGCCTTTCCAGCCGGATCCAAAAACCGGTACCATTTTAATCCAAAAACGCCCAGGGCACCATACGATCAGCTCTGAAAAGCAACGCCCAAAGAGCATACATGTACGCCAGCAGGTCATGGGTATCCAGCATCGCTGCCATTCGTAGTATACATGGTCCATCCAAGGTACCTGTGCTCAACCCCTTCATCATTCAATTCATTTCAGTGACGTCGTTGCATCATTTGCGAGGAACCATCATAGTCCCAAGCGCGCTTGAGCCCTCCCTCGTACACGCTGGCCACAGACGCCTGCCACTGAGCGGGCGAGATGACAATGGGGGCCGGCGGCGCACTGTACTGCTGCGGTGAGAGCTGGGAGGGGCCGCCCTGCTGCAGGCTGTCGTTCGCCCCATTGTACTCCTGCATGTTGCTTCTCTCATGAGGACCTGGAGGTGACGAGAAGTTTAGCGGTCCGTTCCGGGAGACTGCAGTCGCGGTGTCAAGCGTACCAAAGGATGTGTTCCATTGCCTGGGAGAATGTCAGCACTGCTCTTCCCACCACGCGCGGTGTACACTTACTCAAAGATCCGCGCCGGATTCCACGCAGGCTGCTCAGGCAGCGTCATATTCTGGTGCAGAGCTGGGACCTGACCGCCTTGGGATATCATAACCATATGGGGCTGTCCAACGGGAGAGTCACTTTTGCTGTCCGCGGCACCAGAGGAAACTGGGGGTGTGATGGGGTAGCCGGGGAAACTAACGTTTGGAGCGCTCTGCGCTGCTGCGTCCAGGAGAGGATCCTTGGGTCCTACGCGGTCGACCGCGGGTCGATAGCCCTGGGGGGGCTGCGGCGGGCTGGAGTGGTTAGAAGGGTGCGGGCTGCCGTACGGGAACGTCGGCTTCAGCTGGAAGGGCTTCCGCGTGTCGGCTGAGAAGGCCTCCCGCACAGCCTCGACCTGCTGGCGTAGCTCCGGCATTGTCCAAACTTCCATGACTTTCTCCATGATCCGCATGTGCCGCGAGAAATACTCGGCAGCGTCTTGGTTGAAATCCGGGTCGGGAGACACGATGCAGACCTATACAATGTGAGCAGCGAGTCTATCCGCAGAGGGCTTGCAAGAACTGACCAGATGAAGAACGATGCATGACAATCCGCAGTAGACCGTGAAGCTGTAGCCACGTTGCATACACATAAGCCCCTCCAAGCCACTGCTGTTCACTATGGCCTCCTGGAGTTTGCACAGCGACTTTGCGGAATCGTAGCACTTGGCCATGTGGTGCTTCCACTGGGCTGCGTTGGTCGTGGGGTCCAGGAAAGACAGCTGTGGTCGATGGTAGAGGATCACACTGAGGTGATAGTATGAATGAAGGTTGCCGAGGAACGACGACGGGAGCCAAGGTGGTGATCCATCCGGCGGATAGGTGACAGCCATGTCGGCTGGGAGCTCGGGCAGAAACGACGCGAACCCTTGGTTCAGCTGCACCATTTCTGGGTCGATGCCCCAATCCTTCTTCTTCTTCACTCTGGTGTACACCGAGCTCATCCGGCGCACGTTGCGCACGACGCGCGCAAAATACACAAAGTTCCGCGAGACCTGCTCATCCTCCTTGTCGCCACCAGGCATAGGCTGTGGAACGTCAAACTCGACGCTGTCTTGCGGGACGGCCAAGTCGTGCCGGCCCTGCGGCGCCCCGACCATCACCTCACAGACAAACACTGTCTGCCATATGCGAGTTCGTAGTCGACACTCGAGTAGGTTGTACTCGCAGCCACGGCCCGATTCGTGGTCGTCGTGGTGCTCGTCGAGCCCAAGGTCGATGCCCATTTGCACGCACTGCACCACCGTCATCCATGACCGATAGTAGTACCCACGCTTTGGTGAGGCCTCGCGGGCTTTGAGGAGAAGCAAAAGACCTTGAAGTGTGCTCAGCCGGGGGTTATCCATGAATGAGTCGGCGTGCCCTGGGATTGTCAGCAAAGCCTCTACACATACAAAAACTCGCACTCACGTGTCGCAAGGGCGAGCCATTGCGCGCCCTCTGAAGGATCATCCCGCAGGCGCCCACCCAGGGCAAAGATTGCCTCGAGGATGAGCGGCGATATCGACTCGCGCGATGTATGCCATTGATGCATGAACATGGCCTTGTTCAGCACCGGAACGTAGGGATGGACATTCTCGAAAAAAGCGTCGATGCAGTTCAGAGCTTCCAGCTCTTCTGGCATCAACTCGGGCGGGATGCGGACCTTGGAGCCTGGCCCTGACGTGACGGGCGGCAGCATCGCTTGGAAGTCATCGTCATCCTCAACGGCTGGCTCCTCTTCTCTCCGGAACGAGGCTTTATTTCGCAAGTATGGGGCTACATTGGTTAGCAGGCATGTTTGACACTGTTTCCCAGGCAAGGGGCACTCTTCTTACCGGTCCCTTTTTCGTCCACTTTCAGACTACCAAGAAGCTCCGAGAGATCCTGTTGCGCGTACGACTCGGGCGAGTAAGCCTCGGGAGACTGTTCGGTTTTGATATGTTGTAGCGGGGGCGTCGGAAATACGTTTTGAGCAGCGTATTGTTGATCCATGGCACCGTGATGCGGATGCATGTTCGCATAGTGCATGCCTTGCGCCTGCGCCTGCGACGTATCATACGGGATACCCTGATATCCGCTCGCGGGATGTTCGGGGTACGCCACGTACATTTGCGGTCCGGAGCTTGAGCCGGGGTGCGCCATCGCTTGCTGCATCTGCGCATGTTGATATTGATCGGATGGTCCCATGGAGCCTTCGTAGGCATTCGCGTCCACAGCGCCGTCAAAACCATTAGGCTTCACGCAGGGTAGCTTGAGCCGTATGCATGCCGAACATGGCCAGCTGTTGGTCGTCACCGCGTCGCACTTGATTTTCCTCTTGCGGCATCCCTCGCAGGCTCTCATCACTACAATCCAGGTTAGGAGCATGCCTCAGATGTACAGGGTCATCAGCCGTACCCTTGAGCCGTTTATGGCGGTTGTGCTCGTCCACGAAGACATAGTCTATAAATCAAGGTCAGGATACCGAGGCGCATGTATGACAGACTGGAGCGGGGCCGAGTTGCGTACTCTTCTGGGTTTCCCGCTGAGGGTACTGCTGCGGCGCAAATGTAAAGTTCATGGCGGTCGTTTGCGTGAGGTTCGCTGGATTGTGGTGGGGTCGCTAATCGTGTCCGAGAAACCCGTAGGAGCTTCTGGACAAGGTCAGCGCAGCCTTGCGATGTCAAGGCGCGGCGCTGCCTGTCGACATAAAGTCGGCGACGAGACGGGGGTCGACGTGCGCCGTTTGCGGTGGTCGTGTGTGTCTGGGTAGGCGAAGGCGGCAGTTGAGAAGCTATGGTCGCCGTATCAGACGAGAGATTAGCGGCTGCGGAGAGGGATCGGCAGTGGCAGGTGTGGTAATCTCTAGAGGGTCTTGGAGCAGTAAAGAGCTGTAATCAGACAGCAGAAGACAGGGCGAGGGTGAGCTGGAAGGCGGGCGGTGTTGGTCAATCGACTTTGATAATCCGAGGGCTGGAGGTCGTGTGGCTGCTGGCTGATGAACGGAAGACGGAAGTGCCGCCTGGTGGGTTGTTGGCGTTCGAGTACCCAGATGGACCCCCTAACTATGTCCTTTTTTACTGCCAGCCAAACAAAGGGCAGTTGTTGGTTGGTGGGCTCGGCTGGGCTGCGTGGCCGGGGTTGGAGAGGAGGAAGAGGGCGATGAGTCGAGGGAGATGGTGCGGGCAGGCCTAGCACTGGTACATCGCAACTCCAGTCGCGACGACATGGAGGCAACAGCTGCGGCGGCGGCGGGCGACAGACGACGACTGGAACTCGAACTGAAGGGACATGGACTGGAGTGGGGAGTGGGACCACATCAGTTGCTGTACTGTGTGCACAGGCGCGACACTCCATGTCTGCTCCTCTGGTCCGTTTCCACAGGCGGAGAGCATGGGTGTGGATCGGACTGGTTCTTGGTGGGTTGCTGGCCCTACCGCCAGTAATTGCTTAGGTACTCCGTAGAGGGGAACACTTGGGTGGCCTTCAGCAGAGCAACGCTCGCGCAGATGCACTGTCCTAGTCGGATGACGGGAGCAGAGCGGATAAAGGCAATTGGCCTGGCATCGACGGAGCTGGCAGTCGAGAACAATCCGCGTTCATAACATGCACGTACGTATTTGGTATTTTAGTCTCGTACCGCAGCCAGCAGCAGATGATGCTCCATCAACTGGCGTCCCCTCCACTGCACCGGCACATGAATTTTGAGTTTGGCAGTGACGACACTGCATTCACAGCAGCCTGTGTCACAACGGCTCCCCTGGTCTCATCGTCTGTATTGAGCTTTGCGCCATTGTACGGAGTAATGGACGTTGTCTAATAAACAGTGCGCTGGTCAATTCGAGTCTGACTACCTGTAGCCTGGCATGCATTTACTATGCCCCCATGTCCGAACGCCTGGTTGCAGTGATGGCGAGGCGTGGAGTGACGAACGGCAGAGCAGAGAAAAAGACTGGAGGGTCCGATTTGTCGACCAGGCCCAACTGCACAGTGGACCTGGGCGCTACATACTTTTACTTACCAGTGACCATCAGCCATAAATTCTTAGAGCACGTACTGTGTAATTGAAGGCGAATGGTGACGTGTGGATATCCGTACCACAAGCTGAGACAGTGGGACACAGCCAGGAGCTCCTAGGGGCAACACAAATAGCCCGAAATGGCGGTGTCTGATCTGGCGGTTGTGAGCCTTTCCGGTGTTTTGTGATTGACGCATTGTGCCAGAATTACATGCAGGTTGGCGGCCGTCGATCTCGCGGGCCGATCTGACAAGTTAATCAAGACGAGGGGTATCAACAAAGCACGTGAGATTGTCAGGTTGAGCAGTGATTGAAGGCCAACAAAGAGTTTCAGCCAGCTACCTGGTACCTGCACCGTAGTAATCTAACTTACTAGTACTGTAAGCTACTAGCTTATTAGTGCTACGTACTGGATCGTGGAAATCACCTCGTCTCGAGTCTTGACACGCACCTTCCCAATATGCATGATTCTCGTCTGTTGTCCTCAACCCGTAGATCTACTAGGGTCCTCACTACTACCTTACCGTAAGGTACCTGACATTCGACACTTTCTCAACCCCCGCTCGAAGCTTGACTGGCCATTGATGATATTGACCTCTGCCCCGCCGTACCCCCTGCTGGTCTACACCGTGCACGATGCACATTCACGCGGCAGCTATCCGTACAAGCGTCAACGACTTTAGCGCATTGGCACTTCTGTCAAGTAGTGACTAGCGTCAATACTACCTGGTAACTGTACTGTATCTCAAAAATTACCAACCACTGACTAGGACCTCGGCACAATCTTGCGGCGCATCCAACCGGATTTCGAGGGTCCGACCTGACACGACTTCCCCTAATTACCTCGCCTTTCGCCTAGCCTTCAGCCTCACCCAGCTAGTGACTAGTACCCCAGATCTCAAGGTTCATACTCGATCTCCGCCGCTCCGTGTACTTACCCTGCACCGTTAGCGCTGGCGAGCACGCGAGGCGGTTCCGCGGCTCCAGCCCTTCACCGATCAAGATAGTGAGTGATGCGTTTTGATTCGTGAATGCGTTCGCGGTTGACGAGATGAAGGGACAAGGAACACCCATGCCTGGGGTGCCTGGCATCTTCTCACTTGCTGTCTTGCGGTTTGTGCGGCTAACCACTTACGCCACGCGTGGACCCTCGCTTCTGCATCTCTCTACATACAGCCGGGTTAGCGTTAATCAGCGAAGCAGAACTAATAATTAATACAGAATTACAGACCCAGACCTTTTTGCCCATGTCCGCTTATCAGAACAAAATCATTACCGATTGCTGCAGGGTACAAGGCCTCTTCTTCATGAAGCGCGCATCGAGCCCTACACAGACGTTTGATCATCGACCAGCATCCCCGACGAGACTTGAAGGAGGCCGAGGCAGTTTGTGCCACTCCATGTCGTGCTGAGCTCGTGCTTGTAGTCTACGCACTACGTAGTCTAATCAATACCTCAACTCCCCGCGTGTGGCGCACACTGTCCCTGGACGACTGCCAAGCACACAACATGCATCTATGGACGACGATGAAACCCAGACCCGAGACAGGATCGACTTGAGCCATCACCGCCTCGGACTGCAGAGCCCACGATCGGTCCCGGTCTCTCCACGGCGGCTTCCGGGAGGGGGCTGTACAGCCCAGCAAAAACATGCCGACCGCGAATGGATTTGCAGACTGTCGGTGTCATGCGACGAGCCTTCACTGACACTGGGTATGCGCATACAGGCAGGCACACTTGTGTACCACGAGTACGCATGCATGACTGCGGTATGTGCCCGGCCGTTGCGAGTTCGGGACCGTCTCCATGATCACTTTTACAGCGAGCGCAAAGGACGCTTTCTCTCAGTGACCAAATGTTCCCGATGACCGAATGTTCCTGTTCGACACGTCGACGGTGGAGATCGCGGAGATCGTCGCGCTTCTCCGAGAACATGATCCACGTCGATCAACACAACTTACTACGTAGGCATTGTGATATGCTCTCGCTACGACGCTACCATATTATGGACCCTCCCTTCTCTGCTGGCGTTGCATTGCGGCTCGTGAGCCTTATGCATTTCACGGTTCGTCCGAGCGAAACGCCGGCGCTTGGAATGCAGTCGAGAGGTTTGGGTACTGCTTCAGGCCGGCATCTACTTTGATAAGGGGACTGAAATCGGAAGTGTGTCAGGTTGTCTCCCTTTGTGGAAGAATAATGCCGGGATATGACGCGGGTGGTGACCCTTTGGCGAGTCACTCCACGCGGGAACATACGGGCAGGCGGGACCTGCCTACATGACCTAATAATTAACATGAATGCATCGTGACCATGTTGGGCCCCTTCATATGCCAATCAAAGAAACTGGGGCTACAGGATAGAGTACTTGAGTGCCGGTATTGTTTTGCCTCTGGGTCATTGGTATCTCGCTGTCGACCTTGAGACTGCTGGGAGGTCTTTGAACGCAAGATCGCGGCAGGATATTGACAGGACAGAGAATGCTACCTTACCCAGGGGTTGGGTTTTTGAAAGCGGATCAAGAGCTCTAGAGACGTTTAAGATTTAATTTGGAGACTAATTTGGTGAATAAAGAATACTACTAATCATGGTACCGGGTAGGCAGGCAACACAGTCTAGCGACTGTCGAGAGAGCACGGCATCGATAACAGGATGGCACCGATAACGGCAGTCGTCTCCAAAAAGTGCCCCTCCATTATTAACAATCAACGTCGAACTTGGAACTTCACCTGTACGCGCTTTAAAAGCCATCTTGCGAAATATCAACGCCACTCACAACACGTCGAAAACTGTTTAGCTGAACGAACCGAGATCCAAAGCATACAGCGACGACCCCTGCCGTCCTGAAAACACCATGGCGACCCTCGACAACGCCAACCCCACCATCCTCAGCGCATCACAGCTTCCTACGCGCCAACAACGAATTCCCCTTCGCACGGGGCCCGACTTGAAATACAACGACATCATCTTCGAGAAGCCGTCGTATCTTTCTAGGCCTTTCTGCGACGGCCAAGTAGCCTCCTGGCCGAGAAGCGATGCCAATGACGGTTCCCTAGCCGCAGCAGAGCCGATAGACGAGCAAGAGATTTACGACCTCATCTCTACCATCTCCGACCCCGAACATCCCGTCTCGCTGGGACAGCTATCCGTCATCAACCTGCCCGACATTCACATCACGCCCGCACCCCACACACCTGGTGTCGGGCCAAACACAATCATCACCGTGCTTGTGGAGGTCACGCCCACCATCACACACTGCTCGCTCGCCACAGTCATCGGTCTGGGCGTTCGCGTGCGGCTGGAGCAGTGCCTGCCTCCAAACTATCGCATCGTGGTACGCTGCAAAGAGAACAGCCATAGCCAGGACGACCAGGTGAACAAGCAGCTTGGCGACAAGGAAAGGGTGGCAGCGGCACTGGAGAATGACACCTTGAAGGGAGTCCTCGACAAGATGCTCGAGACATGTGCGTAAGATGACGAGGGGCTGAACAGGACTGCGCTTGCCTGGTTGTTTCGCCCAACAAATTGTACATAATCAACGCGCCAATGGTACATATCTTTCCTGGTTTATTCCATGCTTCCTTGCAAAAGCTCCATTACATGTCCCCCAGCAGCCCACTCTCCATCAGACTCTGGTAAAACTCGGGCTCGAGGAATGTCCGCACGCTGACGTCCTCGCTCAACCCCTTTCTCCTCCTCGTCTTGAGCACAAAGTCCCTCGCGGTGCCTTGCGTGCTCGCCTGCTCGAGCGGCCGGAGGACCTGCTCCCTGTCCAGCGGGTCACCAGGCACAATGTTCCACGAGTCGAAAACCATACTGACCATGCTGCTGCCTTGCGTCCTGATCCTCAGGTCCGTCTCAAAACCGAAAGAGTCAATCACGGGCAGCAATCCGTTTACTCGGTACAAGGGCGTGCCTGCCACAGGTCCGTCACTGAGGACGTGGCCTCTTCTCCTCGCGAGGACATTGTAGACTTCCATGTACGAGTCTTCCGGGCCAGTAACGGAAACGCTGTACACGGGCTCCATCAGTCGTGGCGAAGCCATGAGGAAGGATGAGTAGCATGCGCGACGAGACGTAGGAATGATCTGACCACCACCGCGAGAGATCGCCTCAGAAGCGAGGGCAACGTCTGTGATGCGGAATTTGGTGTTGCGTATGGCTGCGAGTGTTAGCCGCATGCTTCCGAGTCCAGTCGGCATATAGTAACTTACGTTCTTCACAGAGCGGGCCTTCTCGGCTTGCCCAGCTGAAACCCTGCTTGATAGACTCCTTCACCGTGTTGAGAAGCTTTTTATCGACCTCTGTTGGCAAGGTATCGTCTTGCAGGATGTTGGGCCCCTGATCGTCCGGACCAAATGCCCAGATACTCCTCGCTGCCAATTTGTCCCAGCCATGCTTCTCCTCAAAGAATTTGGCTGTTTTCCGCACAGGGTCCCGGATCTTCACAGCGCCGGACTCAATGTCCGTGGAAATGCCCTTCTCGAGTTGCTCTGCCACCATTGTGATCTTGTTCTTCTTGTTGGGCGTAATAGCGTAGCACTTTGTCGCCGACGTCTCCACCACAGTCTCGCAGAATCGAGTGACGGGGTCTGAGACCTTGAGGTCCATGTCGGCGTACAGCTTCCGAAGATCATGGAGAACGCAGTCCATGTACAGCTCACCGGTACCCAGGATAATGTGCTCGCCAGATTCTTCGACCTTGGTCCTGATTAGGGGGTAAGATTTGTTGATCTTTCGTAATCCGTCGAGCATCTTGGGAAGCTCAGAGGGGTTGATAGGTTCGACTGCAATCTTGAGAACCGACTCGGTGAAGTGGGTGACGGGTCGGAAAACGTAGGCGTCTTCGTTGTCGTCGAATTTCGGCGCAACGACAGTTGCGGATTTCACGATGGACTTGTCGATGCCGCTCAAGAGCACCATGTTGCCGGCGGGCACGCCGTCTGTGGGAATGTTGTACCGTGTCTCTGCAATGAACACCTCGGCCACTGTCGCCATGGCCATATCTTCCTCATCATCCAGTGAATAGCCCTCTCCCAGGACCCTGACCTGCATGCCGGGGCGGGCGGTACCGCTCAGCACCCTACCAAATGAATAGAAGCTTTTTGCGTCAGACGCGTTGTAGAGTTTGGTGACGTGCACGACCAGCGGACCATCCTGATCACACGACTTCATCGAGGCTGCCACCCTGGAATCTGTAGGCCCCGTGTAGTAACGCTCTAACATCCTTTCAGCACCGTCCGCCGGCGATGGAACATGGCGTACAATCATGTCCACAAAACCTGTGGAGGGGCCAAAGAATTGCTCACAGACCAGCCTCAGGATCTCCTTGGCGTCCGCCTTATACTGTGATGGTTTCAAGGTTATCCCTAGCGACGCCAGAACCGGCCGAAGCTCCGCAGGGCTGTCGCTGATGGAGTGTGTAAAGAGCTTGTAGATGGGTTCGAGTACGAAGTGCACAAACGACCGCGCCGACCGCTCCTCCGTTCCTTTGCGTGTAAAGTTGCGTTTCTTCGGGTTGTAGAAAACGTCGCCCCATAATCGTATAGCGAACTCTTCAGGGTCAATGTCGCCATAGGTGTCGGTGTACATTTTAGCAAAGGACGGCAGCGTGAAGCACCAGCCCATGTCTGTACACGCGAACAACACATTGCCCTTCTCAGGACTGATGCGTTTTGATGCTGCCGTCAAGGGCACAGTGTCCGCAATCACGCTGTTGACCTCCTCCACGACGTGCTTTAACTTGAAGTACGCATCCTTTGGTGGTAGCTTCAACTCCAAGATCAGCCGATCGAATTTGTTGATGATTAGCGTGAGTGGAATATCCTCCAGCACCGCATGCCTGATAATCTGCTCGGTGTTGACCTGCACGCCCTCGACTACATCCACCACGAGACATACGCCGTCGACCAAACGGAAGGCAGCTGCAACCTCGTCCACAAAGTTGACATGGCCTGGTGTGTCGATAAAGTTCACCAGATGCGACTTGCCCTTGGAGCTCTGCAGCACCATGGTCATGGGCGCCGACTTAACGGATAGGCCCCTCTCGCGCTCAGTGATGTGAATGTCTGTGTACCGCAACTGCTCGTCTCTTTTCCGCCCGACTCTGCGTTCTAACCTGTCGCTGATGTCGTGTGTCTCCATCACCAGCATGTCCGCAAATGCCGTTTTGCCATGGTGCAAATGGCCGGCGAATGCTACATTGCGGATGTGTTCCGGAAAGTTCATCAAATCGGTCATGAACTCGCGCTCGAAGAATACGGGCGGAAGATCGGCTTCTTCAATGTTGAATTTCTTCTGCTCGACGGGCGCGATGATCGGTTGCGTGAGTGGCTGCGCATCCTCCTCCTCGACTCGCGTCTCGACCTCGGTGCCGTACACTTGCTCTGCGGTTGGGTAGTATTGCTTGTCCTCGTGGAGGATGACTGCGTTCGACGGGCCCTCTACGCAAAGTGTTAATCAAGATCCCCCACGGTCGCGTAAATGAGTGACCAACCGTCTAGCTCCATGAGCTCCTGGCCCTGCGCGCCGCCTGCGCCTTCTGACGCGTCATCGTAGACATAGTCGCCAGCGTCAACACCCGCCTCTGATGCCTCCTCGGACTCGACTTCCTCGCCGATGAAGTTACCGAACCTATTGGCGCAGGGTTAGCTTTCTGCGGTCGTTCGAGGGTGGCGCAAGGGTTTCTTACTCGTCGTAAAGATCATCCATCGTCACGGTACCAGTTCGTAAGCTTCGTAGGGTATCAATGGGCGTTCGCGACGTGAGATGATGTAGTCTGGGATTTTTTCCAGCGTCCCGTCGCGTGTAACCATGTGGCTGGAGTTTTCAATGTGTGGCTCAGTCGCCGCGATTGGAGGCTGATGACCAGCTCTGGTGCTAGGCCCATTCTAGATTAGGGCGTATGCAGCACTGAGTGACCCCTGAAAACCCGCCGACCAATCTGGGCCTTGGCAGTATTGTCGCGTTGCGAACTCGGCGTATTGTTGGGCCATCTGCCCCTCCATGGCCTGATGTACTTTGCGGTGAGCTCCCAATATTATTTTTCTCATCGAACCAATATTTCCTTCGCTCTATCTCCCCTATCTTCATATCCAAACCAGATCACAGATACCCGCCATCATGTCGAGCCTTCCGCCTGTATACATCGTCTCTGCCGCCAGAACCCCTGTGGGGTCTTTCCTTGGGTGAGTTGTGATGCCCCGCCGTCCACGGTTTGAAGATGCTGGGAAACTGACGACGACAGCTCCCTCTCGAGCTTGAGCGCTACCCAGCTTGGCTCTGAGGCTATCAAGGGTACGCTGAGTTTACGTCGTTCATTTACGGCAAACAACTAACATGCTCAGGTGCTGTCCAGCGCGCTGGCATCAAGGGTGAAGATGTCGACGAGGTCTTCTTCGGCAACGTGCTGTCCGCTGGGTAACGTACCGACCGCCCATATCCCATGAAGCACCGTGGCTAACGCCTGGAACAACAGCCTCGGCCAGGGCCCTGCTCGCCAATGCGCCATTGGCGCTGGCCTCCCTCAGAAGACCATCGCCACCACCGTGAACAAGGTCTGCGCCTCCTCTCTCAAAGCCATCATCCTGGGTGCCCAGAACATCATCACCGGCACCTCCGACATTGTCGTTGCTGGCGGCACCGAATCCATGTCCAACACCCCCCACTACCTCCCCAACCTGCGCAACGGTGCCAAATACGGCGATCAGACACTCAACGACGGTGTGCTCAAGGACGGCCTGACAGACGCATACAAGAAGGAGCACATGGGTCTTGCCGCCGAGCTGTGTGCCAACGATAACGAGCTCTCCCGTGAGGCGCAGGACGACTACGCTGTCAAGTCTTACCAGAAGGCGCAGGCCGCCACCGAGGCTGGTCTGTTCAAGGAGATCGTCCCCGTCGAGGTCTCGGGCGGCCGCGGCAAGCCCAACGTGACCGTGGAGCGCGACGACGAGGTCAAGAACCTGAACGAGTCCAAGCTCCGCAGCATGCGCCCCGCCTTCAAGTCCGACGGCAGCGTCACCGCCCCCAACGCGGCCCCCATCAACGACGGTGCTGCCGCTGTGGTGCTCATGTCCGAGGCCAAGGTCAAGGAGCTGGGCGTCAAGCCCATTGCCAAGATCCTGGGCTGGGGTGACGCCGAGCGTGAGCCTGAAAGGTTCACCGTTGCCCCTGCTCTGGCTATCCCCAAGGCCATCAAGCACGCTGGTCTGACTGAGTCGGATGTCGACTACTACGAGATCAACGAGGCTTTCTCCGTCGTCGCTCTGGCCAACCTGAAGCTCCTGAACCTGGACGCCGACAAGGTCAATGTCTACGGTGGATCCGTGGCCATCGGTCACCCTCTTGGCTGCTCGGGTGCCCGAATCGTCACCACCCTGACATCGGTGCTCACTGACAAGAAGGCCAAGATCGGCGTTGCTGGTATCTGCAACGGCGGAGGTGGTGCCTCGGCTCTGGTCATCGAGAACTTGCAATAAGTGGCTGCAGCATATAATAACCTGAAATAATTCGAAATCACGACCAACGCACACGTGGCAGCGACCATCTTTTTTAAATATATACAATGTAATCGTAGAAAGTCATGACGGAGGAAACGCCGTTGCCCGGAAAGCAAAGCGCCAACATTGGTCAGGGTACCTCACCATTCCTACAAGTCTGCAAACAGCGCGTAAGACCAGTATCCGCTATGAGATAACAGTAACAAAAGAATAACCCGTTCCCAAATTGCAAATGCCCTTTGATCATTTCCACTCGATATCCCAATACCCCAAGTCTATTACGCACCCTCGCCAGTCTCGCTTGCACTCGCAGGCACGACACCCTCATCCAGCCACTTGCGGAAATTGCTGTTCTGTTCCTGTACGCCTTCGGGGCCCATATCACGAGCCCACACCGGGTTGTGAACAAATTTCTTGGTCAACTCCGTCTCACGATGGTGACTGAGAGCCTTGATAAACCGTTCGCGGCGGTCCCATTGCTCCTTGGTCTTTGGCGACTGGTCGTAGACGAAGTACTCAGAGGTGCCTGGTTCCCATAGCATCTTGGAGCTTTTCAGACAGATGCTGACCGTAAGGTTCTCCTCGAAAGATAGCGGCTTGGGAATTGTCCCGTCGTCAGAATCAGTGTCGCCTGACGGCAGGTTACGCGTCAGAACGACCTTTTGCAGCTGCGAGCGGGGGATGCCTTCAGTCGGCTCAACCCGAATGAAGGATGAGATGTAGTACTGCCAGCGCTCTTGAAGAGCCATGTCGTCCGTGTGGAACGTGCTTTCGTCGCGCTGTAGCCAGCGCACGGTGGCGATCGATTGATCAGGCATCTGTTCCCTGGTTAGCAACGATCCACCCGACAGGAACACTCGAACTCACCCATCGAATAACAAACAGCTCGCCGTCCTTAACACACTTCTCAGCAGCCTTGCGCTCGCTGATCTCTGTTTGATAACTCGTTTCGGGTTTCTCGCGGTTGTTGATGTAGCGATTAATCAGCTCATGCGTCTTGTCCTTCTGGTCGTGATGGCTGCAATTGAGTGCCAGCCGTGTCAGCGTCTTAAGAAGATCCTGGATTGTGTACAGCTTCCAGCCGTTCCGAAGATAGTAGTGACGCATCACATCCTGATACCCGTTCTCGTCGATATCGCCAGCAATGTAGTCGTCAATCAGGGAAGCCGTCTTTGGCCAGAAATCGGCAGGCTGATCATTGGTCGTGAAGAATGTTCCTGGTGACTCGGACACACCAATGTCACGAGCTGGCTTTTCCCGATTCAATCGCTCGATCTCGTGCGCAACAGTGTCCTGGCTGTTCTTGACATCGTGCAGGCGCGAATACAGTGTTTGAAAGATGCTCATGAAAACATAGATGGTTTGGTTGCAGAACAAATGGTACCAAGTCCGGGTGAAAAGACCATCGGCCTTGAGTTCTCCGTCGGGACCAAGCAAACCGTTGGCATTGTCAGTTTCGCCGACCACAACGGCCTTGGGTACGGTAGGCATCCACCGCTCGTTGGTGATCTCTGCAGAGGCAGCGTCATCCGGCGCATCGGGCATATCTTCCTCATTCGAGCCAACATCGGGTGTTGTCTCTTTGCTGCCAGAGGCTGCACTGTCCTCCTTTTGATTCCTTGGCTTGGGGGTGTTCCTGACGGGGTCGAGAACTCCTCTCAGCAAGTCAGCTTTCCGGCCATTGCGGCGACTGCGTCCGTTGGTGAGCTCCGCAGGGGTTTGATCTTCAACATCCTCCTCGCCAGAGTCAAGAGGCATCCTAGGCAGCCTATCGCCCAATAGCTCATCGGGGATGTCGAAGAAGACGGGAATGAAAGTCTCGTAGAATTCCAGAATACGCTCCTTCTCCTGTGTACTGTAGGTTCCACTTGAAAGTGTATACTGCATGCAGAAGCGAAGCAGATCGCTGATCAAGTCCTTGTCGGCAAAGTCCCAGACAAACTGATGGCGAGCGTGCTTGCCTTTGAGTAGCCTCTCGCGGCGCTGTGACTCATGCTTGGTCTTGATGACGTCGACCAAATGCTTGGTCGTGAGGTTCTTCTTGTCCGTGGACTTGACAAGAATACCCATGTGGTCGAGACTCTTGAGATGCATGCTTTCCGTTTGCGTGTGCCAAACTTTCTCCCATTCCCGCTGAGAGAAACGCCATTCCTCGTCCTTGACTTTCATGCGTGCCAGGAGAATGGGAACAACAGTAAACGGCGTGTTGAACAAGTCGTTCACCACCTCAATGCCACGGTCGCCGTAGATCTTCTTCGCAATACGTTTGAAGATTGACGTGCTCTGACCGGCCAAAGCAGCAGGCATCTGGAAAGCGGCGCGCTCTTCGGCAGACATGGCCAGCATCGACTGTGCAATGGGCTCTAGAAGCTGAATGCACTTCAAATTGGCCTCGATGTAGAAATCGTAGTCGTGGCGTTCTTCCTCGATACGGTGAAGGCCCTCCTCGTACTGGTTCTTTCGATGCGCCACGAACCCAGAATCCTCGGACGCCCATGTGGGATGCGACGCCCACTCATCGTTAAGCACAGATTGGCAGAGCTCGTCCCGGCCGCTGCAACGCTTCTGGCGTTCTCTTTTGGGAAGCAGGCGATAACTCGGTCCGTAGCCCCGGCAATTGCTCAGCGAGACCTTGTCGGTCGGGGGTGCAGGTCGATTGGCAATGTCAGCGTTCTCGGGCTGATAGTTCACAAAGTGGCCCCAGAAAGACACGAGCTCGGGGTTGGCACTTATGAACGTCAGTCCCTTGTAGTACAAAGTTTCTCGGTCGATGATGTTCTGGCTGAACAGGTTGCACATTTTGAGAAACTCGTTCATGGACGCCCGGTTCCCCAAATACTTCTTAACACGCTCGAAAAAGGCCATCTCGTCTGCCGTCGAGGTTGAAGTCGGCCGTGGTGGGTACGGTTCAGGCATGAGTGGAGTCAAAGTCGGCTCTACTCCAGCCTCGATCTGCGTCCGTGCATGACTGAACTTGGCACGCTTGGTTCCGTTGACCGTGTTTGCGGGTGCCGCGCGGTTGGCGGCCACTTCAGGGAAGGCTGGCCCAGCAGCTTGACCTTGCTTCTCGTTGGCGCGCGGCCGTTTCTTGTTGTCCTTGGAGGCGCTTGCGGGCGGCGCGAAGCTGCCGAGCGGTGGCATCTTGGGTTGTGGCGTGCGCGAACCCTCCTCGGCACGTTCAGCAACAGCCTTTGTCTCGGGCAGAAACTGCTTGAACGACTCCAACAGGTCAGGCGCGTCTGCAAAGAGGTTTGTAACCTGTGCATAAACGTCCTGTATCGGCCTCGATTCCCGCTGATAGGTTTGCAGAATCTCGAGGAAATTCTTATATATTTCCGGCTTGTCCTGAAACCTGTTCTTGATCTTGTTCACATACGATATAGCGTGATTGAACTCGACAGGCCCTTTCTGAGCCGCTGAGCCTGGTGGTGCATTGCCATTGATGAGAGCCTGGGCAGACGGAGTAGGTGTCTGGGTTCGCGGTACTGGTTGGCTGGTCGGAGGTGCTTGGGACAGGTTGCGCTGTTGTGCTCCTGTTTGGTCAAAGGTGCCGCCTTGCGAGACGGCAAGCAGATTGTTGCCGTTTTGTACGGGTGTGCTAAATGCCGCCTCGGGGCTCTCTATGCTGCGCTGGGGACGCTGCCAGCTGTTTGCTGCACCACGGTCGGCGTACATTGGTTGCCCGGGGGCAGGGTTGACGTCGGTGATGCTCCTTGTACCGGCAATTTGCTGGGTCGTTGTCCCCATGGGGGTCGTCACGCGAATTGTATTCGGGTCGTGGCCAGCACCGCATTCGATCCTGTAGCCCGGCGGGAGAAACGTGTTGAACCCCTGAATCAAACTAGGATTCCCCGCGAAGAGCTCGGAGACTCTATTGATCACACCAGGCGTGTCGATGCTGTTCTGTTAGCTGGGTCTTCACGTTAAGGCAACATTGAACATACGACTGGCTCTTGAAATCCTTCATAATGTCAAGGAACCGATTGTAGACATCAGGCTGGTCGTGAAATTGGACTTTGACCTGATCTAGATAGGTCAAAGCGTCCTACAAAACGGAGATCAGTATTGGTGCCCTGAGAGAGATACGACGCAAGCTTCGGGTACCGGAGAGAGTCTAAGGAGGTGTCTGTGATAGATTGGGCGAACGCAGCCATACTCAGTGCAGTGCGGGCATTTGAATGGGGATGGATTGAGGGCATTCTGAGTAGCAGCCATGACTGCAAATCTCGAATGACAACACAAGCGCTTGCTTGGATCTCGGTGGATTTGCGAGGCAGAAGTTGTGCTCATACGAAGCAGGAATAACCTTTCTGAATGGTTCAACGGAAAGGGCAAGCGGGTAGGGACCGCCTGCCCTGACCTCGCGCAAGCTCACAGACAAGAAAAGCGTCGAGGATCACTTACGTTCAGAATGGGTTGTTGCCCTTGGGTTATGCCACCAGCTCCCTGTTGTTGTTGCTGCTGCTGCTGTTGCTGTTGCTGCTGTGGCGGTGGTGGTGGTGGTGGCGCCTGCTGAGCACTATCGGGCCTAACGCCTCTGAAGCCATCGCCATTTGCTGGCGGCGGTCCTCCACGGCCGCCATCTTGATGTGGCCTGGCCGCTTGCTGCTGAGCTGCTGCCGCCTGCTGTAGGGGGCCGCCGAAGACAGCCGCAACGGCAGCCGCCGCCCCAGCGCCTTGAGCAGCTTGGCCAGCGCCGGGTCCTTGTTGCGCGTGAGGCATCGGAGCGAACATCGGATGCTGCTGCGCGTCCGCAAAGGCCTGCCTGGCTTGTTGTTCTCTCTGCTGTTGTTGCTGCAGCAGGGGACCCCCAAAGCTAGCTGTGCTGCCCTGAGGCGCCCCGCTAGCCGGGCCGGCGTCCTTTCCAACACCGTTGAAGTTTCCGAGGATCCCGCCCGGACTGTGGATGAGGTTGGCTCCTCGCGACGCAACAGGTTGATGAATCGGGATGGAGCCGGCACTGCTCGAGTGATGGGGCGTGTTCTGTTGCTGCTGGTAGCGATCGGCGGACTCGCGGTTCTCGCGTTCGTGCTGGTCGCGACGGGCCGCCATCTCTTGTTCGTGCTGTTGTTGCATTGCGGCACGGTGTCGTTCTTCTCTTTCTCGTTCACGGTCGCGGTCGTACGCGCCACCGCCGCCGTGGGGGTTGTGCGTGTTCATTGTGGTCTGTCGTAATGGTCAGCAACGGCTTTCGTAGCACAAGGTCGAGAGGCAGAAGAGGAACGCGACAAGATCCACAGCGTAGGTAAGCACACCCAGCGCAGACCGGAAGAAGCCAAGGACAATGGATTGCAATCCTTCGGCGGCGATAGCGCCCAGATGCTGGCTGCCTGCTTCCGCGCAAGGCAAGGCTGGACGATTGCTGGGAAAGGGATGGCGAGTGAAACTTACAACATGAGCTGGGGTATCATCTACTGAAATCGAATGGCAAGATAAAGGGCGCAAAGGTCAAGCCAGGCCCCGATTCACGGCAATGACTCTGTTGACAGAGCGTTTGCGCGAGGTTGCTGGACTGCTTGGAGAAGTTTAACGAGCCGGGATCCAGACGACGAACACCGCCCTCGGACTGGAGCTCGCTCGGGAGCGCGCTGCTCCTGTTCGTTACCCGTCTCACGTGACAGGACCCGCTTTTCCCCCGGTCGCGGACCCCTTTTGGTGACGACATAGGTACTTGCACATATTCAGGCCTACCAGGTAACGGCGTTAATAATTCCTCAGGTATCATTCTTCATGCCAAAAGACAGAGCAAATCATTTGGAACACATCGTGATGACAGAGCATTCTTGATCTATGTGCCTCACCTACAATGTACCAGGTATCAATCATCCTTTGCCGCATCCCCAATCATGTTCACCCCCAAAAAGAATCGATCAAGTAGCCTAAACGCCTTCGCAATGCTATCCGCTGAGTCCTCAGCACATCTCCGGCCTATCTGCCTTATCTTCCATTAATGCATGCTTTTCAACTTCGTGCAGAGTGCGCTGCCTTCAAGTTCATAGTCCAGCTCACGAAATGCCACGTCATCCAATCTCTGGGCGGCATGATACCACTAAGGCGCGGGCGGTGACTGAGACGATCCGCCAGTTGCTGGATTGGTCGACTTCCGTATGATCTTGATCTTGGGACGGCCACCTGCGCTCAGCGGAGTGGCTGGTGCTGGGCTCCCCGACGCACCATTAGCCAAAGGTTTGGGTGATGCGCGCGCTGTGTTGGTGTTGATTTTCATAGACTTCTTCTCCGGTGGTGGTGGAGGGGGTGACATTGACGACCCGCCTGTAGGCAAGGGCTTGCGAACAGTATCCCCAGAGCCGGGCAGAGGTTTCCTCGCAGAATCGCCAGCTACTCCTCCTATGGGTAGTGGCTTTCGACTGTGTTTTGGCGGAATACTCGCACTAACACCTTCAGGGGTGGGTTCCTTTTCCTTCTTGGGTGCCATGCCTGGCAGCGAAGTCCGTCTAGGGACCGGCGGTTTCTGACCTAAAATGACCGCCAGACGCCCGGGATTCTTCGTCTTCAAGGTAATCATCTTGCGCTTGCGCCCAGGAGCGGACGGGATGATGGGTTGAGGTGTGCTAGTCTTAGTACGCTTCGCAGCCATCGGCTCGTCATCGTCAGAGTCATCAAATGGCCGCTTGGGCACAGGGGCAGCTGGTAGTTTGACTGGTTTGGCTGGCGCGGAGACTTCTTTGGGCGCACTGAAACTCGCTGGCTTTGGCGGTGGGGGAGGCTGCGATGCCGCTGCGTCCGAAAAGGATGTTCGCGGCGTCGAAGGCTTGTTTGTGTTGATCTTGATTGACGGCGCTCGTGCCAATGGAGCTGGCGCGGGTGCTTCCACGGCTGGGAGAGGTGGTGGTGGCAGTATGGCTGACTTTGATTGTTTCGGTTCGATCCTGTAGTGGGACGTGAACTTCATCAGGAGCTTCGAAGTATTAGTATTGTTCACATGCAGTACACTGAGACTTACTCGATCATGTGTTGCCTGCGCCGACCTCTCCGCTTTCCATGTCTTGGGCAACTGGAGCGTCAAAATCCAAGTACTAGCCTCCTCGAACATCATGGCCGCAATGTCCAGCAGACTCTCAATCTCCGTACGTGTCAGACCTTGGTGGTCCAAAGCCTTGCGCAAAGCGGTGCGGTAATGACGCTGATCGCTGGCATATGTTTCGTCCATTTCCTTGCGCAGCGCAATGAGCGCCGAGTCCAAGTTCTGTCTGCGAGCAAACATCTCTTGGCGCGCCTCAATCTCCTTCTCACTGTCCTGCACGACCAGCAGCGGATCGTCCAGGTCCATGGCAGACTCTTCTTTTTCGACGGGCTTTGCGTGCTCGCCGAGAGCAATTGCAGCGAGCCCCTGAACGAGGGCTTCAATGAGTTTGCTCCGAACATGGGGCGACCGATCGGTTGTCAGCACCAAGACAAGCAGACTGAACAAGGCATGGTCAGTCATAGCACCAAGATCAATCAATGCTTCGAAGCATTTGATACGAATCGTGTCCGCCGTCCCATCAATCAAGTATTGCGCAAAGTCGAGTAGATTCTTGGGAATCACCTCAGCCTTCATCAACCGCTGCTTCGCGTCCAAACCCGCGATTGTCCAGATGTTGTGGTAAGAGTATGTCCACTCATCTCGCCTGAGCACGCGCTCAATCTGTTCAATGGCTTTCTCCAAGAAGCCGTCTTCCGCATCGTCCCTGAGTTTGCGTTGGCGCTCGACCCACTCGTCCTTCTTCGACGGAATCATGGATATCGCCAAGGTCTTCACCAACAGAGCGATCCAATGGTGATCCGAGATGGAGTTCTTCTCATTGTTGTTGTAAAGCAACTGATCAAGCACAAATTGTCGCGCATCCAAAGGACAACGATGTGTGTTCGCATCCCTAACCTCAGCAATGGCTTGGATGATGGCGCATCGGACCTTGTACTGCTGCTTGTCGGAGAAGTCGTTCGGACGAGGCTGATTAGAGTTCTCATAGCAGAACATGTCGCGGTATGCCAACATCAGCTGTCGCAAGCCCAGCATGGGCAAGTCCTTGATATTGGACTGGCGCGTCAGCGCCGCAGCAGCCATGGTCCGGATGCCGTGGAAGTAACGCCTGTCCATAATGGTCTTCACCAAGAACCCAGATGCTATAGGGTGCAGCGGACCGGTCGCCAGATACAAGATGGCATCCTGCTGCGCTACCACGTCCCGGTCCTGCTGGAGTTGTGAGACGTACATGTAAGGCTCGAGGGTGTGTTTCATAGCCGCAACCCACTCAAAGTCCGCATCTACGCGTATCCACTCATAGGACTCCTGGTCCATCTTCCGCTCTGTCTCTGGATCCCAGTCGATGATTTCCCACTTGGCCTGCTCTTCTGGGGTTGACAGGCCGTCACCCAGGGACACCGTCAAGGCATCTTGCTCCGTCTCGCCTTGTGCGTCTGCATTGGCCGCGGCGCCAGTAAGCTTCTCTTTCATACGTCGCGTGCGCTTGAGGCGCTTGTATTTCGTGTTGTAGGGAATCTCGAACTTTGTCGCCCGAGCTGCATCTTCTTTTATCTCGATGATATGCTCGTAGGGTGTACCGTCTGCCTCGTGAATACGGATCGTCATGGACCCGGAGAAGATGGGTTGAACCTCTCCCAGTGGTGTTTGGTTCCGCCGCTCCTTGATCAAGCGCATGAAGTCGGCCTTTTGCAGTTCCGGCTTCTTGACAACTTGATGCTGGATTTGATTCAGTGTCAACTCCACACAGAGCCGCTTCTTGTTGAACCGCGCCTTGACGTCGAATCGGGGTGCACCGCTGGCGTATATCCACTGATCCCAGAAGGTCTCGAGACTACATTTAGCTGCCTTCTCGCACCTGGTGCGAAAGTCGGGCGTCTTCAGGATCGACGCCTTGTCGCTACTTTCAATCTGAACCTTTGTCAAGAGTTTTGCGAGGATCCGCATGAGGTTATGCCCGCTTGACGCCTTGTTAAGGCGTTTATCGAGGATGAAGAAGACCAGAGACGACTTCAAATGCATAAACTCAATTTCAGATTCGCCCAGATGGAGGCTCGACCCGAGGTCGTACAGTGACGGTCTTTCGATATCAATCTCCACCAGATGGTCAGACATTGTCTTCATCCTGAAACGGTGCTCGTTGTTGCCACACAGCCTCTTCATGAAGAGCTCCGTCATGAAGTGTGCCATTCCAATACTGATCCAAATGTCGTTTCGCGTGTTGGGGATCATGTTGATCCCGGTCCATTGATAGGCCAGTGTGTACACTAGTTTTCGCGTCGTGTCGAATTCCGTGTCGATGATGTCCTCGGGATAAAGGAGTCGGTTGCTTGCAAAGGCCATAGAGTGCAATGCTACTGTATCCTCCACTAGGTCTTCTAGGAAGATGAGCTTGAAATTGCCGAAAGGGTATTTAGCGAAGGACCAGCTGAAGTGATCGGCGGCCATCGTCATGGCGATACAAGTATTGCGAACCCACTCCGCCCGCCTAGGCAGGCAGTAAGCATGAACGCGCAGGGCGCTGATACCGAGCTTGATTTCGTCTTCCTCGGATCGGAACTCTGATGAGATGTCGACGTGCTCGAATGGACCGACCGCGAATCCAAGCTTCTGGACCGACGTCTTCTTTTCCGGTTCAAATGTCATAAGTCGTTTTCGCTCGTCCTTAGGATCCGTCGACTCCTCTACCAGGAAGCCTGAACAGACCACCGTCATTTCCCGGAGCTTGTCCTCTTCCGACAGATCAGCCTTTGCATCGGTGTCCTTCCCCTGCGTCGCTAAAGGTTTCCTCAGCGCGTCACTCATCGTCTTCGGGTGCTTGATAGTGATTCTCCAATCGCAGCGCTGCCCATGATCATCTATACATGGGAAAATGCAGGAAGCCGTCCCTGGTTGAAGAGAGTGTCGAGTATACATGTGGGGGTATCGGGTATCGAGCGGATCGACCCCTACGAAATGGACTCCATCTCGTCCATTTCTGTTCGTGAAGGGTATCGAAATTTTGTACTGTCTTTGCGATTCGTTTTGTTTCCGTATGATCACTTTGGGGCGATCTGATCCTCCCTTTGCGCGCAGATTGACCTTGAGCGATCCGTATGCCGGCGTGCAACCTTTGAATTCTCTATCTTCAGCGGGTACGTCGGTGGCTCGATTATTAAACAGGCGCCTTGCACGTATACGCCGCAGATCATGATGTTCCGCAGTCCAGTTGTAATTGTCGGGTGGCCGCAGCGCGTCATACGGATCATTGTATTCAGCCCCGGTGCGACGCTTGGGGCCCTCCACGATACTGCCATGAGCTTCGCGTAGCTCCGTGACGGTGATATTCTTCGTATCGATATCGCATTGTGCTGCATCCAGGTCGACGTGTTCGAGCTTATCGTCAAATACAACGAGGATGATGTCAGTCGTGCCGTCGATGCGCTTCTCGCGGAAGTTGATGTCCAGCGTTACATCTTGCTTGATAATAAAGTACGCCTGCGTCGGTAGCTCTTCCACGGGTGGCAGGTCGCTGTCCTCGTCGAAGAGGGCATGAGAGGCCATCTTGCCTGTGCGTAGCGTGATCGGAATTCGAACAAAGATCGAGAAGCGGTCAGCGCTCCTGGGAGCAGAGTGCTGATGCGACTCGCATCGAGAGTTTCGGGCTCGGCGGCTTGCGCGCGCACTCCGTTTGGAAGGTCGCACTCGTTTGAGCGGCGCGTGCGTATGTTCGCTGTCTCTACCGGCGAGCTTTGGTAGCTGAAGCTCAGCGACCGTGCGGCTTAACAAATGCGCTGCGGCTTGCGTGTCGGTCTCGATGGATACTGGAACGATCAAGAAAGGCCTCTACACCCAGGCGCGCTCTGGTCGAGTCGGTCGAAGTCGTACTGCTGGGGTTGCAATCCGGTATTTACGGGGTGTGATGCTGAAAGAAGCTTGGAGGTTGCTGCGCGTTGGAAGGTTTGCGCACGGACCACGCGCATTTGCCATATTCATCATGCCGCCTACAAGCCACAGGTATCCGTACCTTATTTAGACGGACCGCGTCGTAGGCTTCCCCATGAGCTTTCCTACATCACAAATCACAAGGTCTCCCTGCAACTCAACTTAGGTATGCAAACCTTGGGTGTTCAACACGATGATGGTTTCAATACGGCTTCTTGGACATACGCTCAAATTCCTGGGCAGTCGCGCCGCGCATAATCTCAGCCTCACATTCACTACGCCCGGGACTTGGACAAGTTGGACGGCAACCATGCGTCAAGTGTGATAAAACCTTGATAGACTCCTTGATGGACCTCCTTCACAAAGTCAAGCCGTGACGCCGGGCACCCTGCCTGTTCTGTGCAACATACAACAAATCTCAGCGGTGAATCAACCCTTGCTCCGCCGCTTGTCCGCACGCTTCTTCCGCGCTCTGGCTCGCATCTTGTCCTCGTCTAGAAAATGAGCCGGCAATTCGAAATCAGCATCGGAGAACTCGGGTATAGGCAATCCCCACGCGAGGACCTTGCGCCCTCTACGCGTCCTGTTCACTGCACTGTCACGCTCGTGCTGCTTCTCAAAGAAGGACTTGAACTCTTTGGGCGGTGGCGGCGGTCCTATCGGCGGATCTGGTCTGACCAGGGGCCGTGGTCGCGGTCGTTTCGCAATTTTAGCTGTCAGTCTTGATCTCGCCATAGCCTCCTCGCGAAGCTGCTTTGCGGGGGAGGATGCTTCGCTAGTCGCATGGGACGAGTCGTCTTCTTCATCACTAGCTTCCTCGGATTCCTCCTCCTCCTCGCCCTCCTCCTCGGCTTCGGCATCGGCCTTGTTCTTCTCTGCTTTGCGTCGCTTCTCCTCGTTCTTCCAATTGGTGAACTTGTCAATGATTGCTTGGCAGCCAGATATGAAGTACCGCCGTGCGGGTTCAAATGTCTTCTTCCTGGCTTCCGTCACGCCACTAACACCCATAACCTTGAGCCAATCCTGGCCCTCTAAACTCTCCTTGAGCTGAACTATTCGGTCGCGATCATGCTGAGCTCGCCCCTTCTCAGTGTTTCGTATGTTCCGCTCCAGTCGCTCGGCTCTTCGATGTATCTTTTCGTAAACGCTGTCATGCAAGGGGTCCTCTGAGGCAATGTTCTTGAATTGTTGCAACCCTAGTGAACTCAAATCGATGCGCTGGGCATTGGAGACTTCTGTATACAGCGCGTCGCCGTAGCTTCGTACCGAAACCACGGTGCCGAGATCGGGCCCGCGGTGCCTATCATCACTTTCGTTCGCCGAGTCCGACACGAGAATAGGCGTGTCGATATTGAACAGATCTACGAATAGTCAGTCAACATGCATAGATATGCAAGAACAACAATGCGTAACGGACATTCCTGCTTCTCATCATTTCCTATCACCTCGTCGTAGTCCGGAAAGTACTGTGCTAGCTCGCTCTTGAAGCGCGTTGACTCCTGCGAGCGCAGCTTGCGCTTGCCTTCTCTATCGACACTCCCTTCGGTCGCCAGTCTGTCTAGTTCGTGTCGAATGCCATTGGCAACTTTGGCTTGGTGTTTTGTGAGGTTTGTGGCCGACGTTTGACCAGCGCCTGCTGGAGGGGCGTCGGCGCGGTCTTGCGCGACGGATCTGCCTTGGGTCGCCACACGCGTCCGTTTGCTTGGTTCGTTGTGTCCATGCGCGTACTCTTGTAATTTTCGCTTCGTACGACCCTGCGCACCTCCTGTGCCACCGCCTTCGGCAACGGCCTGGTCTAGTATCGCGGCTTGCGGACGCATCGAATCGCCAGTGGGAGGAGGATCCTCAGCTCGATGTGAGGAGCGGGTGACGGAGGCCATTGGCAACCAATGTGGTGGATCGCATCGTTTTTGCAATGAGCGTGAAGCGTTGAGAGGGCAATACCCGTGTTTGGTAGCTGTATGAGACGTGACTGATGTTTGACACGTTCCCGTCGCGCGACTGCTGCTCGTTGACTGGTAGTTGGCGGGCGCTGGAGAGCTCGGCTGCAAGCTTACCCTGCACAATGTCTGTACTCTTTTGCCAAGTCCGCAACGGCGCAATTTTTGCGATCATTCGATACTTTCTGGTAATGCTGTATTCTTACATAGGCTCAATGACGCAGTTTTGATGTGTTCCGTTGATACAGCGTTTAGGAGACTTGGGCGATGATGTGTAATCGAAGAAACTCGGGGGTGTTTGAAACAAAGAAAGATTCACACTCAGGAGTCAAGATATATGAGAACAAAGCGCACGCTTCGTCAAACTATTCATTATCCATGACCTGTCAGATCGGGGTATATTCCGCAGCCACCGTAGCGTCCATATCTGTCACTCTTCTTTGCGCTCTCTCGGCAACCCTATTTTCTCCATTACCCTGGTGGTGGCATTGTTCTCCTCCATCTCCGCTGCGATAACTTCCCGCTCACGTGCTGCACTCTTACTGGTATCCATGGCTTCTTGTTCTTGTTGCCGGAATCCCTCAGGATGGACCAGTTTTTCCTTTCGGTTTGTCATCTTGCCTAGTAGATGCTTAGACTTCTTGCGCGCCCGGACATAGGACTCTAGACCGACGAGGACAGCAAAGGACTTTGAGATGGTGACCTTGCTCATGTCTACACCCCCCTCACGCAAGGAGTGAACAAAGGAGCGGAAACTGCTTGCTGGCGGCCGATAGTGACCACTCAACGGGGAAAGAGACGTTATCCTCCCGTCCTTGATTTTGATTAGGCCAGCAGCGGAAATCCGGCTACCTTGAAGGAACGAAGAATGTTGAAAGGCGCCCGAGTTCTTGATTCCCACGTACATACGAAAGGAGGTGTCCGCAACGAATATCCACGTCCCCTCCTTGACAGACTTGCGAAGCAGTTTGTTCCAGATGGTTGAGGCAGAGAAGTGCTTGACCTTCCTCATCTGGAGATGCTGGTGCTCATCTGGCACTTCATCTTCGTGCTCGTCCGCGGAGTCTGAATCGTTCCCCTGCAGATTGAGGTACTTGGCCTCTCTATCTGCCCTTCTTCTGGTTTGCGCGGAAGACCCTGCACTATCGATAGAACTACCTCGAAGGGGCGAAGAGCCATGGCGCGGCTGGGTGCCAGGATCGTATGCGGGCGTTGGGTCATCAGCTGGCACGATACCATGGATGCTGTCCTTGTACGCGTCCGTCGTGTCGATCCTCGCATCGTTCTTTGCCCACCGCAAGCGCCCTTCGTCATCCACCTTGACCAGGTAGTACTGCCGTTCTTCCCTGGAGAGATATCGTATCCTCTCCCTTTCCAGGCGATCTCGGGGGCAAGCCTCCACCTCAACATTTCGTCCCTCGCCAAAGTCCAACCAATAAAAAAAGTTCTCGCGTGTGCTCGATCTTTTCCATTCCGCATGGTAAGCCCGCAAGTTCGAGCCGTACCTGTGCTTAACGTCGACCATCTCCAAGAAATACTGCAGACCCATCATCTGCGCTTTCTGCTTGGACCTGCCCAATATTTGCTCACTCTTCTGCCGCACGCGCTCTTGCTCCCCTACCGAGGCATTTGTCGCGGTGGTGGTGAGCGAGGACGAGTCCGATTCGAGGTCATCATGTCCCGCTCGGCGCGCCACGACGCTGGCCTTCTTCCATCGTACCCTCGCATTTGACATCGCCGCGCTCCCTTGTCCGCCATACGAGGATGTCGGCACATTTTCATGTGCTTCCTTCGTCCTCGGCCGAGTTGTCTCCCTGAACTCAGCTTCTCGGATGGCGCTGACCCAGCGAGTGCTTGCATCGAGTCCGAATCCATCGAGCTCTCTCCGCGCCCGGTGCCCCCGGAAAGTCTTTTGTATTAACCTTGCGGCCTCTGTCCTCTCATGGTGGTCACCTTGCGACTCAAGCCGGCGTTGCCGATGTTGTTGCCGGTCCCGTTGCTTGATTTCCTCTTCCTTCGTTTCCTGGGCTCTTTTGATGCGCTCGAATTCCTCAGGTGAGGGAGGCACTAGGCTGGCCATGTATGATGCGGTTTTTGGAATAGCGGGACGAGAGAGCAGCTCGTCGTATTCTTCAGCTGTGTTGCATGAGGGATGTGAATAGCAACCGTCCTTATGTTGTGGTGTGTGAGTGTCCTGATTCTCTCTGAGATCCATCTCGGAGTGCTGCGCTGGTGGCTCCATCGTCGCGGGGTATCGCGATTGGCCTCGACTGCATCAGTGTAGGTAATTAGAGCTTGTCCTTTCAGCCGCAAGCCTGGCGACATGGAATCTTCCCAATGACCTGAAGCCTGAAATGTGCTAGGTGGAACTGCCATAGCCATCTGAAATCACAAGGGATTAAACTCTGAACCAGGCAATGACGTACGCCTGTGTTCGAGGACGCGTGGAATTTACGAAGCAAGTCGGCAATTGGGCTTGGCGTGCAAGATGATGGACCATGGATCATGGATCCACGAAAATCTATGCGCATGATTGTAGGACAAAAGATTGATATTGACGAGCTGTCAGGCGCAGAGCGGCGTACGGACTTTCCGGTATCGTTGCGAGCCGAGTGTATATATCTCTCGGAACCTTGAATGCTTCAGGACCAATATAGATATTGACGCGTTAGATGACCACGAGCTTGATGATTCGTCGGTTTTGGCAAGGTGCAGCTGTCATCATTATCTTGCATAAGTGCGTGTTGCCTGCCACGTAAGTCCTTTGCGTCCAAGTTATGACTCGGCGCCTCATATACCGACACCGGATATCGAAGGTGGCACGGCCATTGTACTATCATTACTCGTATTTGAAAACTTACTACTCGTATACATAGAATATAACCTTTCACCGCGCCAGGCGGATTTTGGCGTTGTCCAAAACATCGCGTTCTAGTTACGCAAACAGAAAATCTTTGAGAACAGGTGAACCCGAGAACTCAGGATTTAACAGTACACAGCTAGTCCACAACATTAGCGCCCATAACAAGATAGCCGTGGCATGTTCAAACATACTGCAAAAAGTATTGAAGCCCCGCACGCCGCTTCTCCAGGAACTTTGGGCGAAACTTGGATATGACGCTCTTTGGTGGCAGTTGCGGGATCATGGCCTCAAACGTTGGAAATGAGAGAATTAGGCGCTCCCTGAAATCATGGAACTCCGAATATCGCTTTCGAATGTGCATGTAGCTCCCCTTTCTGGTGTAAGCGCCAAAGGTACGGACTGCGTTGTGCGCAAAATGACTTACGGCCAGCGTCTGTACTTTGATGATGTACACGACGAAAGCGCCTATACTGCCCGCACTACCGTTCACCACTGTGAAATCCACAATCTCGACACTTTGCGCCCAGCACGCATTGTTCCTATCGTCGTCATCGGCACTCTCATTGTCGCGCAACCTTATAGCACCTGTTGGCAGCGACTCGGTCGATATGTTTGAGGCGTGGCGCGCGTGAAGACGTCTCGGCTGGCTCGACCAGTATGGCGGTGATGTCACGACATTCGGCGCTTCGGGCTCGGGGATATTGGCAGCTGCGACAGACCAGCCTGCGCTGGAGTCGTTCCCTTGGTCTATGGCCGACGCCATACGGCAGATGGAGGGTTGTTGCGCATGTGCCTCTTAGACAGAGTGGGAGGTTCTGACCAGACTTCGAGTCGTCTCTACATGTAATGCTGGTGTTCGGTGTCGGCGCGAAGTGTAGGCTTTGTATGGAAAAGTCTACGTCGTGCTCATGGAGTCATACGTACAAGACGACGCAGAACCGGAATGCGCAAAGTTGACGATCGACACTAGCATTGCTTGATTCATGTGGGGCTGTGTTCTCGAATTGAGTTATGGGCCGTCTCCAACACGTTGACATCATGTTTGAACTTGAGCAAGCACTCATCATTACCTCAACTTACTTTAGTTCAAGGAACGAAACCCAGCCCTAAACGCGAGCACTAGAAATTTGGCATCTGAATTGGTGCATGATGGGAATATTCCGATGCCTGCAACCCTGATTCAAGATATTTCCGTTTCGGGGCACTCGTGGCACTACAAGCAGTGGAAGTACGCGCCCGTGTATGACTTTGGATCAAGGACTGCTGCTGGCTTGTGGTAAATATAGCCACTATTTTGAGGAGAAGCTGTCATTTTTATTCCAGTGATTATGTACTGAATGGCGAGATACTCTTGCCTCCTGATTCGCAAGCACACGGACTGTCAGAGCTCTGGATGGTCTGATGCGCATCGTGAACAGGTTGTAATGTACCGTATCCGTACATCCTACGGAATACTACAAAGCCTGGTAACTTATAAAGGCACTAGAGCCTGAGGCTTGCATTGGCGTCGGTTCTACCGGCGAAAGCCGACACTCGAACTGCAGAATGCGATGCTCTCTTCATGCACGAAGCAGCACGATTGACCAGATTTCGGCTGCCGAACACGAGAACCAACTGGTCACGAGCACTTCGTTCGTAGGTGCGATACCATGGTTGTTGGCCTACGATAAAGTAGCGGCCACTCACAGATAAGACAAAATAACTTTCAACTCGCGAACAGTAATCACAGCAAATTGAAATACCTTTATTACCAGCTGGTGTCCGCAGATGAGAATTCTCAACGAGCCTCCAGCGGCCAGCCTCCAGGTTGTTGAGCTTCCCCGGGGGCGTGGTCCGCTTGGCCCCACAGCGCGAGCCACCATGTGTCTGAGCTAAAATGGCCCAGGCCCAGACCGGCCTCGCCCGCCCATACTCAGGTATCGTGCTATTGGGTCCTGGGAGGAGAAGAGGCTTGGTACGCATCCTCTACGAGGCCGCCAAGTCTTAGACACGAGAATGTCACCGTTTGCTGTGAGATAAAGTACGTTCCACCTGGAGAGCCAGTTTCATAGCACTATCTCAGAAGGCTTGAGTGCTAGAGCCTAGCGCCGATGCCGCAGGCAACCCTTGGCCAGGCACATGTATCCATATCATGAAACTAATAAGTGCTGCTCATCGTTATATTAAACCGTGACGCCCTCCTGTCCTTTTCAATCCACAGTTCATTCTTCCCTCGCTTTCCGCCATTTTTGGACTTGCTGTTCGCGCCCTACATTCGTTATTGATTCTCTCGTTACGTTCACTGTTGATCTTCTTTAATTTGCGGGTAAGTGTACGGACCCAATTCTAGCCTCGTCCCCAGTCGGTGGCTTGGGGCGGCCTGGCAATTTTACTTGGGCGACACAGCTGTGAGAAGACAAGTTTGTACTGACTGCTTGGCGCTGCTAGACATTTCCTACAAGTATTCACCTTGCACACTTCGCTGCATTTCGATCATCGTACTCCAAAGCAAGATCCGACCGCCCCAACCATGTTCTTCCGTTCGAGCGTCCTGGCCGCAGCCTCTCTCATTGCTGTGGCCCAAGCCCAGTACAAAATTGATCCCGAAACCGTCGACATCAATCAGCGAGGTGCGCTTCTACTCCGGCCTCAGGCTGTGGGGAGACATACTAAAACGAGCAGACTACTGGTGCACGATGCAGAAAGAGACCTGCCCACTGATCTGCTACGAAACCTCCCCCGATCCCGTTCTTGTGAACGAATGCGACGCGGTATGCACTCCAGATCTCGGCCGGCAACCTAACGCTGACCTCTAAAACAGGAAAAACTGACTTACGGCTGTCTTTGTGGCGACAACTCCAAGCCTAATGTCACCGAGTACTCTCAAACGCTACCCTATTTCGTCTGCCGCCAGTGGGGGATTCAATGCGTCGACGATTGCGCCGACCACGACACCGCCTGCCAGTCTGCCTGCCTCGCAGACCATCCGTGTGGAGCCTCGAACCCCAAGCGAGTGACAACGACGAGCAGCTCCGCGAGCACCGCGACAAGAGCCCCAAGCGGAACCAAGACGGACGGCGACAACGTAGTCCTATACACCGGGCCGTCTGATCCTGAGAACAACAACGACAACGGCAACGCAGCGGCACTTGTGGAGGCCGGGGCCATGTATGGTTGGGCCGTCTTGTTTGGCGGCGTCGGCATTGGGTTCGCGCTGCTGTAAAGCTGCACGACAAGAACGGGGACGAAACACCCACTTGGAAGCTGCGTTTCTTTGTTGCATATTACTCGGGCGTTACTACGTGTGTTTCATCGGAGCGAGCATATTGCAGCCTATGTGCTGGCGTTAATACAATAATCGTGATGTACGGATACATGTGCACGTACGTTGACCAGACTCAAGCTCACTCCTCGATGGTGATAGGTCGTCGCTTCACCGTTTTCAATTTCACGTGCCAACCCCTGCGCTAAATCGACGGTTCCTCCCGCACCAACCTGAGTGATCGCATTGGCTCCTGTAAAATCCGTACTCCCTATGACCTACATCTCGGTTAAGAGAATCCTTCATCGTCCTCTGCCTCACCATGCCACTATCCTACCCTGCGGTTCTTATGCTGTGAAACCACGTCACTGCAGCGCGTGGCTGTACGATTTGCTCCTAATCACCAATCCCTTCTTGCCAAGGACGCCCCTCGATCCACTCCGACCCCACGACCGCTTCTCTTCAAAGATCCTCAATCCCGTTGGAGTCTACTCCGTACACTCTTGCATCTTTATCAGCGCATTGACAAGATGGATATGCCGAAGAGTACTGGAACCCTCCACTCGAGATTCGCAGACAGCGCTGACATCGTCGCAGGAAAGGCCGTTGCCGAGTGCATCTCGGACGAAGCCTTGACCCACCTCAAATCGTACAAGTACTCGGCCGTCGACAAATCGCCCGTCTCCAAGTATATACTCGGTCCTTGGGTATGCTAGAACACATCGAGGAGCTCGAAAAGTCGCTGACCTGCGCAGTGGAATGCATTCGTCAACGTGCTGCCCATGTGGCTGGCCCCGAACATGGTCACGCTCCTAGGATTCTTCTTCATTTTGGGGAACATCGTGTTGATGTCCATCTACATTCCAGACTTGATAGGCCCGGGCCCTACTTGGGTATACCTGAGCTTTTCCTTTGGTCTGTTTATGTATCAGACCATGGACAATGTCGATGGGAAGCAGGCCAGGCGAACGGGGACATCCTCCGGCCTAGGCGAGCTCTTTGATCACGGGATTGATTCGCTCAACTGCACGCTTGCTTCGCTCCTGGAGACTGCCGCCATGGGTCTTGGGTGCAGCAAATTGGGCGTCTTCACCGCTCTGTGTCCCTGCCTTGCGATGTTTTTCTCTACGTGGGAGACGTATCACACCCATACCCTATATCTAGGCTATTTCAACGGGCCGACTGAGGGCCTACTCATTGCTGCCGCTGTCATGGCTGCTGGGGGTATTTGGGGTCCAGAGGTCTTCCGCATCCCTCTCAAGTACGCCATCGGGGAGAACACACTCCTGGCGGAATTCCTTGGGGAGACCAACACCTTGGATATATGGGTGCTTGTCATCGTTGTTCCCCTTTGCACGGGCCACATTCCCGTCTGCGTCTACAATGTCTGGAAGGCCAGGCAGGCTAAGGGTCTGCCTCTTACCCCAGTCTTCCTCGAGTGGACTCCTATGGTGGTCTACACACTCGCCATCGGAGCGTGGATATACAGCCCTTACAGCACGCTGATGGACAACAATCATCTGACACTGTTGTGTCTGACCCTATCATTTGTTTTCGGAAGAATGACGACAAAGATGATTCTGGCGCATCTGACGAGACAGCCGTTTCCATACTGGACGGTAATGCTCATCCCGCTCCTCGGTGGTGTGGTGATCGGCAACCTTCCCCGAGTGGGCTTGCCACAAATCTCGCCACAGTTGGAGCTGGCATATCTCTGGGGTTACTTTATCTTTGCCGGCATCGTATACTTTAGATGGGCGTTCCTTGTTGTGGGCAGCATTTGCGAATTCCTTGGGATCAATGCGCTTACCATACCGAAAGCCAAGCAGGAGGAGACCAGGCGGAGGATAGAGGAAGAGAAGGCTACTCAGGGAAGACAGGACTGAGAATAAGTCTTGACCGATACTCACTCTCATGTATGTACGTACAGGTAGGATCATTTAAGGCTCTCCATGTCGTACGCCATCATAGTAGCACGTGTTGAGATCATAGCGGCAGGACTAAGAATCTCTATTTGGACGTGTACTTCGTCCGGCATTCCCCCATCCGAGACAATTTCAAAGACGGGAACAGAAAATCCAGTAACGATAAGCTGACTTTGCGCTTGATTAATTAAATGCTACTATCCGCACCTTATACAACCAGTACCGTTCTGGTGTCAGCGCAGGCTGCCTTACCTTTCCTTGCCGTTGAGTACCAGGTATCAGATGGCGGCATTGCGGACCCACGTCCGCCGCTTCACATCGCATGCCAATGCGACCACCTATGCGCGCCAACGCACATGCCCATCCTCCCTTACAACCTGGCACCATGATATCCCCAACTTGAGCTCGGCAACCTGCGCTCTTTCTTCCCCATTCTTCTACTGTTCAAATCAGCGCCGATATGCTCACTGGCTGACCTCGCCCTCCAAAATGCCCCGACCGTCCACCGTTGTCCTCATCCTGACGGCCCTGCTATCCCTCGCTTCGGGCTCCTTCAGCACCGTGACGGACGACCACCTGCGTTCGATACCGTCACCGAATGATGACTTCAACATCAAAGAGGGCAAGCTCCTCGCCCCCATCTTGATTCCTCGGGTGCCTGGCACGGATGGCTCGTACAAGGTCCAGAAGCACTTTGTCGACTTCTTCGAAAACGAATTGCCAGAATGGCGGCGCATATCGCAGAACTCGACCAGCAAGACACCCGTCACGGGCGACAGAGACGTACCCTTCACGAACTGGATCTTCCAACGCGATCCGCCGTGGGCTCGCGAGGGCGATGTTGGCCGCCTCACGCTAGTCGCCCACTTTGACAGCCTGATCAAGCCAGAGGGCTTCATTGGAGCCATTGACAGCGCGGCTCCCTGTGCCATGCTCATGCACGTGGCGCGCAGCATCGACGACGCCCTGACTTCGAAATGGAAAGAAATGGAAGACTCGGGGGACGCTGGGCTCGAGGAGGCAAAGGGTATACAGATCATCTTCCTGGACGGCGAGGAGGCATTTGAACGCTGGTCGGACGATGACTCCCTCTACGGCGCTAGGAGCCTGGCCGCCGAGTGGGAAAGGACGCCGCACGAAAGCATGTCTACCTACAAGACACCCCTTGACAGCATCAGCCTGTTCGTCTTGTTGGATCTGCTAGGCGCGGAGGGGCCGACGGTCCCGAGCTACTTCCTGCCAACGCACTGGGCATACCGAAACATGGCCGATCTCGAGAAACGCATGCGCGACTTGAAGCTCCTGGAGAGCTCGCCGAAACAGCCCTTTTTGCCGGATGGAGACAAGGAAGCTACCACTTTTGGGAGGGGCTTCATCGGGGACGACCATGTGCCTTTTATGCAGCGCGGTGTTGAGATCTTACATCTCATTCCCAGCCCTTTTCCGAGAGATTTGTGGCACAAGATGGAGGACGACGGCGAGCATCTTGACTTGGGGACTTGTAGAGATTGGAGTCGGATCGTGACAGCATTTACCATGGAATGGCTCGAAATCGGGGACTATATGCCTAAGAAGGTTGCCCGTGAAGAGGGCAGCAAATCTGGCGTGGAAAAGGGGAAAAGGACCGAGCTATGACTACATGGGCAATGGTAATTTCGCTTTTTACACAAGTTAAGTTCACTGGTGAATTTGGTGCATGTGATTTAAAAGGCATCTTGGTTGTAGACATTTGAAGTCTGGTTCCGGGACTCGCCCGGCAGATGGTAATAAGTTCAACAGTCATTACATCAAACAGTCGCTCCTATCACGCAGTTGAGAGCTGGCGACATTAAGCTCTACCATAGTTTCCAGTCCAAGGCAGCCCAAAGTTCCAGATTAAAAGGTAGTAGGATAATTACAGCTGTTATTGCACGAACACTGCGGGCTGGCGATGACGGTATAGGGTAACTGGGTGTGATGGCCCCACTACTGCAAGAATGGACCAATTGGCATCAGTTTCCAGCCAGATAGACTCCAAGCTGTCCTCACCAGCAACTCCGGTCCTCGAAGCTCCATCACCACCCAACTTCAAGATGCGCTTCCTCCCCTCCTTCGCTCTTTTGGCGGGTGCCGCCAGCGCCGCTTCATCCTGGTCTTTTTCTGATGGCGCAGTCGAGGTCACCAGCAAAGGCTCGGTCTCCACCTCCTACATCTTCGCCGACGTCCAGGAAACCGTACAGCTCGGCCAAGCTGACAGACTGAAGGTCTCGCTCACGGCGAAGGATGGCAGCAAGGCAAAGAGACCGCACCAGGCATTCCTGATGCTCAAGGAGAAGCAAACGGGGCTTGAGGCGCCTTACGCACTGACATTGAAGGAGTCCGGCAAGGGCACGGTCGAGCTTGTACGTCACCCCTCCATCTATGCCGTCTCGGGGACTAATTGTGTAGACGCAAAAAGACCTTCCCATCCAGCTCCTCACCTCGACCGACCCGCTCGAAGCTTCGCTGGTAATCGGCTCCTTTGGCTCGACAAAGGGTGCCGTGAGCCACGCCTTCAACGTTGCCATTCTCGTCGACCCCAATGTCCCCCAACCGCAGTACGAGGCGCCATTGCGATATGGCAAGAAGCCCGAGATCCACCACATCTTCCGCGATGATCCCAAGAGCCCCCCCAAGATCATCAGCCTTGTGTTCGCGCTGGCTGTCGTAGCCACGGTTCCTCTCGTCTTGCTCGGGGTATGCATCCGAACCCGGAACTTACTACACGGTTCGCTAACAAGACACAGTGGGCTGCCATGGGCGCAAACCTGGACCACGCCGCGAAAGCCGTTTCGGGCTCCGCCTCGCACATTCTGTTCTTCGGGTCCATCGTCGCTATGGAGGGGGTATACTTCCTGTACTACAGTGGGTGGAAGCTGTTCACCGTGCTGCCCTTTATGAGCATCATTGGGCTTGTGGCGTTTCTGAGCGGAAGCAAGGCACTCGGCGAGGTGCAGAGGAGGAGACTTGCTGGCGAGAGATGATCAATCTCTTCGTCCACTGATCAGGATTAAGTTGCATCGGGGCTTGCAGAGCTGAGCCTCGGCTGCAGACAAAAAGGTGCCTACGTAGGCGCACCTGCTTGCAGGATCACATGTGCCGCCAACCAAAAAGGCATAGATAACAGAGAGTTAAACATACTAGCCTTCTCGGCGATTTCCAAGACATTCAAGGCTTGAGTTACTCATTGTGGCCAAATGTCCACGCGTACGCACATCATAGTCTTCACTGTAGGACCTTTGGTTTTGAGAGCTTCCTCGGTCCATAATAGTAGCGCGCCCGACGTCATTGCAGCCGAGACGCAACGTCCGGCATCCCACTGTGCCTGAATAGCATTTCTTCTCAGCCTCGTCAGTTTGACGCTCTCACATCCGCCTTATCTTGTTTGCATTCTCCACCATCCAGACCTCAGCTTTCCCATTCAGCTCACCACCCTAGTGACGCCGCATCGCATTCGACTCACCATGGCAAATAGGTATGCGCTCCTTGATCGCGCCACTTGTCTATATCTCGCGTTGCGTCTTGGAGGAGCTAAAGCTGATGCTTTGCAGACTGGATCCCAAATTCCCCACGATTGAGGAGACGCTGAACCATCCCGCGTACCCATCAACAATATGGCTACTTGAGCCCCATAGCCAGGGTACGTTGCCTGTTGCTAAAGATCGAGGAGGGCCAGTCAACATCGCCTGGGAGATCCATGGCTCAGGGCCGACAAAGATCGTTGTATGTGCATGAAGCCTCGCATTCATTCCAAGCCATGCTGATATGAAGTAGTTCATCATGGGTCTAGCTGGCGTGACGGCATCGTGGCAGCGACAGACAAAGTACTTTGGCCATGAACGCGGCGATACGTACTCGGTCCTCATCATTGACAACCGCGGCATGGGCGCCTCTGATAAACCTGTGGCTCGCTATTCGACCTCGGAGATGGCACTCGACCTCATTGAAGTCCTTGACCATGTGGGCTGGACATCACCGCGGGAAGTGAACGTTGTCGGGATTTCTTTGGGCGGCATGATCGCCCAAGAGGTCGCTTGCGCCATTCCAGAGAGGCTCGCGTCGCTAAGCCTCTTGAACACGAGTGCCGAGGTGCAGAATACTAAAGGCTATCTCGACTGGGCCAAGGAACGGCTGGGGTTCGTGATCCCGAAAAGTCAAGAGCAGGCAATCGTCGACACGGCAAGGAAGATCTTTGTGGATGAATGGTTGGAGGCCCCTGACGCGGAGGAGCCACCATCCCCCGAGTCGACTCCACGATGCAAAGCGCCGCCTGGAGGGAAGTACCTGATGTTTGACAACAATTTTCAACGCTTTCAGGCCCAGGAAATCAACAAAAGGCGACACCCAGACTACTGGTCTACCCCGGGCTTTCTTTGCCAACTCATCGCCGCTGGATGGCATCGCAAGAGTGAAGCGCAGTTGAAGGAAATGGCTGATAAGGTTGGGCGAGAGAGAATCATGGTGATGCACGGCAACAGGGATAAGATGATCATTGTGTCCAATGGCCAAAGACTGATTGACATTATCCAGCCTGACACGGGATTGATTGTAGACGGCATGGGTCACGCACCCGTGATGGAGCGACAGAAATACTTTAATGAGCTGCTAGAGGAGCGCTTGAAGCATTGGGGACAAGTATAGTAGGTCGATTGCATAGAATTTCTTTTTATAGGATGGTATAATGATGAAATGCCTAGAGCATGATGAAACCGATGCCACTCAGGTTCTGGTCATCGAGCTGATTCCTCTCGTCGACACCACCAGCGATCGGGCGCGCGCGGTAGTTGAACAGGTAGTAGTGCAGTTGTCCGTCACCGCCGCCGAACTTTTGTTGCTCTAGGAAGAGCCCGTTGTCCATCAACGAGAGCGCATTGAAGACGTCGAATTTGAGGTTCTTGGCCAGGATGAGTGCATCGTGCACCAGCTCATTCATCCTCGCGGCATGCGCCTTGCGATCGTACGGCGTGGTCATTGCCGCTTCCGTGCCGTAGTACCAGAGATACGCCACGCGAAGTACGCTGTGCTTGCTGTTGTTGATGACAGACGACTCGATGCAGTTGAACGAAAAGAAGTCGGTGATCTTGCCGTTGCCGTCGACCACGACATATGACCACACAACCTCCTCACCGCCCTCTGGAGTCTTTGGCACCAGCCAGTGAATAGCTTCCTCTCGGGTGAACTGAGGAGCCATGTCGAACCTTGACATGTATCGCTCAAAGAGGGGCATGACTTCATCAATGTCTTTCTCTGTCATTTTGCGGAGACCCTTTGTGGACGTGGTCTCAGGGAGGGCGTACTTGCGAACCTGGTACTGGGGTTTGCTGCCAGGCGGCAAGGGGCTGAAGCCGCACTCGTATAGCTTCTGCCAGTTGAGGCTGCGGTGGAAGTAGCGGCACGTGCTGACAGGTCGAGGAAGGACAATGCCGGCGGTGTGGACGCCTTGCCAGATGCCGTTGAGATTGCTGATGCGAGTGATCTCCTTGATGAGGACAGGCGCAAGGCGCTTGCCGCGGAGCTTCTTGTGAACGACAAGGAAGTTGACCTCGGAGCAGAGCACGACCTTGTCGCGGACGCGGACGTGCGCTGGAATGGCGGAGATGTAGGCAACCAGCTTGCGCGACTGCGTGGCCCGAACGCCGACGTGGTACCGCTTGTGCCAGCCGGGCGACATCATGGCCCTGGGCTCGTTAGTTTCGATCCACGGCATCCCACAAAGATATGCTTACCAGCGCAAAAAGGAGGGTGAGTAGTTGAACCGGAACATGGCACCGTCATCTTCGACGTAGTGGCCGTTCAGCAGCTCGTACACCTCCTTGATCTCGCCATCGTCTATGAGGTCCATGGTCACCCATTCGAACCCGGGCACCAGCGCCGCTTGCTCAGTCGAGACGTCTTCCACCTTTTGCACCTTGATGGGGCCCTCCTCCAGCTTGTCATCCTCATCAAATTTGGGCACGGGCTGGGTCTGCCAGAACTTGTATGCGCCCATCTCCTTGACGTTCTTCCCACTGGCGGCAAGACCGGTCATAATATCGCGCATGTTCATCTTGCTGAGCTTCTCGGCCGCGGCTTCGGGGTTGGCGTCCAGCTCGGCAGCGAGGGCTGGGTTCAGCGACAGGAACTCTTGGGCTTGTTGCGGCGTCAACTCCCCAAGAGCCTTTTGGATGTTCTCCTCCTTTGTGGAAGACTTCCCAGTCAGGAGATCCTTGGCCTTCTTGCGCTTGGACTTCTTCTTCTTCTTGCCGGAGCTGGAACCAGCCTCGCCGGCAGCGGGCGCGGCCCCATCGTCCTCGGAGGCATCGTCCTCGTTCTCGGACTCGAGCGCGACGGATTTGACCTTTGCGTCGATCTCGTCGACCTTGGGCTCGACTGGCTTGGACTCTTCGGGCGGCATGGCGGGCAGTGGCTATCGGGTTGGGAGAGTGAAGAGAAGGTAAAACAGGGAAGCTGCCCCAGACGGCGTTGGCGTTGGCGGTGGTGGGGTGTTAATATGTGACAGCTGTCTGCCTGTCAGGCATGGCGGGGTCACGACGGAGAGGATCTGCGATTGCGCGCATGATGCATGGTAATTCCAAACAACGTGATTATATGATTAATTGATCCCGATCTTGCGACCTGCCAAAGTCTACTTGTACATGAATGCATAGCCAGTTGTATATAAAGGTGGAGTTCGTGATTGCAAACCCCAGTGCCATGAGGACAACCATTGTCTCGCCAGGCATCACTGCACCTATGCGCCTCGGATGTTGCCGTAAACTGCAAGTGAGTGGCTAAGCGTAGGCTGTCCCGTGCAAGTCGAAGGACCTCATAATAGCCAGGGAAACAGGCGCGTATCCCATGATGTTGTTGTGACCTGTATCGTAGTCAGCTCGAGACTTGGGGGCAGATCTCGACATCCTTACCTCCGTACGGAAACAGCTCCTGACGAACAATGATGTTAGGCGTGGATTTCCACGTCGTCACAAATGCGTCCTCGCTCTTACGAACTGTTCGTTCCTCTTTCCACTTTAAGAATTCATTATCATCGGTGATCCCCACCGCTGCGCAGACAGCTGCCTTGAAGAGCTTGTCATCCTCCGTGCACGGAATATCCTTATCGTTCTTGGCGTGGACTAGACTCAGACGCAGCCTCGTCTGGGTTTTGTCGACAATCTTGCCTAATCGGTCTGCCGAATTCCATTTGTCGACGACAAACCGGTGCAGCAGCCTCAACAGCCACGGAACGTACCGGAAAGGGGCGAGGACAGGGACGACTCCGACGATACGATACTCGCTGAGCATTGTGGCCAAGTCGCTGAAACCCGCTACGAGAACGATGCCCGCGAACTCAATGTCCTTGGAATAGTACTTCTCCGCGACTCCACTGACTACAGCCGTGCCGAGACTCTGGCCAAGCAGCACAATCCGGGACGAAGGGATGCCAGCTACCTTTGTCGCCCACTCCACCAGTGCCGACGCATCTTCAATGAGGCCTTCCTCACTGGGCGATCCAGACGAGTGTCCAAAACCACGGTAGTCGATGGCTACAACATGGTATGACGATGTGTCCGTCAGGGCATGGTAGCTCATTGGGCGAATGGCTTGCGCGACATGGCCCGCATTCTGCCAAGGAGTTAGAATATTCATGACTGGTACAATCCTGACCAAGCTCTTACCCCGTGAACTGTTTAGAAATTAGCAGGCGCCTCGCTCGTTCTCATCAGGGGCAATACAGTATAGCACCAGCCGAGCTTCCGGATCATCCTTCAATAGACGGAATGACTCGGTGGAAGGAAAATCCTCTGCCAGGCCACGTTTTTGGCCTGATACAGCAGACTCGTTCTTCAAGTATACCGGGAGCGGTAAGATGTGCCACGCATAGATTGTCTCCTCATCGGCGGTAGTCAGTTTGAATGGCGTCACCTGGCCTGGGGCAAATCCCCATTTCTCGGGTTTGTTGACGTCGTTCCAGAGGAGAGTGTGGATGTTGTGAGCATACAAGAACCTGACGCAAGAATTTAGGCTGAATATTCTTCGTCACAGGAAGGATACCTGACTCACTGCTTTTGGAAGAACGGTATAACGGCGAGGAAGATGAAGAGCAAATAGAGCCCAAGTAATGCCGCAAGCAGGTACAGAACAGTCAAAGCAGCTGGATGGTAACTTGCAGACATCATTCCAGAGAGTGAAAGACAAATATGTCTGCTAGAGGAACATGACGAAGACTGTATGAACGATCGTTGTGGTGACGATGTAAGGTTGAGGATGAGGGAGATGCAAGGCTCCTCCTGCAGGCTGCCCACCTTAACAGTGGTTGGTGCATGTCACTGGTTGAACTGTTAGGCATCTTCTACTGAAGAGCTCAAAAGTTCAGCTCGTCTGTATCTGACCTTGATAATCTGTCGATAATGGTGTTCCAAATTAGACCTTTTCGAAAAGAGCATCCAGAAATACTTTGCAGCAATCGACACTGATGAATCTAGGTGGACGTGATGTCGTGCCACTAACACATTACAACCCACCAACGCGCCGCCAATCAGGCGCGTCTCTTTGACCTCAGTGGCTCATCCCGAGACGCAATACTCCAAGTCGCCATTGACCCATTCCCATTCTCGCTTACGTTTCTTTTGCCCAATTCCACATTGCACAGCCTACGGCTTTCGCTCGCTACTGTCACCCCTCGTTCGTGTACCTCGCTTGCGATCCGCGGCAGACCATGTTCCGTCCTAGGCCTTGTACGTGACGACGACACACGACCCAACACCTCTGGCTCCAATCATCGACAGTCACGACATGGAGCGCAAGCGCAAGCTGCCCGCCCGGGCGGCAGCGCGTGTCGAAAGTGAGGCCAAGCGACGCCAGTCGACGCCCCGCGAGAAGAGCGAAGAGCCCACGCCGGCACCGGTGGTCGAGGAGCCCCCAGCCCAACCGTCGCTACCTCGCTCCATACAACCAGGCAAGCCACTGCCTACCGTGGAAGATGCACAACCGGACGATCTGTCATTGAAGGAGTATCAGTCAATAAGCGAAAGGTAGGCGCCACGGGACTTTGAATGGCCGACCCAACTAACGAGAGCGCAGTGGCGTCCTGGCCGAATCAATATCACGATCGCGACACAAATGGATCAATGATGGCTTGTTTGAGAAATATTGGACGAAACCGCACAAGCGGAAAGGAGTGGTGAACGAAGACCCCAAGAATCCGCCAAAAGAGAGCATGGTCAAGGTCGGGACCGTCCAAATCACGATCGAGCCTCACATGATCGAAGCGACCATGTACACAGTCAAGGACCCAAAGAAGCCAGTGCCGCCAGCCACACAACCGCACAACCAGGCACGACCTGTAATACAATACGGGCCGCCAAACGGCATGATGCCACCGCCACGAACGGGGACGCCTGGGGCTGGATCGCCAGCTCCTGAGGGGAAAATGCTCGCACCCAGTCCGGCACCCAACAATGCGCAGCCTCCGCAACGGTCGCCTTCATTAGACCAAGGAACCAGGGCACCGGTGTCTGCGTCGCCGGCTCCCAGCTACCCGCCTCGACCGGTTGCTATACCTGCTTCTAAGCCCACGCCGCCCCCGGGGAATACAGGGCCAACGCGCCCGCCGCAGGCCACTACCCCATCGGCGCCCAGTGCGCCATCAACACCTGCGACAAAACCCCCTGTGGCGCCCAATGCAGGTCCAGGGAAAGATCATGCGCCATCTCATGCGACTGGCGGCCCTCAACCGACAGCAGTAGGGGCGGCTCCCGCTGCGGCCCCAACAACAACCAAAACCGTCACAAATGATCCAGTCATTGCGCTTCTGGCTCAGAAAGCTGGGGCCGACGACGAGCTGAAGGATCTAATGAGGCGAGTGGCGCATAACCAGGCAACCACGGCGGAACTGGCCAAATTCCAGGGCATTATTGATCAGTTGAATGCCGAGTACAAAAGAGGAGGGGGCCAGCAGGGGCCTTCGGCTGATCGTTTGCTCGTGGACCAGAGGACAGTTCGGTACTTTGCGGACGAAGTGTGCGCCATTCTGGATATTGTTCTCGCTTCGAATCCAGATCAGCGAGCGGCGGACCTGAGACCACCACCACGCAGTGACCCCCTCGTCGTGCTTCTTGTCAAGCGCGCTCTGGAGCACAAACCGACGAGGGAAATCTGTCGGCGCATTGTGGCCGAGAAGCCAAACTATACCGACGCAACTGACTTGAAGACGATCCTGGACCGGCTTCTGCAAGAATCGAAGACACCGTCGCGAGGAACACCCACGCCCGCGCAACCCAAGCCAGCTGCACCAGGCCCGAACATGGCAGCGAACGGTTACGTGAACGGGCACCCCCCGGCACAGGGAGCTACACATCCCTCACAACAAGCGTTGCGCTCAAAGGGACCGCCGCCTGCGCCAAAGCAGGAGATTTCTGCTGTGGTATTCGACTTTGGCGGTGGCGATCGATTTTTATTCCCGAAATTCAGCATCTTAGAGTATATACCAACACCTGTCGGACAACAGGTGATCGCATCGTTCCTGATCATCCGGAAAGGGAGCACCATCGAGTACGGCGGAGACCCAGCGCTTGACTATTACCAGCCTGTCACCATTCGACTGTACGCACACAGCGGACGCCACCTGGAGAACCTGGCTAGGGTCGTGGCGCCCCCGTCGGAGGTGCGTGCTTACATGGAGAATGTCATGGACAACATGACCAGAGCCGAATACATTCTGCTTGCCATGCGTCTGCCGCGCTTCACGAAAGATGAGGGTGACTCCAGCGGCAACCGCAGCGAGGACGCTAAGGCTGCACGGGGCACACCGCAGGCTGAGAAGGAGCCGGAGAAGTCGACTGTTGCGAAGCCAGAGGTTCTGTGGACTACGCCGGCGGCTGCCAAGTCGGAAAAGTCCTCTCGCGCCCTCAAATCGAGAGAGGCAGAAGAGGAGACGCAGGCCCAGTACCGGCGACTGATAAACTCGATAGCGGCCAAAGACTCGGCCGCTGTGTGATAGGAGACGATGTGTGACTGTCATTACATGTATCAATGTCAGGAGGGTATGAGTACGGGCTGGGGCCACACATGGCGTCATCTTGGGAATGAAGACTGAACTAGCGAGTGATTTACATAATACCCTGATTCTGATAATATCAAGCAGTGGCATTCAAAGGTTGTGCTCCTGTGACTGTGGAGTTGAAGCCGTCTCGAGTGGCATACTTGTACGAGAACTTCTGCTGACATTGGTCCTTGACGGAACCACTCGCCTGGGACGAAAGATTGCAAGTCGAGCTTGGAATCCCAGCAGGGCAAATCGGTGTTGCATCTTCAGACGGAGAGTTGTCTAATTAAACATTAGAGTACTCGTTGATCACGAAATAATTAGAGCACGATTCCTGCGTGTGTCGATAATGCGCCTGAGTCATGACAGCTTTGTCTTGTTGGTCTGGGATAAACTCTTAACCGCACGCTGACCAAACACCCATCACTCCTTGCGGAGGAGGAGGTATGTGATCACATTCCACCACTATTATTATTATTAATAGCTGCAGCCCATGGGCCTAGGATTACAGAATGTCCGCAGACAAAGTCCGCAGCCGCACTAGCAGAGGTTGTTCTTGGGAGGGCCGTTATTAATCAATAAGTCGCGGTAAAGTGGCGACAGGTCACGGAACCAAAGGCACGACAAAGGTATAAGTTGGAAGGAAATCAGGTAAGGCACTTTTACGGTTCTAGCTCATCGAGAATGGATGATCCATCTATGTTCATTACGCTCCTGTATAATTCGACATCTTCGCTATGACTCCCACAATCCTCGTCGTTGGCGCCACCGGCAACACTGGCCGAAGTGTCGTTCAGACCCTGTCCAAACTCCTGAGCACCAGCAGCACTCTGTCGGGTCATAGAATTCTGGCCCTTACGCGCTCATCCAATGGAACAGTGGCAAAGGAATTGGCTGAACTGCCCGGAGTCGAAGTTGCAGAGCAGAATTGGGTCGAAATCACTGCCGATTGGCTCCGCCAACATGGTGTAGCCAGGGCGTTCATTGCATCGCACAACCAGCCAAACCAATTCGCCGAAGAATCAACTTTCCATCTGGCTGCTCTCCACGCCGGCGTTGAGTATGTTGTGCGAATCTCAACCACCGCTGCGAATGTCCGTCCGGACTATCCGGCCTACTACCCGCGAACGCACTGGGCAATCGAGGCTCTCTTGAGCTCGCCCGAGTTCCGAGGCCTGCAGTGGACTTCTCTGCAGCCTAATGTTTTCTTTACATTCTACATTAGCTCCGCCGCAGAGCTTGTCAAGAACTACCGTAAGACGGGGAAGCAGGATATATTAAGATTGATGGCATCAAAGGACGGGCCTGTCGGTGTTGTTGATGCCGATGATGTCGGAACGCTGGCAGCTCACCTCTTGGCCGAGAAGGATGTCTCGAGACACAACAAAGCCAAATATGTCGTGAACGGACCGGAGGATATCACGGGTCAACAAATCGTGAAGATGGTCGAGGACCACATCGGCACCCAAGTCAAGGAGGTTCGGTACAAGGACATGTCGTTTGTTGATCAGATGGCTGCCCAAAGCTCCGAGTCGAGCAACGTCATCTTATCTATCAAGCATGCCCCGGAGACAGCATGGGCTGGAGAGTGCACAGCTTCTACGACCAGCAAAGAAGTCATCGCGCTGGCTGCACCCAAGGGAACCCTCGCTACAGCTTTCCAAGCCTTGTTGGAATCCTGAGGACATGGAGCTATTTCGCTGTTGTCCTAGCCGGGGGTTGGCATCTATCTTTACTCCATAGTCGCTCATTGAACTCACGCCATTGAGTACATATAGACCACAATGCCACAAGTTCACTTTTCCAGACTTTTGACAGACGGAGGTTATTAATTCCTCAGTATTAAGTACTTTTCGGGGGTCAGAGGTGCGCGCCCGGGCGCGCGCATAAGATTTCTTAGTAAGCGCGGACCTTAGACCTTGGCCCGTGACATTCATCTGACAGTGGTTTGTATCCGTCCGGGTTCCTGGTAAGCTCGAAGCTAAGCCACTGTACCCAACATGAACACCATCAAAGCACATGTATACTAAGCTGGAGTTTCTTCTTGATTGCACCACCGATGTCAAGAACGGAAAACACTCATCATGGGCCAGACACTGTCCGGCGAGCCAGATGAGCCTCGCTCGCGCGAGCAGCTCGTCCAGCAGCTAGTGAGCATCGCTTCCCGACTTCAAGCCATGCGCGCACTTTCATCCATCTGACTATTCAATAGGCGGCAAGATTCAGAGACAAATGTCTTACCAATCTAGAATTCTACTCTTTTCAGGAAGTCTTCAAAACGCTTGCCGATCAGCAGGGGTCCATCAAGTACCTCAAAGAAGACACTGTGTCGCGCTTCCTCGAGATACCCGACGTCCTCGGTGCATCCCCAGTTGTGTTCCAGATGGTGTCGCATCTCGGCTCTTTCCCATTCTTGCAGGATGCACCGGCTGTTTTGGAGCTGCCACAGATGATCATGGTGGTTGTCATCATGACGGAACGCCACAGAAGGGTCTTAGCAAAAGGCTCCGATCGGACAAAGCTGCTTTTTAAGAGCTTGGCAGTCTATGATCGGAAGGCTAGCCAATCATCCGAACAAGAGAAAAAGGAGGATGCCCAACCCAAGCCTAGCACGGGAGGGTTTGCCATCGACGAGGCGGGTGATGAGTATGGTGAGGACATTGAGGAGGAAGACGACGACTTGGTCTTGACAGCGCTCGAACTGCTGGACATAAATGACGCTGTCAAGGCAAGCGATCGACCTGAATTCCATGGAGCAATGATCCCCACAGACAACTTCAGGAAGTTGTTACTGCTGTTGCTGCTGACCGCCCCCCTCGACCCGCAGGAGAGCCTGTCACAATACTCGGCACACTTCACAGGCGAGAATCTGGACAGGCTGAGGATGACGGCGGAAAACATATTGGCTTCATTTGTAGATGTCGAGAAAGCACCAGGGATCAAGTTGAGCCGCTTCAGACACGTCATCCCAACAGCAATGCCGAATCTCTTCAAGGGCTTCAACGGATTGTTCGACCGCTTTCTGTTCTCCAAGGATCTGGACCTTTCGAAACGGCAGAACGATAACGAGAAAACTACCTTGAAGGTTGCACAGCCACTACTGCAGGATCAAGGGGAGATCCTCCACGAGCATACACTGTCGCAGTTGTCGCTATTCCTGCCGCCAAAAGACTTGTTCAGGCGAGTCCGTCTACTGTACTCGGGCAACGAGCATGGCTTCTCCATGGGTAGCTTTGAGTCCAAAGTATTCAACTGGAGGGCGCCGACGCTGGTGCTCGTTCGAGGCAGTCGTCTAAGCGCCACCCCCGATGGCGGGCAAGAAGCGGCCTTTGCGGAAGCTCTTCCGCCCAAAAGATTCCCTGACGGAGGCAAAGGAGACAACCTCACGTTTGGCATCTATGTTCAGGAGCCTTGGAGATACACGCACAAGGACTGCTTCGGGGGATCTGATTCCGTCCTGTTCCAGCTCGAGCCGGTGCACGATGTTTTCCAGGCGTCGACGATCAACAAGGACTACGTAACACTCACCAAGCCACCAAGCAATGAACCTCTGCTGGCGTTTGGAAGTCCGCACCCCAAGCCTAGCAAGGCAAATCGACGGGAAGTCAACATACCGCTGGGTCCGGTGTCTCTGGCTTTGGGAGACTCGTTTGAGTTTGGCGTATTCAACCATGACTACAATTCACGAGGTGGCGCGTTCCACGGCAGCAACATCAGGCGTTATGACTTTCAAGATCGCTTCAGGGTCGACAGCCTGGAGGTCTGGGGCTGCGGTGGGGATGATGAGGCCAAATCCCAGGCTGAGCGATGGGCTTGGGAGGCGAGAGAAGTTGAAGCCCGGAGGAAGATTAACATGGGTACGGGTGACCAAGAGGCTGACAGGCAGTTGCTGCAGATGGCTGGAATTATTGGCAGCAACAGGAGTGGCGGATCGATGGCATGAGGAAGGCCAATAGGCGGAAAGGCGTCTGGAGTCACAGCAATGACTTATGCTCATGAATGCAATTACTTGATCGGCGGGAGATCAGATCCCTTTGCCCGCGCTACATGTAACCAAGCCTGGCAGCCATATAATACATATCCTCTAATTGTACACAACAGGAAGGGCGTCCAAGCAGCGTTACTTCTTGGGCCCGTCCTTGTTTTGTGACGACATCATCTCGCCCAACGTCCCTAACGAGCTCTTCGGGTTCCTCTCCTTGACCTCCTTCTCCACATTATCTGCAACCTCCTCAGCCTTCGCCTTCGCTTCAGCGGCGGCCTGCTCGCCCTGCTGCCACAAGCCCATTTTCCCAAGGATGCCGCCAGTGCCTTCTGTGTTTCCGATCTCACCACCGGCGAGCTCCTCCTGCACCTTGCTCTCGGCCTGGGCGGCGCCCTCGGCGGCCTTCCTCTGCAGCCTCCTCTTGAGTCTCTGCTCCTCCTCGTCTCGTGCCTCCAGCTCGCGGATCCACTTCTGTCTCTTCTCCTCGGCATCTCTCTGCTCCTTCAGTTTTCTGAGCTCTGCCGTCTTCTCGCGATCCTTGCTGTAGTACATGCTGCCGGCGACCATGGCGACGACGGTGAAGCCCTGGGCCATGACACGGGCGCGGAACATGCGGTTGGCCTGCTGGGAGTCGCCCTTGCGCAGCGCGCGGTACGCATTGACAAAGGCAAAGACCGTGAGGCCGATACCGAGGGGGACGAGGGGCTCCTCCTTGACCTTGCGGACAACCTTTCGCAGGGCCTTTTCCTGGTGGAAGTCGGGGTTGGAGTCGAAAGACGAGGGCATCTGCCCTGGGCCGAGCTCGGGTGGACGATCAGCCATGACGGCGGTTCTATGCGCGCAATTGGTGAACGTTTCGCTCTGCGGAGAGCCTGTACGTGGAATGATGTACGTGGGAAGAGGAGAGGTTGGTGAGCAGTGCACGCAGAGGGTGGCATCATACATTTCGAGATCCCGCGTAGTGGGCCCACATTAATTCTCGAGAAGCTCATGCGGCTTCGGGCAGGAGCTTCAGGGTCTTCGGCGAGCAACGTACGTCCGACCCAAGTTGGCATCCATCATTCTTCCATCTTCCAAAGCATCCCCCTCAGTACAGCCTCCCAAGACCAAGGCAATCCTCGAATAGCTGGAACTTACTCGACTTTTCAATATCCACCATGCGCGGCTAACCACCATGTGGTTCTCGACACCCTCCGTCGAAAGTATAACGCGGCCACGCGTGGCTGTCGCATTCGTCTCAGCTTTCGCCGCCGCATCGGCATCATATTACCTCTATCAGCAAAGCCATTACGCGTCAGTCGATCTGCCAAGTGCTGGTTTACATCGTAGCAATGCCGTACGCCGTAACCGCCGATCGCAGAGACACGAGACCGAGTCGAGCTCCGAATCCGACGTGGCGGGAGACGAGAACATTGACATCTCACCCCTTCACGACGGCGAGACTGATGTAGGTGATGGCGCGGAGGAATGGGATGCCTTGGGCCAGCTACAGCCCAACCAGCGCGCTGGCCACAACATCGTGAACCTGCTCTTTCGCGTCTCCGAGGACAACGCCAGGCGGACAGGATGCGTGCACCGTGGATGCCAATGTAACTCATGTGGCATGGTGCCCATCCGAGGAATCCGCTATCGATGTGCCAACTGCGACGATTTTGATCTCTGCGAGACGTGCGAGTCCCAGGGTATGCACATCAAGACGCATATCTTCTACAAGATTCGTGTGCCTGCCTCGTCCCTCGGTCCTAAGAAGATGCAGCCTGTCTGGTACACCGGAGACCCCGACATGCGCCGGAAAAATCTCCCCAAGAATCTCATCGCCACGCTATCGCGCGAGACCGGTTTCGAGAGGCCGGAACTAGAGGCCTTCTGGGAGCAGTGGACTTTCATGGCGAATACCGAGTGGAGAGACGACCCAGATGGCCTGGAACTCGCCATGGATCGAAAGACATTTGAGCGTTGCCTGATATCTAGTGGAGTTTCGCAATACGCCGCCCCCAACCTGATCCACGATCGAATGTTCGCCTTTTACGATTACAACAACGATGGACTGATTGGCTTCTCCGAATTCCTGCGCGCCCTCTCATATAGGAAGCGTCGCGACAAGTTGCGCAAGGTTTTTGAGGGTTACGACATTGATGGAGATGGATATGTCAGCCGCCAAGACTTTCTCCGTATGTTTCGCGCATACTACGTGCTGTATAAGGAAATGCACAAGAACATACTGGATGGGCTCCAGGGCCAGCTGTTGGCGAGCACGGAGGCGCAGCAACTCATTGCCGGTCGCCAGCCACTGAGCAGCTTGTTTGGTCGCGAGGGTCGTGTGCCGCATGGCGAGCGTACCCTACGACTAGACGGGAAGCAGCTACGAACGGATGGCAGCGTTGAGATTGAGCCTGGCTATGATCCAATCGCGCCTAATGGCGGCGACACAGCCAGCAGGCAAGATATCTTAACAAGCCTTTTTGCCGTTGACTCTACATCTCGTGAGAGGAACCGGTGGAGAATCATTGCCAGCACAGGCAATAACCCAGATGGGACGCAGACCTTTAGGGATGTCGATGCAGACAGACCATATCTCGTGACGCTGATGGACCCACCGCTCACTCTGGACGATCTCCCTGACGCAATCATGGCCGGCCATACTTTGGAGATTGAGGACATGGACGAGGACGACAAGGATGACTCCGATTCAGAAGTGGCTCCAGAGCCCGAGGTCGAGGGCTTGCGATATCCTACCGAAACAGAGGAGAGGATCAAGGCGCTGTCGTATAATAGACGTCGCATACCACAGCTCGAGAAACGAAGACGAGACATGGCGCGCGACCAGCTGCACGACCGCTGGAAGCGCCGTCAATTCTATCTGGACGAGGAAGAAGGTGGCGAGGCACCCTGGGACTGGGAAGACAACGAAGACATTTTCCTCGAGCACGAGCATGCACGCAACGGCCCGAAGACGACGGAAGCGCTAGACACCATGTCGTGGGCGAACCGCAAGGTGCACTATGCGGATCATGAAGATCCGGACGTAGCATCCAGCCCCTCCACCTCATCAACAAGCATTCCAGATCGCTGGAGTGAGCCCGACATCCCTCAACCAGAGAAAGATGCGGGCAAGGAAATTCTATACCAGATCACTCAGCAGGCCTTTAACGAGCTCCTGGACAACATCTTCAAAACCGCCGAGAGCAATGCCGTCGAGGCCAGAGAGACCAGGCAGCAACGCGAGGAGTACAAGAAAGAGATCGAGGAATATGCAGCCCGCAAATTAGCTGCCACCAATCAGGATGAGGCCACCGAGATCGATTCCGACGTCAAGGATCTTGTCGCAGATCCAGAACCTCGGGGCGAGAAGACTCTCACAAAGCTGTTAGAAACTAGCGGTTACACAGTTTACCGAGATACTGAGCCCCAGTCCAGAAACGCCTGCGATCTTGGCAACGTAGCCAGGGACGAGGTGAATGCAGCAGAAGGTGCTGTCACAGATCCGACCATGCCCCAGAACATGCCCAGCACTATCACCTGGGCTGATTTCTACAAGCAGACGCACGGCATTCGGAAGGTCTATCCGGTCACCTGCAAGCTTCAAGAGGAGAAACCTACAGATGAGCAGCTTGACAAGTGGCTCAAGCTGAACGAAACAGAGCAGCAAGCCATTGCGCGTGGGGGCTGGGGCCGTCTCAACTACGCCGAGTTTGAGGAGATTTACCGCAGCCAAGAGCAAAAGGGCAACCGTCTTGACTACGTCGGAAGCTGGATCGACTTTTCCATCCCCTAGAAGTGGAGCGAGTTCTTCGGTCCGCAGACAGAAGACTAGTCCCTGACGCTGCCGGCCGCACTCGGTCGCTACGACAACGTCTTTGGCGACCCCGGTCATGCGACTGGAGAGGACTCCAGCAGTGACAGCGAGAGCATAAGCGAGGATGGGGAAGACGATGACTTTGACATCTAGGAAGATGTCGAGGATGAGCTGTGATGATCACTGGGGAAACATGGCTCTATACCTAGACGGAAAAACTCATTGCATGGCGTTGGTATTGGCATATGGACATTCCTAACTACTTACGATCGAGTATCGTATAGCATCCAAAAACAACACAGTTCAGGAAGTCTCGTGCATTGTGTGTCCCTTGAGGGCAAAGTCTTTTTTCTTTGACTTTGGAACCCGCCAACAAACGCTTTGAAAGCCGCGCACTGGTGACTTCGCGGAAAGTATCACGACCCTGTACGTGCTACCTTTAACTTAGACTCGAAGCTTCTTGCGCACCTTACACCGAACAAAGTCCCATAAGTCCCTTATTGCCACCAACTACATCAGCGACCATTTCTTCCAGTGCCAACATGCTTGACAACGGCTTGCTCATCTTCCTGCAGATTGTTGGCATATTCTTCAACCTTATGCAGGTGGGGCTCATCTGGAACATCCGAAGAAGGGAAGCGATCTGCAGGTATGTTCACCAGCTCGCCCCCCCCCCCACCCTGGACGGCGGCAAAGTGTGGACTGGAAGTGACAGCTGACTGGTCTTTACTAGGAAGGAGAATGGAATATTGAGAATCCGGCTCATGGAAGCTGTCCAGACCTGTGAAAGGATCGCGCAGGATCTGCAGCAGGCGAGGCCTGCGTCTGCTGAGTGTGCTGCTACCACTCCAGGCTCTGCCTCCGGCTCGGCCTCTCGACCACCGCCCGCATACATGGTATAGGAGACTCCGCGCAGGGCATCTTTGAGCGGCAAAGGGGATGAGTAACATTGTTCATTGCAAAGAAGTTGTTGTGTGGTGTCTCCGACACAAAAGGGTGTTGCGGTTGACAGCAACGTGGCCTGTGGGATAAGGAGGCGTGTTGCATTTGAGCAAACATGATCACTAGAGCCCGAAAGCATTCTACTGTATGAGTTATTAAGTAGCTTTTTATGGCTGATTTACCGTGGGTGCAAACCGTTCATGTTCCGTAGCCGAGGCGCTCCCTAGAAACACTGGACCTGTGATAGAAGACGATGTGGATGAGAAGGAGGTGATGTTTTGAGGCAAAGAGGAAACTAAACTCCAGGATTGCTTCCGTCCCATGAATCATGATACCTTAAACTAGCGTACAAATCGACCCATGCTATGATAACTACTACTGCTTGCAACAGTCCTTTTCTTCTTCGACTCCATTAGACAGACTGGGCAGAGGAGTCGGTGCCAGCAAAGCCAAGCAGAGCGTTCCAGGTGTCCGCAGTGCTCTGGTCCCTCGTACCCAGCGACTCGATCTCAGCCTGGGCATCCTTGCAAGCCGCGATGGCCGCGTCGTTGGCATCACACACGTTGACCAGCTGATCGCAGATACGGTTGGTGATGATGTTGGGGTTGAGGGCTTCCTGCTGGCCCTCGGCCACGAGAGCATCCTGAGGGATGAATGTAAACTCATCGGCGGGACGGCCGTTCAGGCCACCGATGAAGGCCATGGTGGGCTGGCAGACGCCAAAGTCCAGGCCAGCGGCCTGCCCATCGTTGTTGTTGTTCCCTGTGTCCGCACCATTGTCGGCCTGGCCATTGTCGCCGGCGGCGGGAGTTTGTGCGGGGCATCCGGCTGGGACGTCTCCTTCGTCTGCTTGGTCCTGCTCATCTCCAGCCCCGGTGTCAGTACCGTTGCCAGCGCCAGCACCAGCACCAGCTCCGCCGTCTTGCCCATCAAGGACGGTGTTCGCCCCCGAAGCATCCACAGCAGTGAAGCTGGTGAAGCCCTGGGCGATCATGACCTCAGCCTGCGACAGTCCCTGAGCATCGAAAGGAGTGTTGAGTGACTGTGCAGACGCAGCATTGGCGACATCAGCATCGGTCACCGCCGGATCCACGAGAGGCGTGACACCTCGCAGCTCAGTGTTGACAGGCAGAGTCGGGTCGGCGCAGACAAAGGGCACGTCCACGGCAAAGGGGTTGAAGTTGGTTTCAGCGGACACCAGGCCAAGGGCTGCTTCGATGACCTGGGGATCGTTGCCGAGCTCATCGATCATCTGATCAGCAATGGAGAGCTGGGGACTGTTAGTATTGTACGCGTGCTCCGAGTGCCTTGTGGCTCACCTTGTCGCAAGGGCTCGCCGCTGCAAGGAGAGCAGAGGGAATGGAGCCGGCAATGGTAGCCGCAACACCGGGATCTCCAAAGCCAGCAGCGCCCAGGGCTTGGACGGCCGCGACGGGAATCTGCTCCTGGCCAAAGCGAGCCTCGGCAACAGCCAAGAGGGCTGCGATGGCGACGAACTTGTTGGAAGACATTATGAATGATTCGTTTGTTGAGGGTAAAATAGATCGAAAAGGACAGTCGTCGAGATTGTTGTAAAGGATAGTAGATGTCCCGACCAGCGAGCGAACAAGGAAGATAATGAGCACGAAGAAGGATGAGTTGCCTGAACTGCGAAGAAGTGAATGGATGTGAGGATGGTAGTGAAATTTCTGATGATCTCGCTGGGTCTCAAGTCTTTATACTTGCTTTCCTGGCAGAAGCCTCACAGTCTGCTGCCATGCTCGCAGACTTGATTCTCGTTGTTCCGACATCAGTTGAACATGAAGCTGGTGGTTTCGAACCCTGGCAATGAACATGCACTCAAAGTGCCTCCCCGTCGCGCGTACTCGTACGGCTCCGTACGGCGGGTGCGAAAGGAGAAGGAGAAAACAATTTAATTAAAGTTGTAAACAAACCAAACTTGATGGCCAGTCGTGGGTTGAGTGAAGCGCCATAAGGGCGTCATACGGATCATGGGGATGATTTGAGGCCGTTGCAAAGGTGGACAGTGTGTCGTCTGTGGTTCAGATGGTGTCTCGTCTCCCCTGGCCCATTAAGCCAGCCGCCGCGTGGCCGGAATCGATTGTTGCAGTGTTCTGTAACTTTATCGTAGCCGCACTTGAGACTAGGTAGACCCTGCATGGTGTTGATGTCGCGGGGAGAGAGGGACAGGGGTAGCCTCTTGAGACACTGCTCAAACGCCACGGGTCTGGACACACCGCCGGCACTGAACACAGCCGGTTCCAAAATACAGAAGATGAATGTAGCAAGCAAGGTTCCAATGTATTATTTAGCGCTCATCGAGGCGATTGGGAATCCTCGTCAGGCCAAGCAAGGAAGTCTGTCCACGCCAAGCCAGGCTCGCCTTCATCGACGCGCACGTCGACCGCTGCTGAACACATAGTCGCGGGTCCATGTGTCCACAGAGCGACGAGGTCCTGGTAATTCGCGTCCAGATGATGCAGCCATTCCGCGCTCTCCGCTGGGCCAGGCGGTTGATGGGCCAGCGCGGCGACGTCCAGCGATGCGGTGCCTGTTCTTCGCATCCTGGCGTACTCTACTGGTGTCATGCCTACACACCTCTTGAACACGCGGTGAAAGTGCCATTTGCTCAAGCCAGTTGCCCGCGCCATGTCGCCCAGACTCATGCGACTCGTCCCACTGACGTCGCCGCCCTTATTCATAAACTCTCTGATCTTGTAGACGGCCGTCTCCTCTGGCATGAACCCTTCCGCGTCCGGCTTGCATCGCTTGCACGCCCTGAAGCCAGCGTCGCGTGCTTCGTGGATGCTGTCGTAGAAGGTCACATTGGCGCGTCGAGCGAGCCTTGCCTTACAAATGGGCCGACAGTAAATCTTGGTTGATCGAACGCCGTAGACGAAGGTGCCATCTGCGCTGATGTCGCGTGATCGCACAGCTGCCCAGCGACTGTTCTCATCCGTGAACAGTGGCATGAATGACGCAGGCGTAGGCGCGCCGCTGGAGGGGGTTTGAAAGCTGGCGATATCCATATTGCCGTCTAGCGTAGAGCGCTTCTTCACGTAGGTAGATTCATCGATATGTTGGTGTGAAATCCATCAGTGACAGCCATCTCGTGGGGTCCTGCCGTCGCCAATGCGATGAACATGGTGCATGTGGGATAATAAATGATGGTTTCTGAGTTTGTTTTCTACTGTCTGGGATCTGGGGACATTGCTTTCAAACTGGCCAATGAGGCGGCCAGTCGCCAGCTGACTCATAAGTACGAGCACATCTGGGGCAATGCTTCTTTTGCAGGGCACGCTTGAGCCCTATGTACGTAACGATATTGTACATCTTGGAGTAATGATGTTCCAGGACTACTTCGATAGTATCTAGAAATCCTGGATGTCCTGGCTGTCCGATTGAGAAGAACGATGGGTTGCAACAGTCATCGGGCTTGCAAGGGTCTTACGGTTTAGCACTAACCTACCCTGCAGCTGCTTAACACGCACCATGGCAGCCTACCTACAACAATCAGACACGAAGGTCGTTGATTCGCAAAAGGAATTGCGCTTTTGCAGCTTCTTAATGCTTCTTTGGGGCTACGCGAGCAATCCTTATGTTGTGTAGATAGAGTCTCGGAGTCTTCGGATTTCTGTGAGGTTGCTAACACGTGTAGACAAAGATCTTCGGACCTATCACTCTCGAATTCCTCAATGTCCCCCTAAAGCTAATTGTATCAATCTTCCGTTTCCCTGTTCCAGTGCTCTTTCTTTGATCAACTGCCCATCGAAACGCTATATATAATTGGCGACACCCCTCTCTCTTTTTATCAAATCTCCCATATCCTGCCCAAATCCGGCTGCTTGTATTGCCCAGAAATCAGAATGAAATACCACTTCAGTCCCGGCAGACCCATAAGTATACTCTCTCTGCTCGCAATGCAAACCCATGGCGATAAGCAAAAGGAGAAATGAAAAAGGGGAAGAACCCATATATCGCTGAAACAACACCCCAAAAGAAGCTCCCGAGTATTCACTGAAAGTCGAAAGCCATGTCCATGTCCTCGGACCAAGGACCTCTCATGCCGACGGTGGAGAGAAAACCACCAGATGGCGGCGGCGTGGGCAGCTCATTCATCTTGGCCATCTCCATCCTCGACTTGACCCATAGAGTGACCTCGACGGACCCAGCCAGTTCCCCAACGGCCAGCCACCTGTTGTCCCCCGACTCCTTGGGCTTCATCGGGGCATAGTGTTTCCAGGCGCCTCGCTCATAGGCGCACATCTTCTCCAGGTGCGCCAAGGGCGCATGCGAAGCCCAGTGGCCGGCCTGGCAGACCTTGTCAGGCATCGGCATGATGTCGCAAGCCCACCTGGAGACGAGTCGACCGACAGCGCTGCTGTTCTGCTCGAGAAACATGAGGTGTCCGTTGCCCTCGACCTCATACCGCTCCAGTGGACAGTACTTGACGTTGACGCCCGCCTGCTTCATGAAAAAAGCCGTGGCAAAGTCGTACACGGTGTGCGAAGAGGCTTGCGCCGTGACGATGACCTGCGGCATTCGTTGAAGATTGCATAGCTTGCGTTTACCGCAGTTGTCCACAATCTTGGTGTCGCCAACGTTGAACAGGAGGTCTGTTTGCAGCCAAAGATTCATGTGGCAGCCATCGCCCCTCTTCAACCGGTCAGAATTAATGTTGGGTGGATTGGGGACCTGGAAGAAGCCGGCGTCGTCATCTTCCTCTGTTGATTGGTAGCTGAGGTGAGGTTTAAACGTGAGCGGGATGTCTGTGAGTCCGTATCGGCGGATGCTGGGGTCGTATGTGACATTGTTTGAGAATATCTGATGCGGCTTGCCGTCGTCACCAACAACCTTCTTGTGCACAGAGCCAAAGGCTGGACCGTTCGGCTCCAGGGCTATGACACCAGCAACTCGAGTCGGGTTTGCGTCAGCGGCGATCCAGGCAGCTTGGCACCCTGACCCGTGCCCGATCAGCACTGCCTTTCCAATCTGCTCCAGAAGCTCAGTGAGGCCGTTCATGGCGTCCATCTGGCGCTCTTTCTTGGTGGCTCGCAATGGCACAAGGCCACTGTAGTAGATCTCAAACGTTGGATCGCCGACTGTTCCCTTCTACATGTGGGTGTCAGCACGCTGCTTCATGGCGGGTTCGATCGATCACCTACACCTGGCCATTGGGTATGGTGTTTCGCCGAAGTCCAAGCACAATCCTTTCTGTATGGTCGATCCCGCGGGTTCGTCCACTGATTTTGAACAGTCTCCTTGGACGGGGGAGCAGAGGTCACGGGGCTCTGCATGTCGTTGAGATCGACAACGTAGACAATATGGCCTCGTAGTCGGAACAGTTCCGCCCAGGCAAGGGTACTGTCTGGCTTTCTGGCCCAGCACTGGAGAAGACTCAGTCAAAGCAACATAACATCGGAATTCCTAGACTTACATCACCACGATGGTAGTCGCCGTGGATCAGAACAAGGGGAGCCTTGACTTTGGCCAGATCATTCGGCATCATGCGAAACACCTTCATTTTCCCGCCGTTGTAGAGTCGAATCGGATTGCGAGCAGTAGAGCTGGGCGATACATGGACAAACTTGTCCGTGACCCTGATTTCGTAGTCTGCCAGATCCCTGATGGGCGGACAGAGCATTAAGCTTGGCTCGGGCACAGGGCGCCATCCAGCCTCGAGAGCGTCTGTATATATGAGGTCGTTGAACTGGCTGTTGAAAAGTTCATCGGTTTCTTCAGAGAAATCTTCATCAAAATGTTCATCTGCAAGACCAGTCTGTTTGTCGTCGTGGTTGTGGTCTCTTCCAGCATCGGTGTCTTCTTGCTGGGCCTGCTCGACCCTTGATTCAGGCATTTGCATAGCCAGGTTCGTCTCGGTGGATAGCCATGTGAGGTCATCTTGTAGCAAGGGGTTTAGCTCGACTAACCCGTCTAATTCGTCAGTCTCTTGTGACTTTGAGGTGTCATCGTGGACCGTAGCGAGAGTGTCACCGCCAGAAGCGGGCTTGGCGACAAATGCGTCCCAGTCGAAGTCCGTGTCAAGCTGATGAAGCGAAGTGTAGGCGTTACCGATGACGTCTGGCATCAAGCAATCGCTGTCTACATAACTCGCGCCATCCCCATACATGTAGCCCGGCGCCGCATGCTGTTGCTGCGTGGGCATGTGTAGGTCAGTGGATGGTGTCTCTGACTCGAAGCCGGTCAAGAGAGAGGAGAGTTGAGAGTCTGATGGAAGAGAGAAGCTGTGGTCCAGGTTGTAGAGCCCAAGCTGACCGTGTTCTAAGCCTGTCGTATCTTGGAAATACCACGTAGTAGCGTCCGCAGAAGGCTGGGTGGTGGGATCCGCAAAGAACCCAACGCCGTAGCATGGCTTCTTGGAAACTTGCCTCGGGTCAATGAATGAGACCTCGTCTGGCCGCGGCCGTTTTTCGCAGTCCATGATGAAGGGTTAATGATGAGGGACGTGCGAGAGATATGGCGAGCAATGGGAAGTGAAGATGCGTGAGAGTGAGGATGAAAGAGAAGAGAAGGTTTGAAGCAGCCGAGTCAACGAGATCACCCTCCCCTCCTGTGTAACAACAGGGCAGGGCAGGGCTTAAGGTGCCGTGAACATTTCAAAAATCATGTGTAAACCCTTCTTACTTTGCACTGTAGTAAGCGGAAGACGGCCGAAAGAGATGAACGTGATGTAATCGTGAGAGCCTGTGAGTTGAGAAGCATAGATCGGAGGAAATGGATATGGATCAGAGAGCTTCTCGAAACTCTGAAGAAACAGGGTTCTTCAATGATGAGGATCAGATATGGCACTCTGGGTCAGATGAAATGCTTGTGAAGATCGCGTTGGCTTCCATGATAGCTGACCTAGATGGGACAAAGGGGCATCGGACGGATGACAACTGGTATCACGGAACATGACAGGCGGCTGGTATTTGCAGCCCTTCCTGTTCCAATATCGTCAGATATGGATGGGTCACTTGCGGCCTATAGACACATTGTCAGTTAGAACTTCAGCCGTAGCATGATCACTATGGAATTAAACATATGACACGGGAGACTGACCAGTTTTGTAGTATTGTTGTAGAGTAAACCTGTTGCCCATTCAACCTGTATAATCAGGAAACGACCTCTGGTGCATCAGTTGTAGAAGGCAACGTTATCCTGTATGCTTCCAATGTGCACCTCCCGCCTAATGGATTTTCGAGACATTCTGTGACATCCTGCGCCGCCACTTCTTAACAGGCTCACGCAGAGACTCCTCACAGCCTTCGGATGCTTCCAGGCCCTTGATTCTGGCGCCGAGGGCATGTTCGTCCAACTTGTACCAAGGCCGGCCTTGATACTCATCAGTGCGAACGCCAGTCACAACAGCCTTGATCTCAAGAACCTTGGCAGATGCCTGACAATATTTTTGTCCGTGTAGCCGATGGAGGCCCCCGAAAAGCACAAACTCTCCTCTGATGTCATTGCTGCCATTGAGCCATTGCGGATTGCGCGTGTGGTGTAAATGAGCCGTGGACTGCAGAGCACTGAACAGAACACGCCGAGAGACGTCCTTGTGGGGACTGAACACTTTGAACTTGTAGTTCCGCTGGGCCACCAGCATCGACCGAAGATGGTACGCGCAGAGGAACATCTGTTCTAGCTTGGCCGCAAGCGACCTATAGACGGTTGGGGAGCAATCTTTGTAAAAGACACACAGGGTTCCGGCGACCAGCTGAGACAGGCGCGTCGCGTGCGCCGTCACGTCAACAAGGTTTGGCGGGCGGCTGCCATACTCTGGAAGATGTCCGAGAATGCGGCCATACAGCACTGACCAGACATGTTCCATGAGAGCAAAAGCGGCAATATTGGCGCTATCAATGTAGCTGCTGCTGCGGGTTGCGGAGGCCAACTTGGCCCACATGTGTCGGTTGATCTTTGTAGAGATCGCACGTCGATCTGAGGGCATTTTGGCACCCATAATGGCCACGACCTGATCAGGTCGGATCGTTTGTGACAAAAGTTTCCATAGGTCGTCAACCCGTTCCTTTCGAGTCTGCATATCGGCAATGTCCTGCGCGGATTCGAGAAAACTTGTCGAGCTGAGCGGTTGTGAAATGTCTCCTCCTTTAGTATCAAGTGTGAAGCGGACTGTCTTGGCTCCGCGTGTTTCGTTGCCGGTTTTGTTCGAGCCTGACTTCTTCAGTATAGACTGTGCTGTATTATGGGGAGGGTCTGTGTCGATGGAGCATTGCTGGTATTTTGGAGGAAGGTCGTTGCTGGCATCGGCTACCACGCATGCAGAGTCAAACTCAGGGGTTCCAGGTGATGGCAACGGCGAGCCACAACCAGGCAGGTCTTGCGGCGGTTCCGTAATCGCATCTGGGAGCCATTTTCCTGAAATGTAACCCCATGTGACTGTGTGAGTATATTTCGCAAATGCAGCCAGCACAGGGCTGCAGTATGTGCCGAGTGACTCGTTGAGTGTAAAATTTGTCGACTGTGCCAGCCCAGCTTCTACAGCAGCACCTTGCTCACCGGAAGATTTCCGAGAAAATGCAGCCGAGATCAATTCCGCAAGTCGACTCGTTGGCATCTTGCCAAATTGCGTAACTTGGTGAGCCCAGACGAGGTTGTGTGGTCGTGGACGAGTGATTACCTACTGGCAAGTGCAAGTACACCACGAGTAAGCGACAGCACGCGGACAAAGGTCGACCAGATATAGGTAGTATGTGTTCGTATCATAGAAGGAAGAGAACACCAGAAGCCGAGCGAGAACAGCTTAAAAGCCTGTTCGTCTCGACGAACACGACAGCACCAGTGACTCCTCTGCCTTATCCTCGCAGTGTTCTGTTCCATTGTGTGAGCTAATTCGACTGTTCATGGGCTGTAGAACACTTCCGAACAAGTATTCGGCAGCCAGAAAAAGCTGTTCGACGGTAGAGTGGCAGCAGAACAACTCGATCTCATGACAAGAACAAAGAGGGGACCCTGGCGCGACCCCAAGAGCCCGACACAGATAGTCAGAAAGCGCTGATAGACACTAACTCATGGCGAGCTAGGATCCGGTGCGTCGTCCTTCATATCTGGCACCCAGCCCTTTGGCCGCTCACTGCCTCGGACGACCAGTCCGTATCCCAACTTCTCGACTTTTACAACACTCTGCCTCATGGCCGTAATCTTCTGCCTGTAATCCTTGGTCGGGATCTCTGGTAGCATCTCATAGGCACAGCCTAGCTCGTGGATATCGCCGAGGATATTCCTTCCCTCGTCATTGCCAACAAGTTCGCCGCGCTGCGCGGTGGTCACGGTCGCAAAGCGCATCAACTCCCCGAATAAATCGAACACACCATACATGTAGTCAAAAGGGGAGATCTGGACATCCGCGGGGACTGCTGCTTGTGTCTCAGCGGGTGTGATGAGCGTCTGGTGGCGGAGATAGTGTGCGAATGAGAGGGCCTCGACAAGTTCTTCGAGGCAGCGCAGCGAGTAACTGTATCGCTGACGGTTGAGAGGCGTAAGATCAGCGGCAATAGAGTTGAGAAGTGTTGATATTTCCGCAAGACGACTGTCAACTTCTTTTTGAATGTTTGGCGGGAATTCGGCATGAAGATTCTTCACTCTGTGCACGGTGAGTCGAGACTTGATGATGGGGTGGGTGAGTGGGACGAGGTGTACCTTTGCAGTGAAAAAATGCTACAGCTTGGTTAGGCTACATCAGATACGCAAGCGAGAGGAAACGTACATCTTTTTGCTTAAAGCTGTGACATCTCTGGAGACTTTGATGATCCTCTCCCGGCGGTCGTAATGTTCATCGAGCTCATCGCGAAACGTTTCAAACATGTCGTGGAATTGACCGCGAGGGGCGTCATCCCTGGCGCTCTTAGCGCGGGCGTTGCCGTCGCGGTCTCTTTTCACGCCGCCAGACATGGTGATGAGAACAACAACTGCGGATTTGAGCAGAGCTGAGTCGAACAAGCGGTTAGAGTCTAGGAGGTGACGATGATGGGTTGAAGTCGGATGGCGATGGTGGGGCGAATAGACTAGAGGACAGTGCTTAAGACAGTGTGCGCACTCCTCCCTTCGGCCTCTGGAGTCTGGACGTCAAACGTACGCGACGCGGAACAAACACATGTCAACCTAGGAGCACATACTTCTCGGCTGTGGCTGATGCTTCTGGTACCAGAGATGTCGTTGAAAACACTCGCATTGAGGCCAGCACCGCTTTTCCTCCTCGGCGTGCTGCTGCGAGTTGTCCTGCTCTTCTATGGGATGTACCAGGACGCCCACTCAGCACTCAAGTACACCGACATAGACTACCTCGTCTTCACGGACGCAGCGCGTCTACCCTCTCCATATGACCGCGCAACCTACCGTTACACGCCTCTCTTGGCGTGGCTACTGTACCCAACAACCCTCCCCGGGTTCTTCTCCTTTGGCAAGGTCCTGTTTGCGGTGGCCGACATTGTGGCAGGATACCTCATCTGGGGCATGCTCAGGAAAAGGGGAAGGACCGTGGAGAGCTGCGGCGCTTTCACCGCGATATGGCTCTGGAACCCCATGGTGGCCACGATCAGTACCAGGGGAAGCTCGGAGGGTCTACTCGGGGTGTTGACCATGGCACTGCTCTGGGCCGTGGAGCGAAAGAGCATCAACGTGGCCGGCATCCTCCTGGGCCTGAGCGTGCACTTCAAAATCTACCCCTTCATCTACGCGCCAGCCATTATTTGGTGGATGGACGATGCCAACTTGGGAAAGACAGCCCAGAAGGAGAACACTTCTGCACTGGCGCGGTTCCTGAATGTGGAGAGGATCACCCTGGCAGTGACGAGCCTGGCTACGTTTATAGGCCTCAATGCGACCATGTATTTCATGTAAGTTCTCCTTGGATCTTTGCGATATCACCACTAACCCTAGAAGCTACGGACAAGACTTCCTGCAGCACACGTTCTTCCACCACGTCACCCGACTGGACCATCGTCACAACTTCTCGCCATACAACATCCTTCTCTACCTGTCGTCCGCCGAACCTTCAAGTCCCACGGGCTTGCGCGTAGAGTCCCTCGCTTTCCTGCCCCAGCTTCTGCTCTCCTGCGTCCTGATCCCCCTGGTCATGGCGAAGAGAGACCTCGCTGTCAGTATGATGGCGCAGACCTTTGCCTTTGTGACTTTCAACAAGGTCTGCACCTCGCAGGTACGGTTTTCTCCTCCCATTGATCATTCAATCATCAGCTCTTACTGACGCGACTAGTACTTCCTGTGGTACATGGTCTTCCTGCCCTCGTACCTGCCCAACTCGTCCATGCTGCGCAACCCGACGCTTGGCATCACAGCGCTCGCCTTATGGATTCTCACACAGGCAGCATGGTTGCAACAAGGCTATGAGCTCGAGTTCCTGGGGAGGAGCACGTTCTTCCCAGGCATGTGGTTAGCTTCACTCGCGTTCTTCTTCACGAATTGCTGGATCCTGGGCATCATCATCACGGACGGTGCGTCGACCAGACGTGCGCCTGCGCAAAAAGCACATGCAGAGTAGAGCTTGTAGAAGTAGAAGTAGCAATCGCATAGTATGGTATCAACGACATTGTCATGTCTCCTGGCCCCCCCTTTGTTATAGTGAGTGAGCGCCCCTAATGTTGTCCCAAGATTACTAGTGCCTCCCTTGCCAGAAGTTTCCCATGCTACGACCAAACCCTGACGCCCATTGCAAGTTGGAAATTTTCATTCATTTCATAACACTCGGTCTGTCTTTCGACAGATCCGCACAGAAGCACTAGGTGATGGTCATCCGGTGCGACCCAGCGGTGAGCCTCCTGTACTGCGACAGCGGCAGCGAGCGGGTCTTGGTCCCCGGCGTCTCCGGTCTGAGAATCATCTTGCCGTCCTTACCGTACTCGATGGTCCCAAAGGTGTCGTTGATCTCCTGCCACTGCGCCATGGGTCGCACACGCTCCATCTCGGCAATGATGTCGGGCGACCATACGCCCATGACCACGTTGCCTTGGTACGAGAAGAAAGGGTTCAGCTGTGGGAGCGGCGCGTCTATCTTTGTCAGCGTGCGCCTCAACGACGTGAATAGCAATACACTTACCCAAGTCAATGAAGCGTATCCTCAGATGCGTGACCTGCTTCAATACTGCCAGGGACTTGATCGCCGCCATGGTCAACGATTCGAATCTCCTGATAAACTCCAGGTCCATAATCCCCGAAGCTGACTCGTGCTTGTCAATCTCCAGAAGCGACCGGCAGCAGTTCTTGACCGTGATGTCAATCGACCTCAGCTTGGACACCCGCGGGTCGGATAATCGTGCCAGGCCATCGAATAGGTGATGGCAAAGTCGACCAGAGTACGTGAAACGCTCCATGTTCACGGCCGCGCGGGCGAGCGAGCAGCACACGTTCGTCTGCTGGGCCACCTTGCGGTAGAATACCGGGCTGTGCGTCTCCCGCCGCCCGTCTCCCTCGATAGACAGCCGTATCTCGTTCAGCGCCGGTGCCATGACCTCGAGGTGAGGAAGTATCCGCGCCATGGAGATGTACGACTTGCTCTTGCCCCGGCTGTACGACGCATGCCACTGCGCAAGATTGGGCATGGACTGCAGCAGGGTGACAAAGTCGGCGTCTTCGCGCGCCAGGTTCCACTGTCCCTTGGTGATCAGGGTGTGGATGCTTTCGAGAACGGGCAGTTCCGACCTGTGCCTGCCGCGAAAGGTGACAATCTTGGGTGCTTTCCGTCGTTCGCCGCCCTCGAGGGTGAAGATCCGTGCCTTCGGCAGAGTGATCTGCACAAATCTAAACGTCTCCTCCAACGTGCACTTTGTGTTATTGCTCGGGCGGGGGCACCTCGCTTCGGCGGCATCGGGCGCATGATGCGACCGGCCCAGTCGTGGATGCGTAGCTGGCGTTGGACAAAAGACCGGATACCAGATCTCAACGTGATGAACATAGCCGCGCAGCGTCGGATGGCAGGCCAGATGCATCTGCGCCTCCTCCAAGGAGTCCAATGTGCCCTTGAGCTTGATGTGCCGGTAGAGGCGCTGCTGGATCAGCACCTTCCAGGTCTTGTTGACGCACGACAGCACCGTAAGCTCCCTCCGCCTCGAGTACCGCATGGCCGTGCTCCACTGGGAGTTGTTAGACCCCAGCATGGCCTTGCCGCTCAGGGATGTGGCCGACACGCGGAATCCAAAGATGTGGTCCAGGATCGCCTCCAGCATCTCCAAAGGCAGATCGCCCAGTCGTAATTTCGCGTTGTTCGCTTCCCGCTCGCTGCTTGTACCCAGAGACTCCATGTCGTCGCTCTCCATCTCCCGGCTAGGTGTCGAGCGCTGTGTAAAGGAGGTTTCGAGGTCATATTCGCTCCGGGACCCTCGTTCGCTATTTGGGTATGGGAATGGCGTGCTCTTGGGTCGCATAGGACTCATAAACGCAGACCCAATGGGCCGCTCCGTTAGGGGGGCTGAAGGTGCTGATGGGATGTTCATATCGGATTTGGCGATAGGTCGCGTGTGCAGACATGACGAGTGGTCGGCACTCAGGAAATCGGCCGTGATCTTGGGTTCCGCGAAGATGCTTTCGTTTCGTGGTTGTCCCTCCATTCGTAACAACCGCACCACATCTGGCTGATCGTCCTGACTGTTGAAATCAGCCTCCATGCGCTCGTAGTTTGCCATGGCAGGCGTTCGTCCTCATGAACCAGCGGGGGTGGAGGAGTAGCAGCCCGCGCGCGGCAGCATTACAGGCGCTCGCAAGGATACGTAGAGGATCGTGAGTGCTCGTGTGCGTTTCTCGGCTACTCCTTGTCAGTAAGTCGGTCATGAATTGTTGACGACAGCCGATCTACGCACATTAATTGCGGCCGCGCAACAACCAGACCGGACCCAGGTACTTCTCCTTTCCTTGCTTGTCAGGCCCAGGTCGAATGGCGTTTAAATCGGGCAGTGAGGTCGTGAAAAATGATCTCGAGACGTAACGGTGATTAATTCCATCAAGAGTGTTGGTTTTCAAAGAGGAGCGTTCGGAAGTAAAGGCGGGAGGATTGGTGGTCAACTGGTCATGGGGGAAGTCAAATCTAATCATAGACGCGGGAGATTAATTAAGGTGAGGTAGTAGATTGCGACAACGCTGGCATAGAGCCACACCCTTAATTAAGCTGTCTCGCCCAGCTTACACACGCTGGCATTTTCATCAGGTGTTAATTATACATCAGAATGTTTGTGCTCATTGTTTCAGTTTATATTTTGGCACAATCGTTTCTTCTCACGATCTGCGCATTGTCGCGAGAAATCTAGATAGCCGCATTGGAGGCACCACCAGGATGCATGGCCACTCGCGCAAGACGCGGTGAAGCAGGTTGGGGAACCCAGGCAGCCCTATCTCGTGCCATCAATTATACTGGTGGGCCGCCCAGCATTGCGAGTGCCAGTTCACTCGTAACACACGATGTGCCTTCTTTACGTTCAGTCGCGTACCGTCGCGGTCGCCATAGCCGCCCAAACTCGAAAACGCCATTCGCCGATGCCGCCGTGCCTGGTCTACACCTCAATTGCCGCAGCTTTCCATGGGATATCGATTCGTCTCGTTGTCTCAATCCTCCATCCTGGTGTCTGCGTCTTCTTTGCTGCCGCCGCGCACCCAGAGCACGTTGTTGCACCTGTCGCTGGTCAGCCTCGGGTCGCGCCGCTGCACGACGAGCCGCGGGCAGATCTTACCTGATGAGCACTTGGCCTAGCTCGCCCGTGGGTTTGTCCTTGATGTATTCGACTGTGTTGGAGAGTTGCAGGTTCAGGTAGCTGTCCAGGGACACGAGGTTGCCCTTGTATTCGGTCTCTCCCCACTTGAGTCGCACGACAATGTCCTTGCCGACGAGACCCTGCATCATCTCGCGGGGATTGAGCGGGAGTTTGTTGAAGCTCATGGTGCTGTCGGGGGCTGTGGCTGCTTGTGGTGTTGATGCTTGCTCTGGAGAGCAGAAAATGGCCTGCCATGATCTCCAGTTGCGTTTGGCTGTAAATGCTTACATAATCACATTGGATGTGTGACTTTGACTACCCTAGACGCTTTAGGCTGCCTCTTCCACGCAAGTCAAACGATTTGAGCCCCTCTGACGTACCGTCAACATGATAGTAACAACGCAGCAGGCGATTTGCCCCGAAGTCGGATCTAGCAGTCCGAGTCGATACGAAGCCGATACATGGTGGTAGGCCGCGATTCGTCGATAAGCGAGAGCACCAGAATGGAATACCTGCCGGTATATTTTCCTTATCTGTCTGCCGACTCGGAATTCAGACTTGGAGCCCGGGACAAGATTCCCCAAGCACAGGCTGGCGGCTGGCGGCGACATATATGTGAGGTTGATCACATCACTACATATCCAGGTATTTGCCTGCCAACGTCCCTTGCGCCAATCCCACAATGAACGAAACAATCGTCGTCCTCGGGTATGAGTGACATCTCTCACCCTCAACCTGGCAATTGCTGACGACCCCAGTGCTGGAGTTTCCGGCTTGACGTCCGCATTGCTGCTGTCACGAGACAAGAGAAACACCATCACCGTCGTTGCCAAGCACATGCCTGGAGACCTGGACGGTGAATATGCTTCACCATTTGCCGGAGCGAATGTGATGCCGTGGGTTATCATGAACCGATTTCAAGACAAACATCTCCTGACACGCAAACAGCATGGCGACATCTGATGAGAGTCAGTGGGAACGTGAGACGTGGGCTGAGCTCAAGCGCTTGTGTCAAGAGGTACCTGCGTCAGGCATTCATTTCCAAAGTAAGGCCGACGATGACTGTGTTGTGCTCAGGAGCTAATGTGATCACTCTGCAGAATGCCAAGTGCACAGACGCAATAAGGATATCTCCATGAACTCAGACGTGCCCAAGGGTCCTTTCGATACGAACCCGTGGTTCAAGGACATGTTTGACGACTTCCGCGAGCTGCCCCAGGACAAAGTCCTGCCTGGATGCGATGGCGCCTCCGAGTTCACCAGCGTGTGTATCAACACGGCAATTTACCTGCCATGGCTGGTCGGACAGCTGTTGGAGAACGGCGTCCAACTGAAGAGAGGAGTCGTATCCGACATTCGCGAGGCCAAGAGACTTAGTCACACCGGGCGCCCTGCCACGTTGATCATCAACGCGACCGGCCTCGGATCGTACAAGCTGGGCGGAGTCAAAGACACGAATATGTACCCAGCGAGGGGCCAGGTGATCGTCGTCCGCAACGAGGTGGACTCCATGCTCTTCGTGTCGGGCACAGAGGACGGGGCCAACGAGGCCGTGTACGCAATGAACCGAGCAGCTGGCGGCGGAGCCATCCTCGGCGGCACCTTTGAAGCCGGCACCTGGGACACCCAGCCTGATCCCACAACAGCCTTGAGGATCATGTCCCGGATCGTCAAGGTGCGTCCTGATATTGCGGGTGGAGAGGGTGTGGCGGGACTGAGCGTGGTCAGGCACGCTGCCGGCCTGAGACCGTACAGACACGGCGGCGCGAGGGTGGAGGCAGAGAAGATGGACGACATGACGACAGTTGTCCACAACTACGGACACGGCGGATGGGGGTATCAAGGCTCGTACGGCTGCGCAAAGTCAGTGGTCGAGATTGTGGACAAGGTGCGCGAGGGGCGAACCCGGGCAAAGCTGTGATGCTAGTAAGTTAGTCGATAAGACACGGAACTTTCATGGCTCACACCGAGCTGGATCTCTAGGATGACTATGATCAACTTTTTTCCTGAGTCCAGGGGATACATGTAGTCAGCAACTGCCCTAACTTCAACGCTACAAGGACGCCAATTTCAGCACAAGCGATGGAGCTCATAATCATATTGAAAATCATAGACGGGCTACCACTAGCTGTCTTCAGGTCCCCCAAATGATAACACGCATACACATAAAGTCCTAACCAAAGTTGCAAACACCTGATAGACATAGCGGAAGTGAGGGTTCTAGGGCATATTAGCAGTGTCTGGCGATCGGAGCACGTTCGACTCACCTCAAAGTCCGTCAAGTCGACAGCCTCCTCGCCTTGCGTCTCCAGCGCCACGCCGAGGGCGACCTGCGCCGCCTCGCGGTCCTTGTTCCTCTTGACGAGGAGGAGCCTCAGCGCACCGGCAGTGATCACCTGGCCGATGACGCAGGCGAGGATGACCTTGCAGCCGGTCGGGTACAGGGGCGCCTCTTCGGCGAGGAAGGCGTGGGGCCCGATGATGTTGCCGGCGCAGTAGGCGGAGAAGACCATGGCCGAGGCGGTGATGCGCTTGGTGTAGCCGGACAGGTTGACGGACGGCATCTGCAGCGCGAGGACGAGCGAGGCGACGTAGGCGCCGACGCAGTAGTAGCCCAGGAGCACGCCGACCTTGCCATTGTCCGTCTGCCTGTCCATCTTCCACATGAGGCACGTGCCGACAATGGTCGGGACGAGGTACAGGGCCATGGTGGTGGTCCTCTTGATCCACCTGGAGGCGAGATAGGTGCCCGACAGGATCCAGAAGACCTGGAAGGCGCCCTGGGGGATGCCGAGGGCGGTGGCCTCGATGGGTGAGCGGGCGACGCCCTTGACGATAAGCTTGCCAAAGTTGGCGACGCCGCCGTTGACGGTCTCGTTGAGGAGGGTGTAGAAGACGAGCAGCCAGACCTGGGGGTCGGCAAAGGCCTCGCGGATCTGGTAGAAGCGAATGTGCTGGTTGAGCACGCCGGTCTTGGCGAGGCGCGCGCGGCCGATGAGGAGCGCCTTCTCCTCGTTGGTGAAGAATTTAGCCGTCAGGATGCTATCGGGGAAGAAGAGCAGGAGGACAATGCCCCAGAGGACGGTGAGGCCGCCAGTGACGAGGAAGATGGCCTTCCAGACGGCGAAGCTCTCAATGTGGCCGATGCCGTAGCTGAAGATGCCGCCGAGCATGGACCCGACGCCGTTGCAGCAGTAGAAGATGCCGGCCCTAAAGGGAGACTCGGAGCTGTACGTTTTCTCGTTAGCTGCCACTCTCGCTGGACGGTGTACTGCACAGGGCTGCTGTGGTGGCAGGTGACGAATGAGGGGGACTCACCGAGTGTACCACATGGCAACGGTCATCATGAAGCACGTGGTGATGGGCGACTCGAAGAAGCCGAGGAGGAAGCGGCAGGCGGCGAGGCCGGGAAAGTTGTGGCACAGGGCCGTGAGCATGAGGACGCTGCCCCAGGCGAGGACGCAGCCGGCGACGACCTTGCCCATGCGGGTGCGCTGGGCGAGGGCCACCCAGGGGTAGTTGGACACGAGGTAGGCCAGGTAGAAGATGGAGGCCATCCATCCGTACTGCGTCTGGTTGGTCCCTGTGCTTTCAAAGAGGTCGAAGACGGCAGCGTAGCTGGGAGGGGAGTCAGTCACGCTGAACAGGGGATGGTTATTTTGTTGGTCGAGTGGGAGTAGACCTACCCCATCGCCTGCTTGTCAATGTACTGCAGTACGTATGTGACGGCGAGCAGGGGCAGGACGACCATGTCGATCTTGCGGACGAGCCTGCGCTGCCTTGGGCCGTCGGCGAGGAGCTCCTCGATCTGGTCGGCCGTGTAGTTGTGCTCCCGGAGGAAGATCTCAGCGGCGTCGAGATCATGCGTGGCCTCTACCGCCGTGGGCTTGATGGAGGTCACATCGTATGTCGAGGCGGGCTTGATGTCCTTTGCGCGGTCCTGTGAGGCGCGCTCGACGTCGGTAGCCATGGTGGGTGAAGGGTATAGGAGACGAGGCTGGCTGAAGGGGGAATGGGACTTGAATGGGTTGAAGGGAGTGCTGTTGATGATGAGCACGGACTTGACGTTGACGTTGGATCTATGTATACTTGAAGCCCCCTCTTATCAGGCGTGGCCCTTGGCTATCATCCACGTGCAGATGTGGTATGCGCCCTGCCACACCATATCTGTCAATCTACAGGGTCGGAAGGTGAAGCCGGCTGGTATCAACTCATGGGCTCGCCTCCTATCTTTGCGGGGGTGGATACGGCTGTGAGAGACTGTGGGGTTTAGTTGACACTACCGTTATCGGGCAGGGATGGAATGACCCTCAATTGTTGACTAGCCGAGTTGTGAGAGGTCATTGACTTTTACACTAGCCTGCTAGCGAAGGGTTGAGGATGCCGCCAGGGAGGGGGGCTAGATAGATCCGAGATACGTAGCTGACAGCGGTGGCGTCAAGTGGCATGGCGACTCATGTTGGCAGCATCAACACCAAGTCTACCGTGATGCTGTTTAAGCAGAGGTCGAGTGAGCTTGGACTCGACTTTTGAAGGGAATACGCTCTCCTGAGGTTCAATGGCAGTCAACTGAGTAGTCTGCCCCCTCCCACCCTGCGCTACATCCAGTCTGTTGGAAGAACACTCACCTTGAACCCCAAAAGCTGGGCAAATGTAAGAAGTTGGGGTTGGGTCTCGGATCTCACTTTTGACCGGCGGTAGCAGCAGAATCTGGGCACCGAGTATCGTTAGCCGACATGTCGCGCACCAGTCCGACGGACGCGAGATACGCGACTCATGGCGATTCGACTGAGCCCGACCAGGCGAGGCATCTCCCTATCTCTGGCTCATCTACATCGCTTCCAGCTTCTGTAGCTACGAGTCTCGTTTCACGGTGAGCAATGCGCCATGCGTCTCTCTGTGAACCACCAGGTGTCAGGACACACATGTACTCAGGAACCAACACCTGATCGTCAGGTCCGACAACTGTCCGACGTGTGGAGAAGCGGCAGCAAGGGTCCCACACCATGCGGCATGCATTGCACTTATCGACACCTCCACCGGCTATTATTACGCCGACCCGCACCAAATCGAATGGCTGGCTGGCTGGCTGGCTGGCTGGCTGGCTGGCAGATAGGGCTATTTCCGGATCACCAGACATACGTACCTTGCTGAAGTGTGGTCAAAGTCAGTCTATGCGCGGAGAGCGTTCCATCGGCCTGGGTCGGCTTTGGCAACGTCTGCTCATCCTCGTTATCTTGTTTACACTGGGTGTCAGCATCCTGCGTCGTCCAAGTTCGACGCCATCACATTCCCCCCTATTGCGAGGACAGTTCATCATGGCTGAGCAACGTCCCACGGTGAAACTGCCACAGGGCATCGTCCAAGGCGTGACCCTCAAGAACAACCACCTCCCTCGGCCAGTGGAAGCCTTCAGGGGCGTCCCGTACGCATTGCCACCGACTGGTGACAGGCGTTTTCGACAGGCGCAGCCAGTCGTGCCTCATCCAGATCTCGTGATCGATGCATCTGCGTACGGGCCAGCGGCGCCGGGAAAGCCGCTCCTCGCAGGAGGGCCCAAGCTCGAGTATAGCGAGGACTGTCTGCATGCCAACATCTTTCGCCATGTGCCCGCCAGTGAGGAGGCGGAGACGAAGAAGGAGAGGAAACTGCTCCCCGTCGCGGTGTATATCCACGGGGGTGCTTTCAACAGGGGCACGAGCTCGGGGCACAACACGGCCAGCATGGTGGCCTTCTCCGAGGAGCCCTTTATTGCCGTGTCGTTCAACTACCGACTGGGCGCCCTCGGCTTCCTGCCCTCGACAGCCAGCGAGAAGGAGGGCATCCTGAATCTGGGCCTGAGGGACCAGCTGGTCCTGTTGGAATGGGTCCGAGATAACATCCATCACTTTGGAGGTGACAAGGACAGCGTCACTCTCTTTGGCCTCTCCGCAGGTGGTCACTCGGTGCGTCTTGCGAACCGTCTCTCTACACTCGAGTGTCCCTAGCTAACACACTCAGATTGGTCACTTGATCATGCACTACAAGGAGGGCGAGAAACCCCTGTTCCACCGTGCCATCATCGAGTCAGGGGCAGCCACCTCGCGCGCGGTGCGTCCGTACAATGCACCCATCCACGAGGAGCAATTCCAGGAGTTTCTTAGGCAGGCAAAAATGCCCACGGACACGCCTGCAGAGGGCATCTTCCCGTACCTGCGCTCCCTATCTACGGACGCCATCTCAGCAGCGCAGACGGCCACGTTTGACAAGTACAATCCGTCCCTGCGGTGGGCTTTCCAGCCCGTCATCGACGGCGACATCATCCCCCGTCCGCCCCTGGAGACCTGGAAGAGCGGCAGGTGGCACAAGGTACCCATCATGACGGGCTTCACCCGGAACGAGGGCTCGTTGTACGTCAAGAAGCGTCTGGACAACCCGGCGCTGTTCCCCAAGTTCTTCGCCGAGCTGCTGCCTCTCCTGAGCGAGGAGGACATTGCGACCATTGATCGGCTCTACGCGGACCCCTCCCAGCACCCAGACTCGCCCTACAAGGAGACGCGCGACAAGGTCGGCTCGCAGTACCGGCGCATAGAGCAGGCCTACGCGCACTACGCGTACGTGGCGCCCGTCCGGCAGACGGCGGAGCTCGCGTCGCCGTCGACGCCCGTCTACGTCTACCAGTGGGCGCTCGAGGCCACCGTGCTCGAGGGCGCCCGGCACGGCGACAATATGCGCTACGAGTTCTGCGGACCGCTGGTGGTGGCTATCTCCGAGGGGCAGAGGAGGCTGGCGAGGACGATGCACGGCTACGTCACGAGCTTCATCATCGCGGGCGATCCCAACGCCGTGCCGACGAGCGGGCTCGAGAGGCCCGCGTGGCCGCGGTACGAGGTCGGCCGGGCCAAGGCCATGGTCTTTGGCGAGAAGGACAAGTCGCTCGTCGGGGGCGCGCCTGGGCCAGCGGCTGAGGTGCAGGACGACAGTTGGGAGCGGGACAAGTGCGAGTTCTGGTGGAGTAAGGTAGAGCTGTCGCAGCAGTAGACTAAATAGCGTCTCTTGTATAGACAGAAATCACAAGTGAGACAAATGGCTTTGACGTTCTTGTTCTTGAATGCAGCGGCTAGAGTACGTATCTACAGTCTTGCCCCCTGGCCAGCGATGGCCGTGCACTCGACCTCCACATCGGTGCCGAGGGGCAGCTGGTGCACAGCGACACACGTCCTCGCCTAGCCATGTTAGCATCAGATACTCACTCGTGACAGAAATTGACTCACAGGTTTCTGATCCGTGGTGAAGAACTCATCCCAGACGGCGTTGAAGGCGGCAAAGTTGGCCATGTCGGTGAGGTAGATGTTGACCTTGAGCACCTTGTCGAGGCCACTGCCACCGGCCTCGAGGACGGCAGTGAGGTTCCTGAGGCACTGGCGAGCGCGGTCCTGAACCGTGCCCTCGACCATGGTCTTTGTGCTGGGGTCGATGCCGACGGCGCCCGAGCAGAAGAGGAGGCCGTTGTAGGAGACGGCCTGGACGAACTGGGGGAGAGGAGGGGGCGCGTTGGGGGTGCTGATGGTGGTGCGCGACATGATGGCGGTATTTGCTGGGGGTGAAGAGGTGGACAAGTTGAATCTTGGGCGCGAGGGGGGATGAATATGTAAGTAAGTCTTTCAGTTCGTTTACATGCGGCTTTGGTTCGTAGTTCGTGGCTGTCGGTGTTGATATCGGGGATTCGGGGTCGACCGATGCTGGACTCCACTTTTCCCCGCCGCGTGGAGGCCGAGTTCGGCGGCCAGGTGCGGGCCAATTACTAATCTTGGTTCTCCTGTAAGGTGATAGACAGAATTCATGAGGACATGTAATTGAAGTGCAGGAGAGAGCTACTTGCAGTAGGCTCTATTATCCCATGAAAGAATCGTGGAAAATAATTGAACAGTATCAGAGACCTTTGTGCTTGTTTTTCCAATCATTTCTGAGAATATTTGGAGTGCGCAGAAGACAATCCAGTCAAAGGCAGTCCTGTAAGTTTTAAGTCACCCACACCTGCCTAAGAGCTGCTGTCGGTCATGCATGAATTGAGTAAGTGGGTGTAAGCCAACCGTCAGATGTGACCAGAACAACAGACGAGGCCACGGTGTAGAAACTCCCTCAGCCCATGCTTCGGAGCATTGAATTTGAACCAAGCTACTTTCAGCATCTCCAAAAGAAAATGTAGGCCTGTACTTTTGGTCAACGCCATTTGGTTGCGGTCAACGCTGCAGGGTAGGCGGCAGCAGCTGGCGGGCAGCCATAATTCCATGAGGAAGGGCAGTTTGGTCGATGAGAGGAACTTTGGCCTCAGACCTTGCGGCGATGCCTTAAAAATGCAGGATATTTTAGAAAAATCCCATTTGAAGCTTTTCATGAGGAGAGAAGAGTTGCACCCATGACCGAGGGCGAAGAATGAAGAAGCGGGTTGAAGTGCCGTCCTGCTGCTATTGTGTCAGACTCGCCTAGCCTCTAATACTCGGCTGCTAATAATAACATGGCCATCAATCAATTAAACACCCTTCGGCAACTAGATCCGTTCGATGCAACGAGACACACCGTCTCGCGCATAGATGAACCTCGAGCTGTGTCACATGGGCAATAAATAGTATAGTCCGAGGGTATCATGTATAATCATGGACAATAAACTCTAAACTCACATATTTCCGACCATGCCAGCCACAGATCTGGAACTCGGGCCTGTCCTGCGCCTCTGTACGTAATAGGCGTCTCAGGGACCTGATTGGCTCTGCTGCCCGTCCAGGGGGTAGCCGCCGGGCCTAGCGGTTTACCCGGTAAGCATCTATTCCGACCCACAAGATCAACACAGCGGCGGCTTTCTCTCTTTGAAGCCACTGGTGATAGCCAGTCAGACAGCCTCCAGCGCGCTGACCACTAAAGGCAGTGGATCCAGGCACTGGCAGCCGCCTGCGTAGTGGCGCTTGACTTCGGATTGTTGTCCTTGATCTTAACGTGGTAGTAGTAACTACTTGCGCAGTATTATCACCGACCGACGCCCAACAATAGCGAAACGCGCCGCGCATGCAACGACGAGTGCACTTCAGACACTGGACTGACTAGAGCCGCGGTTCATCTCGAGCTCGCCGTGGACCATGCGCATCCACCATGGTGCTGCTAGCAGCAGCGTGTGATAACGATCTTCACCCACGTCCGTGCCATGATGTCAGTACCCAGCACACGCAGCCATCCGCCAGATGAGCCTTGAACTGGCGTGAAGTACGGACAGATACTGGGTGCTCGGTTGATAGACGGCCTTTGCAACTCGGCGAGCTCCCACGAGGTGCGCAATCTCAGGGCAGGACTGCGTGCTGCAGCCATCAGCGGCCAGCCATACCGAACCAACGCGCGGAGGGGACGGCAATGCAGGCACCAGATGGAGAAGCGCATCAATCTGCGACAGACAGCCCAGAGATGGCAAAGCCCCCCTGGCAAGAGCCCTGGCACCAACGGACCAAGCAGACCTGTCCATCTGGCTGATGCACGTTTCACGCCCCGGAGACGCGGCTCCACTCGAAGCAGCGCCAGCCTCAACCTCAAACGGCGCCAACCCCTGCCCGTCCTCCTCTCCTTGTCTGCGTGCAGAGACTCCAGGTCAACATGGGACTCTTGTGGATGAGACGGCCAATACGGCCAATACACGGGGCAGACAGAGGATCCATCGCAAAGTTCTTCATAATGGCATCAACTGCTCCTCCAGCCGCTCATCTTGTTGTTCCCTCCCCTCCCTCTCTCTAGCGTCATCAGGGTCGTCGATCGTCGTTGATAGTTTATTACATTCTTCCTGTCGTGGATACACTCTTCTCGCGCGCGCCTGGTTGCTGCCCGTTTCTCTTTCATACGACTTTCATCAATATCGACATTGTTCGCTCCTTTGGTACGCATCCCTCTCGACGTACCTGGCTTGAGCGCACATTCAAGACCATTCATACTCACTCGCTTCATCTAGATCTCGACGCACGGTCCCTTCAACAATCACTCGCCAACACGACCTAACTGGCGACTCTGTTCTATTCGTCCACTCATTCACTCACTCTTGCTCGCTTGGCCCGCTCCGCTCGCTTGTGAGCCCGTCATTGTCGAGAACCAATTCATCCTCACGCCAGCGTTGATCGCAGACGTTGTCGACGTGCTCTTCATCTCAGACCTCTTAGTGACCGGCTCACTTTGACGCATCTTGTCTCTCTCTCCAACACACTGTCGGCACATTCATAACGAAAAAAGCAGCAGCCATGTCTTTCATCAAGTCCCTCCTCACGAGCGCCCTGCTCGTTGGCCTGCCCCTGGCCTCCGCTCTTCCTCATGGAGCCCAGGGTGCCGGCAACACAGACCTGACTTCGGACATCAACCTGGGCGACCTGAATCTCGGCGACATCATCACCAACCCGGATAGCAGCAGCAGCGGTAGCGGCAGCGGCAGCAACAGTGGACTCGGCGGCATGGTCTCGACCCTGGCCACGATCCTGTCCAACCCGGACGCCAAGGAGGTGATCCCGAACCGGTACATTGTCGTGTACAACAACACGTACGACGACGACGCCATCTCGGCCAACGTGATGCACTTCACGTCCGAGGTCAAGAAGCGCAACATCAACAAGCGCTCGCTGTCGGGCAAGCTGCTCAGCACCGACGTGCGCTCGTACCGCATGAACTCGTGGCGCGCCATGACGCTCGACGCCGACGACGACATGATCATGGACATTTACAACTCGGACGAGGTCGAGTACGTCGAGGCCGACACGCAGGTCCGCGTCTCGTCCCTCCTCGCACAGACCAACGCCCCCGTCGGCCTCAACCGCCTCTCCGCTGACGCCGCCGGCAGCGACCGCTACTTCTTCGACTCGTCCGCCGGCGAGGGCATCACCGCCTTTGTCGTCGACACGGGCGTCAAGATTGAGCACACCGAGTTTGGCGGCCGCGCCACCCGCGGCGCCAACTTTGTCCAGGGCGAGAGCGACGACGACCTCAACGGCCACGGCTCCCACGTCGCTGGCACCATTGCCGGCAGCACCTTTGGCGTCGCCAAGGCCGCCAACATCGTCGCCGTCAAGGTCCTCGGCGCCGACGGCGGCGGCGCCAACTCGGGCGTCATTGACGGCATGCAGTTTGTCATTGACGAGGTCCAGAGCAAGGGCCTGCGCGGCAAGGCCGTCATGAACATGTCTCTCGGCGGCGGTTTCTCCGAGGCCCTCAACCGCGCCATCGAGCAGCTCTTCAACGCCGGCGTCGTCCCCGTCGTCGCCGCCGGTAACGACGGCATCGACGCACGCAACTCGAGCCCCGGCTCCGCCCCCAACGCCATCACCGTTGGCGCCATGGACGCCCGCGACGACACCCTCGCCGCCTTCTCCAACATTGGCCCCAGCGTCGACGTCTTTGCCAGCGGCGTCGACGTTCAGAGCGTTGGCATCAAAAGCAACACGGACACGGCCATCCTCAGCGGGACCTCGATGGGTGAGTTCTTGAATAACCTCTATACATAGACAAAGCAGTGCTAACATGACCAAGCCTCCCCCCACGTCGCTGGCCTCGCCGCTTACCTCATGGCCTTCCAGAACCTCACCGATCCCGCCGAGGTCGACAAGACCATCAAGAGCCTCGCCACGAACGCGGGCGGCAGCGTCAAGGGCGTCGACGCCACCACCACGGATCTCATCGCCAACAACGGCAACACCTTTCAGCAGTAGTGGCTCGCCAAGGTCACGACACTCGTTTCAAGGCATGGGCAGCACGATTTTGAATAGCTGCGTATATTCATCTGCATAGATTTATTTGCATCTGGGAGGGGCATTCATTAGTGGTCGGTCGAGGGGGCATGTGTCAATCACTTTTTATATATATGGGGTACTACTTACGATCATTTCGCTCTCGTATAATTCACAAACAGTATCAAGATCCTGCATAGAACTGGTTAATGATGATATTCATTGATAATTTGATGACCCCAGACATCTTCGAAGAGGGGCATGTATGTGCATTGACAGTGCTCAAGCCTGAAACATGTCTCGTTGTGAGACGAGGCGGACAGCGAACCCCAGACTCGCCGTGTCTTGGCCAAAATGCAGACCCCTGTTTGAATATCGAACCGCAGGGTCTTTCGGTCGGATCGGGCCACTGTATAGCCCTTGTCTCAGAAACGTCCTGGCCCCTACATGTTATACATAGTACATGTATCACAGCTGCTATAGACGGCAGCGTCGAAATGTCCGCCCTCCGGCGCAAAAGTCCCTGCTATAGAGTAAACAGGAACCAGCGCCGTGCCCGCCTGATCCGGAGATGAGGCGGGCCCGAGGTCAAGGTGGTGTCTGATATCAGCACTTCTTCGGCACAACCACAGTCATGGAGAGGACTGGATTGCAATTTGACATCCGTGCTAGGTAGTGTGCGCATTCACAAAAGAGGGACGCATGCATGCGCGTGTCTGGGAGGTGAGCAAAAACAGGGGCAGCCTGAGGAACAGGGCCGGGCAGAAGAGGCAGATTATCATGATTAATATATACTGAACCCGAGGAAACAATATGCGCCAGAAGTCGGAGGCAATGAGGTCGTGAGGGAGATAAAAACAAGAGCTGGTGTCTTTGGACAACTGTTACAGCTCGTCGCGAACAGCGGACGGGTCGGAGACACTCGAGGTCCATCCCTTGGCCGCGGGGCCCATGTCGTCGAGGATGTGGCCGAACTTCGCGCCAAACAACCAGGCGGTACCAATCTAGATAGGACGAGTCAGCACTTTTTCGATCATGCCCCGGGCATCCCTCACACAAAGACTCACCATGATGGCTGTGATGAAGACCAAGCAGGCCAGCGCCACCAGGAAGATGACGGCGGCCTCGCCGGGGTCTGTCGTCGGCTCCTTGCGCTGCAACTGCGCATTCTCCGTCGACAGTTTCTCGGGGTTCTGGCGGGGGTATAGTGTCTCGATGAACTGCTCAATCTTGGCACACTGCACCGAGATGGCGAGGAAGTTGGGATCCCGGGGGTCGTTCTTCTCCTGGATCAGGCGCACGTAGCGCTTGAACACGTCGCACTCGACCTGCAGGTTCTGCGTCGACTCGAGCATGATCTGGCAGGCGGCGCCCTTTGTGATCTTGACGTTGCGCTCCAGCACGGCCGGGTTGCGGAAGACGACCTCGAGCGTGGCAATGGCCATGCCCTGGGGGATGGCGACAAAGTTGAACACGCTCTGGTCCTTCATGCCGGCCATGTAGAACAGGCACTCCTCGACGTGCTTGAGCGCGTCGAGCACCATCTCGGACACGACGTTGAGGGCCTGCTCCCTGTACTTGGGGTCGAACATGTGCTCCCACTCGTCGACGTGCTTGCTCCAAATCTCCTTGGGGTACCAGCGGCGGCCCTCCTCCCAGTCCTCGGCAATGTCGCGGATAATGTTGGTCTTTTGCAGGAACTGGCCCATGGACTCTGTGAGGTTCGGGCGCTCGGCCAGCTTGGGGTGCGCCAGGTCCGAGGCGAGGAAGAGGCGGGTGCAGCCCTCGCCGACGAGGCCGGCGACATAGTGGCAGTACAGGTTGTACTCCTTCTTGGTCTGCACGCCGTTCTTGATCATAAAGTCGTTCTCGGCGTAGTCGGCCATGCCGTTGCCCATCTTGAGCGTCATGTCCTCGATGATCTCAAAGTGGGCCTTGCCGAGCTTCTTGAGCTCGGTGACGACCACGTCAAACTTCTCGAGCAGCTCCTTGTCCTTCTCGACGCTGCCGTGGAACTGCCAGCCGTCCTGCTGCATCGTCTTGTGGAAGTTGCGCAGCAGGGGCACCTTCTTGTCCAGCGGGATGGTCATGTCGTCCTCAATCGTGTCGAGGCCGCGCAGGACGAGGTAGAAGAGCGTCATGGGGTAGAGCAGTTCGTGGTTGAGCTCCTTGATGACGGCGGAGAAGCTGCGGCTGGTGAGGTCGAGGAAGCGGAAGCACTCCTTCATCTCGGGCGACTCGTTGGCCTCGTCACGCCTGTGCACCGGGTCGTGGTAGACCTTCCATTGCAGGATGGAGCGCAGCTCGAACGGGTGCAGGAGATAGTAGAGGTAGCCCATGATGGCGGGTGCAGAGCAGAATAGGGGTCTCGCGCGTGTTCGATCGAGGGGTGCGCAGGACGAGGCTTCGGCAGCGAAAGTCGACCAGAGACAATGGCCGCGTGATGTGCTGAGAGGTGATTGAAGCAAAAGAGGACGAACAGACCAGGGGTTTTGCAACAAGAATGTCTCAAGGACGGGGATGGGATAGAAGAGGTGAGGTTGGCGAGGTGTGGTGGGTGGTGAGAGCACAGAGATCATTGGCCCCACGTGGAGACTGGAAGTCTCTTCTTTAATTTCCAGCTTGGGGAACGCGCTACCACTTTACCTTGCCTTGGCCGTTCAGCCAGGCACCTGGTGAGCGCGGGCAGCGCTGCCACAGGCGGGATTGACGCGGGCCTGCATTCCGTCGGCGACCAGAGCAAAGTCCGTCCGCACTTGGAGAGAGGCAAAGTCGAAGGCGTGGATTGAGCCGCCAGATTAGCCGCGAGCTGAGGAAGGTAGAGGACCAAGTGTGATGGGAACATTGGTGGTCCTCGTGAGTCGAGTTTTGATCTTGCGGCTGATTAGCGTTATCGATACGAGATGCAGCGTCGCTGGAATTGCTCCACCGGATGCAGTCCTCAGCCCGTAAAGCCAGACGTGCGAATTGGCGTGGGAGGTCGACATGTCAAAAGATAAGTATCGACCATTGCTTTTTTCGCGTGCCGTGTGCAAGCCTCAATGGGTCGATCGTGCGTGTGCGGACGATTACTTACTGGAGTTCGCCTTGAAGCGTGTAGGGTAGCCTGTCTTACCCTGATAGTCTGACCAGGGCTGCCATCTACGCAAACTACGGTGAATCAGGGTCTCACGAGCCAGAGGCCTGGACTCATGGTGTCAGAATCGGATGTCAGAATCGGCAATCTTAATTAGAAACTTGAAACTTTTTACGTTCACGCAGAGGAAACGGCAGTGTGCGACATGTGAAAACTGCCGACGCCACAGCGACAAGCCACGAATCTGGACCCCGTAGCTGACGCACTGCCCCTCCATTACGTAGACCGGGGGCTCCAAATTCCCTACTGCACTACAAGGTAATCCGTAGTGACAGCAGGTGCCTTACGACCAAGCAAAGCTCGACGCTGCAAACATTGGCGACAGCAACCTTCACTCACCTCCTACAACAACCGACTCCCCGTCACATCTAATACCACCTCGTATCCGAGAGACCCGATCACCATGGTCGTCGACACGGCCTACTACGACATCCTCGGTGTCCAGGCCACCGCCACCGACATCGAGATCAAAAAAGCCTATCGCAAATGCGCCATCGTGCACCACCCCGACAAGAACCCCAACGACCCCACGGCCCACGAGAAGTTCCAGGAAATCGGCGAAGCTTATCAGGTCCTCTCCGACAAGGACCTTCGCGCGGCCTACGATAAATATGGCAAGGACCACGCCAAGCCCCAGGAGGGCTTCACCGACCCGGCAGAGTTCTTCACCAGCATCTTTGGCGGCGAGGCCTTTGTCGACTGGATCGGCGAGATAAGCCTCATGAAGGACCTCACGGCCACCATGGACATCACAATGCAGGAAGAGGCCGAGGAGGCTGAGGCTGCCGCCGCGGCGGAGGCGGCGGCCGCCGATGGTAAGACAGACGCTGACGCTGGTGCTGATGCCGAGGCCAAGTCCAAGCAGGAGGGCGAGTTCCCCGGCACGGACGAGGCGATCAAGCAGAGCATGAAGGAGAAAGAAGCTGCAGCAGGTGCTGCTGGCACTACCGACCCAGCGGCAGCAGCGGCACCACCACCCGCAGTCGTGGTCGAGGAGGACAAGACCGCACCCCCTCCCGCATACACGACTACCGCGGACGGTGGCCCTGCCCTGCCGCCCCGTCGCTCGCAAGACGCCTCGCCGACCCCCTCCTCCAGCCGCCAACAGATCCCTCTCCGCCCCGCGCTCACCGACAAGTCCCACGAGGACCTCGCCAGCGAGTCGCAGGGCGACCTGTCCGAGGAGGCCCTGCGCCGCAAGGAGAAGAAGAAGGGCAGCCTGTCGCGGGAACAGCGCGAGCAGCTGGCGGCCTACGAAAAGGAGCGCGCGCGCATCCGCCAAGAGCGCGTCGACACGCTCGCCCGCAAGCTGGTCGACCGCATCTCCGTCTGGACCGAGACCGGCAAGGGCGACGACGTCACCCGCTCGTTCCAGGAGCAGATGCGCCTCGAGGTCGAGAACCTCAAGATGGAGTCCTTCGGCATCGACATTCTCCACGCCATCGGCCACACCTACGTCACAAAGGCCTCGACGCTGCTGCGCAGCCAAAAGTTCCTCGGCATCGGCGGCTTCTTCTCCAAGCTGCGCGACAAGGGCACCATGGTCAAGGACACGTGGAACACCATCTCCAGCGCCATCGACGCGCAGCAGACCATGGAGGACATGGCGCGTCGGGAGCAGGAGGGCGGCGACGACTGGGACGACGAGAAGAGGGCCGAGTACGAGCGTCGCGTCACGGGCAAGATCCTCAACGCCGCGTGGCGGGGGAGCAAGTTTGAGATTCAGAGCGTGCTGCGGGACGTCTGCGACGCAGTGCTCTACGACAAGAAGGTGCCCCTCGCCAAGAGGCTGGAGCGGGCGCAGGCTTTGGTGCTGATTGGCGATGTCTTCAACAAGGTATGCCCATCTCTTTTTCTCCTTTTCTGGCAAATTATGCTAACAACCGCAGGCCGCTCGTTCCCCCGAGGAAGAGGGCGACTATCTCGTCTTTGAGCAGCTCGTGGCCGAGGCCGCGATGAAGAAGGACAAGGACGAAGATGGCAAGAAGAAGGACAAGAAGAGCAAGGAGTCCCACCACCACTTCAGCAGCCACAAGCACACAGAGCCTACGCCGGAGAAGAGCTGAAGGAATCTTGCGCACAGCGGATGATGTATAGAGGGTTTGCGGGCGGGGAATACCGGTGCATATTTACATAGACTCTTCTCCTGTTTGGTTTTCCTAATGATACTCCCACTTGGTTGACCGATTCATTCACACCAAAATCACATCTTTTAACAACAACTCACTCGCGCCACGCGCAGTCAATTCATCTACTAGTAGTTAAATGAATAAAGGTATCTTTGCCCACCACATGTCCAAACCCACAGGACGTGCTAGATAATACATATATGGCTGATGTCAAATGAAAAAGAAAGAAAGAGGGGGTATCTGTTGGTACACAAAAAAAGACATGTCCCGCAACAAAAGAGCAAAAGCTGGCCGTGCAACTGACAGCAGAGAGCTGTAGAGATAGATGTAGAAAAGGAGTATGTCGTCCGTCATGGGAGTGGCTAGTGGGTGGGTGTAATTTATATGTGTCGAGTGGCTTCCGGGCCACAAGTGGTATCATGTTATGTCGTGCTCATCTGCTCCCCTCGAGTCAGGGGCCCAATCGCATCAGCCGCCATCCGGCGCCAGCTCTATCCCACTGTCGCGAGCGGGTGGCGGTTTCTCTGTGGCCGGCTCCAACGTGATGGACGGAATCTTCTCCAGGCCATCCACTTCCGGCGTCTCCTCTCGTCGGGCCAGGCCGCCGTCCTCATCGTCCTCGTCAGGTGGCGCGAGGACCTTGCCACCCAGCTCAACATCAGACACCCTGACATGATAAGCCAACGCCTTCTGCCCCTCCTTGATGAGAACCTCTGTCCAATCCATGCAGCGCTTAATACTCTGGTTAATCTTCTGGCTGTCAATGAGGAGCTCCTGGTGTTTGGTGAGGTCGAGCTGCAGGCGCATCTCATCTCGTTTCCGCCGGGCCGCCATCTTGGCGTTGGGAGACATGGGCTCCGCCTGCGAGCCAGTCTCATCGTCCGTCGACAAGTCAGACTCGTGGAAAGAGTCTTGCGCCTCGGAATCGCTCTCCTCCTCACTCACATCGGACATGTCGATCGGCGGTTCGGTCATGGCGGCGGAGGCGACACGGCTGGAGGGCGCCGACAAGCGACCGGCACGGGAGAGACGCCGGTATCGACGAAGTTCGGCTGTCTGTTTCCGGAGCTGGCGTTCCAGAGTCCGGTTGATGGCTTCGAGTGACGCATTGGTAATCTCAAGATCTTGCACTTTACGCTCCCTTCGAGCATTGGCCACGAGCTCACTAATAGGATCACCGGAGGGGGTCGATTTTGTCGGACTGGATACCTCGGGAGGGGTATGTTCACTGCCCGAGTCCTCATCTTCCTCCTCCAGCTCCTCGGCCGCCTGAAGTAACGAAGCCATTGACATTGCTGGGCGCGCGAGGCCCGGACTCAGGGGCGGCGAAACAACGGACGTAGCTTCGGGCGACTGTGGCGCCCGCGCAGGGTATTTCGGCAAGACTAGTTGGTCAAAAGTCGGCACGCTGCCGGTCCTCGAGTGCCCACGTTGTAGGCGAGACGGGGCTTGTCTCGCCGGTGCTTCTATGCTAACCCGCCTTTTCCCAGGGGGGTTTCCACTGGGAGCCAATGACGGAGGTGACGCCAGACCTGGTCTGATCGCGGGACCAGGAGGCATCGCACTTCCTTGTAATGATACCACGGATGGTGACGCCGTGGCGGGCTTGACCGGCGACATTGGTCTTGACATGGACGTGGGTGCAGCCACTGGCGCCGAACTGCCAGTGCCCGGCCTTTGCCCCGCCATCCTCGAGCTCGTTGACACGGTCGAACCAGATCCCGACGTTGTCAGCATTGGCCTCGAGGGCATATCGGGCGTCCCGTTTGCGTAGAAGAACTTGGTCGACGTGGGCTCCGGGGTCGATGCCAGCACTGGTGTAAAGATGGGGCCGCCTGGCGGACTCGTTGTTCTCTTGGCCTCCGCTGACGAGCCATTCGCATAGAAGAATGATGCAGCTTTTTGCAACACAGGGGCGGCTCGCTGCTGCGGCGGCGGCGGCGGCGGCGGCGGCTGCTGCTGCTGTTGTTGAGGTTGACCAGTGGACGCCTGGGAGACAGGTCTTGAGGCATCGCTGGCGTAGAAGAATTTGTTGTCTTGGTCGCCTTGAGCCTGGCCCCTGTTTCCGTCCACCATGGAACCATTTAATGGCGTCCTACTCCCAGTGTGCTCCCATCCGTCCAAGCCCTTGTCTGGGTTGGGCGTTCCGCTCGGCGTGGAATTGGCGCTCTCGACGCGGCCCTGCCTGGTTCCTGTACGCGGTGTGATGTTCGCCAATCCCAGCACTGGGCCATCTTGTGTTCTTCGCCCGGATGGGAGAGGCGAGGTAGCAGTATGGGGCTGTTGTGAATACGGGTACTGTGCTCCAACACTGGAGGAGGGCTTCGGTGTTGTTGTGGCTACTTTCGGGGTGACGACTGGGCGATTGGCGGCTCGGGCAGCGGTAGCACTGAGCTGCGGCTGCCGAGGCCTGTTGTCCGACATGGCGCGCGACAGCCTCGTCGTGCTTGTTGTGATTGTAGTGGCGGTGTTGGCGGTGTTGTTATTGTTGTTGTTGCTGGTCTTGGGGGTAGTCAAGGATGGGGCATTTTGGTTGTTGTCCCGGGTGCGGAGCGCTTGACGTGACGATCGGTGAAAGGGCGGTGGCTTTAGGTATTCGCTCGGCCGTGGTTTACGAGTCGGCTTGGTCGCTGTCGGGTCTGCACAATTGCCGGGTGTGTTGGTGGAGGACCTTTCGAGAGATCGCATCCTCGATGGCCGTGGTGGTGGTGCCAGTCGGTGGTGGTGGTGTTTGTGGTTTCAGAGGTCACGCTGCTGCCCGCCCCAATTCCAGTCCTCTAGTCGTTGTGGCTCGGCGCTGGAAATTAGGGGTATCAAAGCTTGAACGCTGGATGTCCACCGCAGCATGAATGAGTGTCATTGAGGAGAGCGAGGACTCTAAAAAAGGCTTAAGAATGCTCAGAATGTTCAAAAGTACCGCATACAGCATCTGCCCTCACTCTCACAGGCCATAAATGCACAGCAGATGCGTTTGCCATGCAGTTCACGTTTTGTTTACATTGACAGCAAGCGAGATGGGGACATGAGGAGACCTAAGGCTAAGTAAGGTAAGGTACGGAGATGTCGGTGTTGCCCCACCTGCTTGACGCCGCTGGCCCTTCGTCATTAGCTGTGAATCATGCGCTGTGCGGCTGCCTGCCGGCTGCCCGCGATTTGTTTAGAGTCTTGGACTCCTGGCTGTCCAGGCCCCGCCTGAAGCCACCAAGCTCCAACTGCTGCCCCTGACCCTGCGCCATGTGGGGCGCACTCCCGTCTGCAGTGACACGCTTTCTGGGCCGGCATGCATTTTCAACCCGACGTGCCTCGCTCGACACACTTCATCCACGCACGTCTCCACGCCTGAAGACCGACCTCGAAACCCTCCCTACGATGGGCGTCATCGGCGTCTCTTTGATCGTCGTCTCCTTTGTGTACGTCCTCGCCTGCCCGATCGGTTGGCTTCCACGATGGATCGTGGATTTCAAGCGGGGTCTTGGAGGGGCGCCAGCCATCACCGAGGGACCCTTGACATCTACAGCCAAGGCTGAACCGGGACGAGATGAAGATGCGAGGGATAACACAGCGACTTCGACTGCAAGAGACGAAGCCGGCTCTGCTACTGAAACGGTCAACCGCAAAGCGCAAGGCTCGAGGGAGATGCCGCCGCCTCCCAGGCCCATGACTGCGCAGCAACCACCCGCAATAAAAGCACCGTCTCTGCCCGAGTCGACAGATGAAGAGGAACAAATCACCCCCAAGGCCGCGCCGGCAGAGTCCAAGGGACCAGTGCCGACCTTCTCCTTATCGGACGATGCACCATCCAAACCCTCTCGTGCGCCCTCAGCCTCAGCATGGGCCTCCACGATGCCCTCCTCTTCCTCGTCAGCCATGCCGCCTCCTCCACGTCCGAACCCTCAACCACCTCGCCTGCCTCAGTTCCCAGCCGCCAACTCGCCGCAGATTGCGCGAGGGCCCGCCCCCGACCGTGGCCCTCCTGCTGGTGGTCTCGCCCCTCCTTCTGGGGGTCTCGCCCCTCCACCGACGCTTGCCGCCAAACCGAACAAGCCGAGCAAAAAGGTCATGCTCCAACCGGGTCGGTCGCCGTTGGACTGGGCTCGCATCTCCGGGCCCTCCTCTGATCTACGAAACCTCCCACCGAACACGCCCTATCTTCGTGTCACGCCCTCCATGCTGAAGGCGCAAAACGGGCGCAAGGGAACGGATGCGTGGATGGCGCTCAATGGCAAGGTGTACAACATCTCGCCTTACGCAGAGTACCACCCAGGTGGCAAGGGTGAACTCATGCGCGGTGCTGGAAAGGACGGGACCAAGTTATATGGGGAAATCCATCCCTGGGTGAACTACGAGACGATGATGGCGGCCTGCCTGATAGGGTTATTGGTCGACGAGCCGGATGGCAAAAGGGGCAGTGAGATGGATGAGATGGATTGATGCCACCCGTTTATATTTAGATACCCCATAGAGGCATGGCGTTCCAGGATTCAGTGATTATTCTGATCTTTTCATGAGGCATAGCTTGCAACCATATCATGGGTGTTATGTGCGTACAGGCCCTACTTACGCCGTCTGCCAAATCTAAACTTGAGCTCATCGTCACTATCATCACTCTCGTCGGCCGCTGCCGCTCGGCGAGTCGGTCTCGCCCTCTTGGAGGCTTGCTCCGTCGCAGACTCCGGCGTCGGGGCTGGACGCTTGCTCTGCGTCGTTTGTCTCGTGGACGCCTGGCTGACTCTTGTGCGGGAGGGCTGTGCGGATATCTCCGAAACAGCGGGCAGCTCCTCGTCCTCGTCTTCGCTCTCGGACCCAATGACGCGAGCCGCACGACCCCTCGGCTGCGGTGGCGGAGGTGGTGGAGGAGCCTCTTCACGCGTTTCGACGCTTCGCTGGCTGCTCCTGTTCCGCTTCTGCGTCTCCTCGTCCTCCAGCCAAAAGTCATCGCCCACTCCGAATTCCTTGTTCTTCACTTCCTGCAACTGGATCAGCTGCTTCACGGGTTGACGAACCCCTGTCACCTCTCCGCGTTTGCGGAACTTTTTAAAGTTCTTCATGCCGTTCCATTTAGGATTCCATCGACCGTCCGCAACATCTTGCTCGCGCGTGCGTGCCATGCCCGGCCGCCTGATTTCCATCTCTTCCACAATATTGAGTCTGCGGATCTCGGCGAGATCGACGTCGTCCGGTAGGTTGGCCAAATCTTCCTTCTCTCGACGAGCCCGCTCCTCCTCCATCTGGCGATGTTGTTGCAGCTGTGCTGAGATATCAACCTCCTTTTTGATCTTGGTCTTGGGTTCATGTGCCGCGGGGGTTTCAGACTCAGGCTCTGGGTCTGGCACGGCGAAATCGTCACGCTCCGCCAGACGTTGACGCTTGAAGCGTGCGGCAGCTGGTGCCATGCCCTCCATTAGATCATCCCGCGGGGCGTGTCTCTTCTGCGCTTTCGTAGCCCCCGGCTGGTCTTGTTGCGAAACCTGCTGCGATATGAAGAGGCCCTCCTCATCTGAAGCTGGTATGCTGTCCTCGGCCGGCGGTGGTGGCGGCGCCGCCGCCGCTGGGGCATCCGCCATGGTGTCGTCGTCACTGTCGTTGTCGAAGCCAACAAATCGTCGCTTGACAGGTCCACGCCGACCTCTTCGGGGTGCCGGCTGTGCTGTTGCAGGCTCGACACTTTGCGACGCCTGTTCCCTGGACTCGCTCTGGCCGGACCGCTCCGACCGAGAGCCCTGCGCTGAGCGTGACCCTGGAGCCCTGTCTTGTGTCGCAGTGCTGGATTCGACCTCCAATGGTCTTCGCAAGATGCTCGCATCCTTGATCAGGATGGCTTCCAGAAACTCGTTCTGGTCTATCGGCCGATGGTCCAGCAGCAGCGACACCGAGGTAAAAAAGTCGGCATACCACTGAACTTGGTCCCCTTTGGAAGGGATGTACCGCACCAAAACCACGCCCTTGCCCTCACTACCATCCTCGAACGATCCAAGCCCCTTTTCGCCGGCGACCTCTTTCACCCTACGGGCAAAGGTTTCGGGTTCTGTCTCTCCAGCCACGATCTCCTCGAGCATGGTCTTGCCCCCTCCAGCATTGACCGCTGCCATCAGATTTTCATACTGCGCTCTATCGTAGAAAATGAACGTGTATCCTTCAAAGACATCTGCTCTGCCAGCATCTGGGTAGTAGATATCTGCTGTGTGTTTCTTCGGCTCGCCCCCTGGGGGTGGTACATGTTCCTTTGCGTCTGGCCACCTGTCAAAGTTTTGCTCCAATACACAAGTCTGGGCATCGTCTGGAGAGTAAGCCGCCTCGACCACTGCGTCAAGGAATGTTTCCGTCACAATGTACCGAGCATCGACTAAGGCTTGCAGTGCCTTGACAGTGTTCCGCTTCTTGGACACCACATGCGTCGTCCATTTGTGGTGGTACTCTGTGAGCAGCTTGATATCTAGTTGTTCGAAACGGTCTTGCAGGGTTTCAATCGGGCCGCTTTGTAGTTCTTTCTTCGAGAACGAAAAGGTAAAGACAACAGGCTCCCACGTAATCCTGCGCTCGTCAGTCTCGCCCAAACGTGCTGGTCCAAGCAAGCAGGCTGGCCTACCGAAACTTTGTGGAGAATTTGCCCAGCATAATCTCAGCAGAGCTGCCTTCGACAACGACCTTGTCATTCTTAGTTAACCGGCCGTCCACTTCGGTGCCATGCTTCGTCTTGAGATCCTCAATCGTGATTTTTGAGCGAGCATTGAGATTGTGAGCGCTGCCGGCTGCCACGGGATCAACTTTGATGGTCATGTGTTTGCGGGATATAGTCTGATGTGCGATGGCAATCTGCCCATCTGCTACAATATCAGTCTCATTGCCCCTTTTTAGGATGTCACCACAGACGCACATTCACCCGTGGTCCGGCCATAGAGGTACGTTCTCCCGGGCCGAAGCCATCGACGACCTGGTTGTTATTATCAGCATAGATCCCTTGCGGGAGGGAATGGGTAGTCGACATACCAAAATCGGGGTGGTCGCTCGATATGATCCACATGCTGTATGCCAAATGGCATCCAAGTAGAGATGACGTTGCGGAATTTCTGAGCTGTGGTCGCGACAGACGCGTTTGTCACGGTCACGGTCATGAGACGGTGGGTCCGTGCATCATCACGCTGTCACGTGCCGCACTTGAACAATGAGCCGAACTGTCATCCACAGGTCACCCAAAGCCTCACTCATCACTTGCCTGTGGCACAAGAGGTGAAGTCTGGTGAGCAAAATGGGACTCGGATGGCGAGATGGCGCTCAAAAGTTCTCCGAATCCCATCTACATCCGTCACTTGATTTAACTTTAACTCCTCATTCACTTTCCCGCTGGAGCTGCGGTGCGCTTCTCTCGAAGCCATCAGCACATCATGGCTACCTCAACCTTCAAGGCCACCAACTACTCGGCCGAAGAGTTCGTCGAGAGCTGTGGCGCCATTCTCTTCGACTTCTCAGGACCTGCTCCTCAAGTTGGCCTCGTCTACTACAAACCCAAAGACGAGTGGCTACTTGCCAAGGGGCGTCGTAACTGCGGCGAGTCGAGACACGCAGCTACTCTCCGAGAGATAGAAGAAGAGACGGGCTACCGATGCCACCTCTTCCCAATTACCATGCCGACGCGCGCTCCAGCCTCAGCTGAGAAAAGCAGCGTACCCGATCAGCCACGTCTTTATCCCGATCTCACAGAGCCTTTCATGGTGACCGTCAGAGAAGTAGATGGCAAAGCCAACGTCAAGATCATCTGGTGGTATATTGCCGAGGTTACAAGTACGGACCGGGCCTCGGGTGGCGAGGGAGAAGAGGCGTTCACTTCACAGTTCTTCAACACAGAAGATGCGATACAGAAGCTGACATTTTGCAGCGACAGGCAGATTTTGAAAAAGGCCATCGACCTGACGGAGGAGCAGGCTTACGAAGGCTCACGCATCCTGAATCCTGATGGTCGCCAAAAGTGAAGGGTTCCACTGTGGATACAAGTTACCGAATTCAGAGTCGGTGGCTCCAGGGCACTAATACTCCACCATCGGCCAAAATGGCAAAAAGAACTCGCAGCTTGTGGACAAGCTGTAATGCACATGCATTGGGGCGAACCGGGATCGAACCGGTGACCTTTCGATGATGAGACTGAGGTGTACTTCAGTCGAACGCGCTCCCAACTACGCCATCACCCCCAGGAGATTGCAACCAGTCTTGGTGCGATGGACGGGCTCACTCATGTCGCTCACTATATACGCAGACGCGAAGGCACTCTTTGCTTAAAGTTCAAGTCAAGCATGCCAGCAACCCTTGCATTCAGTTTCAACATGAACTTTACCATCTGACGCAGAGCCTGTGAGGCCAAGTGTAGTGTACCACGATTAGCTCCAGCTACCATTCCCATTATGAGCCCACATTCCCGCCTTCAAATTCACTTGTGCCTGAATCAGCGCCACAGTGTGCGGCCCTTGAAATTGAGCCCGGCAATACGTCCTTCAAGGGATGTTTACCAAGCAAAACTGTCCTTCAACATAGGGTCAGCGGGGTCATGGTGGCTTTCCAAGTTGTGAGTTTGGTTGACTTTGGCGAGGATGCGTATGCGTATGCGAACAGGAGAACAAGAAGCAGACAGTGTGACAACATGAGGTGCCATGGCTTGGGTTCGAGCATGCATTGCGTGGTCATCGCGATGGGATTGAACCGGTCAAAGACTACCTACTTAGCGAAGCGTCATACGATAGTCTCAACGTTCGTGACCGTCAGAGCCGAGCTAGGAAAGAGCACCTTCTCTTTTCGCCGAACTTTACTTAAATTTAGCGACTAAAAGGAGCCTTTAGGAAAAAATCTAGAATAGCTATATTAATGTAATAAAAGCCGCCTACTAGAAAGTTTAAAAGAAAAAAAATTATTTAGAGTTATTCTTAGCCCGAAGGGTTAAGATTTAAGTAAAGTAGTTTTTCGGGCTTTTTATATTAATAAGGTATAGATCGTTAACACGGTCGTATGATGACTAGCCGTCTTATAAAAACGCCATCCCCTCGTAGGTACCTAACCTTGCTCTCGGATTTTCGCAAGGTGAAAAACACAAGTTTGTTCTTGTTGTTTTGCGTATCGCTTCTGGCCCGAAAACCACACGCAATATACATGAACCTACCTCAGCGCTGCGATCTCTACTCTAGATCAGTCACATCACAAACTCAAGAATCCCTGCAACATCCACAGCGAAACTGTAACATCAAGCATCGACAACACCTTCCGTTCATGGTGCGAAATCCATCGTCATGATGAACTCAAGTCAGACTCCGACGACATCTGATCCCGGCACCAACCCCGAGCGACTATCTGAGTCAGTAGCCTTTCACGAACTCCAGGGCCTCATGCTACTACTTGCTTCCTGTCTTATTTCAGTCCTCGCATACCCCTTTTTACCTTCGACTGAGCGGCATGACCCGCCTCCTTGGGGCAAATGGCTAAATTGGCAACCGCTGGCCGGTCTTCTGACGCATTATGCGCTCTGCATGGTCATATATGGCCGCGGATCACTCAGTCTCTTCGAGATCCCCCGGTTGTTGGAACTCTCCATGTCGATAATCGCGGGGTTTTTGGGCACGGTAGCTTGGGCGCACTCTCACCCCGGATACCAAAATGATCTATCTGTGCAGTGCAGTCTGGACAGACTGGCGTTCGTGGTAGTCCTCATGGTCAAGTTCTGGGCTGTTGCTCCAGTCCTTTTCTGGATCGACGGGCGCATAGACATGGAAATCGCCCTATTCCAACCGATCTATCAGGTACTCCTGGCGTTGCTCATATACACGACTATCCTGGAAACAGGGGTCCGAACGTGGGTGAAGGGCCATGTGCAGCTGTTTGTGAAGAGAGACTATCCATCGTGGCGCTGGATCGCAAGGCAAAACGACACCAAAGATCAGCCTGCGAAAGAGGCAACGTGGCGCAGCTGGCTCGTCTGGCTAGTCCCACATTGCAGGTATGGCCTTTATACTGTATTCGTCGCATTCCAACAAGGAAATCTCAAAAACCTTCGAGACTCCGTGTAAGGCTCACTTCAGGTCTGCGAAGTGAGTGACCTCGGAGCATCAGCAGGAGTGAGATGGGTCAAGCACGGGGCAAGACCCACCCCAACGCATTAGTCGACGAAGAGACACGGTCAAGGGCGCATGTAATTTATGCCCATTGATCATGCTTGGGCGGAGGAGCGTAGAATGTTGGTAGGGCCTCGGATTAAGCAGTAGCACAATCGGTCTAGTCCAAAGTCGAGAGCCAGCCATCCTCCATGGCAAAACAAATAACAATATGTCTGACGGCGATAATCCATCTTCAAAGCATCAAAAATACCGTTGATAGCAAGTGATTCCTGTCAAGTCGGACGAGGGACAGTGTCATTCGGAAGGGGGGGGGGGGGGGGGGGGGGGGGGGGGGGGGGGGAGGCAAAGAAAAAAAAAAAAAAAAAAAAAAAACAAAAAAAAAAAACAAAAAAAAGAGTAGCGAAG